AAAGAGCATGAAATTCACACCCAGGAAATGTATCCATGCTAGGTTTATGTGGAAGCCCCTGATAAATTTCAGAGCTGCATTTAAAGTCTATTTCATTTGAAATGATCACTAGCAAAATCCAGCATGTTTTAAGTGCTGGTGCCCCCTCCCCCTCCCCCTGTTCAGCTTTTTACGAAGACATTATATTCTGTCTCTGAAGCACTAATGTAATTTTACTGCAGAAGGATTAACTTTTCAATGAAATTAGAGATGGTAAATCAGATGAAGAGAAGTGATTTCACTGGCTTGGCATCTTTCATGTCAGGGTTGCCAGCTTTTCTCCTGGCCCTGATCCTGAGCGCTGAGCAACAGCCCAAAGTGAAGAAATTAAACAAGTTATGCTTGCCTCGTAGAGAGACAAAACAATGGGGAAAGGCACAGGAGCAGGGCTATTAAAACACTGGCAGCCCTTTATTCATGGATGCATAAGGTGGTTGTGGTTGTGGTTGCTGCTGTTGCTGTTGTTGTTTTATACCCTGGCCATTTGGCTGGGTTGTCCCAGCCATTCTAGGTGGCTTCCAACACATATAAAAACATAATAAAACATCAAACATTAAATATCTTCCTGACACAGGGTTGCCTTCAGATGTCTTCTAAAAGTTGCATGGTTAATTATCTCTTTGACATCTGAAAGGAGGGTGCTCCACAGGGCAGGCGCCACTACTGTAACTTTGCTTTTCGCAGTGAGGGAACCGCCAGAAGGCCCTCAGAGGAGTTCAGGCTGAACGATGGAGGTGGAGACGCTCCTTCAGGTATACTGCGCCAAGGCTTTTGGGGGCTTTAAAGGTCAGCACCAACACTTTGAATTATGCTCAAAAACATATTGTGAGCCAGTGAAGATCCTTTAGAACCGGTTTTATAAGGTCTAATATCAAACAGAGTAGACTTTACTTCTGGGTAAACTTGCATAGAATTGTGCTTTACATTTAACTAGGTAGCACGGGGAAAGATTAAACAGGAATACATATAGAGAAGATAATCTAATATTGTGTGCAGTTAATTTCAGAGTAGAATATTTCCCTTTAACCAATAAAAGGGTGCAACCCTGCTAAAAATACCAGACTTAATTGCGTTCCCGATGCTGCCAGATCCATTGTCTAACACCCACATAACCTATTCTTTAGTTTGAAGGAAGAATTGATCGAACATGTGACAGACGATACCACGCTGCACACAATGCTGCCTTTCCTTGAATTACCTGAAACTTAATTTGAGGGTTCCAGATGTGAAGTTTGCCAGATCTTTGGTTGCTGAAGGCACTTCTTAAAGGAACATTAATATGTGTCACCTTGCCCCTTAAGGAATTGTCATTTCACTTATTTATTGTAAGCAATCCTCAAGCTGAGGCAGAAAGAAAGAAAGAAAGAAAGAAAGAAAGAAAGAAAGAAAGAAAAAGAAAGCTTTGTAAGGATTCTATTTTATGTGACAAAATTGACAGGCTACAAATATTGAGTAATCCAAGCTGTCTTTTATGTGGTAGTGATGCATCCTAGGATAACTTCACGCTTGGCTCCCAGATCAACCCACATTTACTATCCACTGCAGAGCCACCCAACATGGCTGAGCCATAAACGTGGGTTGGTTTGTGAGCTGAGTGCGCATATTATGAGATGTCCGCAGACTCAGTGCTGCTTTACTTCCTACTGAATTCGGCCACACTCCACTCAATCCACATTTCTCATCATGGCAGTTTGATCATACATACTGACCTAATTCTTAAAATCAAATCAACTCCTTCTTAACATTGGGGGTTTCCCCCCCCTCCCCTCTTTTGCCTTCAAACCTTTAATTTTGATCCCATTTGCTAAAGTCTGGATTCTTTGCTTGCAATTGTTTTTGCCTGAGCAATTTTTGTTGGCAAGTTTTTTTTTGTTTTTGTTTTTGCTGTCCTTCTTAACCTTTCCTCATAAATTTGCACCCCCACCTAAGGTATACTTATGCTTCTAATGTTGGGGTGGGCTGAGTTGTACACTGAACAAGGACACTCGTAATTTCTTTACACAAGGAATCATTGTGGAGTATTATCACCTAGGCACCTTCTCCAGGCTGGGGAGCAATGGTTGCAGTGCACTGTAACCGCTCAGTTGTTGGTGTTGCAAAGGGGAGAGGACTATCTCAAATTGACATTTACAAGCAGATGACATAAGAAAACCTGAATAGCTGGGCCGTCTATATCCCTCACAGCGATCTCTTGTTTCTTCACTATTTAGTAAACAAACATTTGGAAAAAAAGGTGTCATGCGAAAAGGTTACAACTTCCCCCTTGAGACACACACAGGAACAATTCTGTTCTCTAAAGTGGTTCTTGGCTTCAGGACGATTCAACACCAGCATTGTCTTCCATGAACTAAGTGACCTTGGGGTTGCAAATGGAGAACTCCGTCCCTTCTTAGGCACTATATCAACATACAACTATTGGTTATATTTTTATGTATAGCAGAGGGAATCTTTTTCTCCTTCTCTCTCTCTTAACATTTAGACCACCTTTTGGCATAGTGTGGGAGCAACAGCACATGTTCTGTTTCATTGGTTTGTGTTGTGGCTTAAATATTGCGCTATGCCACCCACGCTAGCTTACTTTTTACAATATTAAACCAGGTTTTATATCAGTAAAGTTTGTTATGGTGTCCTATCCAAAATAAAAAAGCAGCAGCAGACATCCTGTGCTCTGAATTCCTGAACAAGGTTGCTACCTTCGTTTCTGAGAGTCTCTGTACTTTAATAACTGTGCGATAACAACATTCAGATCAGGTGATTTCATTTTCATACTGTGGAGATGTAGTGATGTTTCACCTATTGAATGCTTGCCTGTCACCTGCCCAGTTAACTCTTGGATGGAAGGGGCTCTTCACAACATGACCTCTGTTGGGTTGGTTCCCTCATCCGCCTGTGGGTCCTCAAGGGTTTATCTGGTGGGAGCGGTGTCAACAATAACTCAGGCCTAGCCGCCATTTTAATTTCTCACAGTAGCCTAGCTTCATGGCTTCCATTTATGAGACCAGTAATTGATCCTAATTGTTTGCATCTGATCACATAACACACAAAAGCCAGGTTTATGACACAAACAGGCTCTTACCATTTTCCTGTCTTGGCTAGGACAGGCCAAGGGTTCACAGCTAACTAGGAGCAAAACCACAGCCTGCCCACTTCCAAATATTTCCTATCAGAACTTCAATAGCAGTCACAGTTTAGAATCAGGAGTGAACTATTGTAGAATAGGCAAAAATTCAACCGTAACCTCTTTTGCTAGCATGGAGATGCAATTGAGAAATATTTACCTGTTGGATTCCTGCCTGTTTTGCAACTGGTAAAAACACAGAAGTGTTGGTGTATCCTTTGTCCATACACTGACTAAATAAATGTCATTAAACATTTTATGAAATAAGGAGATTAATAGGAAATAGATATTTGCACAGAGTACTGGAAAACGTCCAGAGGTCTTTTGTAGCTTAAGGGTAAACAGACTACTGTTAATACTTTGGGGGAAAATAAAAAGGGGAGTAATAGGTGGAAATGAGTTGAAGAGAGATAAGGCAGGCTAAGAGAAGAAGAAAAAACTTCTCCTAACCAATTATAAGAGTCAAGGAATTGGTTTGGGTATGGATAAAGCCCCCGCTTGTGAGATTTTGACCACCTCATCTTCACATGAAATTGAAATTTCTCCTGTGTGAGAATCACCAAAGTTACCGTGTCATCAGAGAAAATGTTATTTCTAAACGGTTTCCTTTTACGTAGTTAGCTGGAGATTTTCATGTGGGCAATATTTGAGACAAATAACTTCCCATGTGAAAATGAAGCAGTAAAGTCATTGCTTGAAGACTTCTATCACCTCAAAATAAACATGTGACTCAGTCCTAATACTCCCCCGTAACAATTACTTTTTTTAACATAAAAAACCTAGGAAAATAAACTGTTCATTCTCATCTGTTAGATCCTCACAGAATCCAAATATAGATGCACGCAGTGGTTCCACTAAATCGTGTTACTTCCAGGGAAGGCAGTCCTGCTGCCCTCTTCCTTCCCCCCATGTTTTAGATGACATGGGATTCTTCCTCAGCAGCAGCAGAAGCATATTATCTTTTGTAACTTATGAGTAACCATCCTAATAAGAACTGGGGATTGTCTTCCCTCCCACACCTTCCCTGGGCCTACTTAAGACTTGAATGTCCTCAGGCAGAGATGGGCAATCTCAGCCTAGGGGCAAACGCAGCTCTCCAAGGCCTCTCTAGGCGGCCCTTGAGACTCTCCCCGGCCATGCCCTCTTCTCAGGCTATGCCTCTCACTGGGCTTGCTCTGCATCCTCCTGCTTTTGCCTGGATGAGGTGTCTCTGAACTACGATGATGCCTCTTGCTTGCCTGCATGGAGAGGTATATGCATAAAAACCACTGAAACCAGAACCACCACCCTCTCAATCCCAGCTCACAAAAACATTCTCAGTAACTCATCAGCAACATTTGCAAAGCACCCCCAGAAACACTCCAGAGCCCAGACCTACCGATGACCATTCACTCATCATAACTATGAAAGATCATGTGGTCTTGATAGATAGCATCTATATTCAAGACTGGGATGCTGGCTTGAAACTGAATTTTGTCCCCATTAAGTATGACCTCATTAAGAGTAACATTTGGCCAAATATAATCAAAGAATGGCTTCTAGGGGCTACACTTAGGAAACCTTCCAGCACTGAAAGAAACCTTTCTCTGCCACAATACATGGGGTTGTAATCCAGCAGAGTTGTACCAATGCCATGGGACTTCCATTTCCTTTCTTCCTCCTTCCCCCGAACCCTCCCCAAAAGAAATCTGCTTCACAAGGTTCCCAACCCTCTGGAGGTGATTTTGAGAAGCTGGAGGGCACAGGAGAGGAAGAGGAAGTTTCATTGCATGCACTGGATATTGCCTTTGGTGTTCAGAACTCAAACACGTTTGCCTATATCCCCGCTATGCATATAAAACAATTCAGAATTGATAGTAATTTTATTAAGAGCATTTCAGAACATTTTCAAAATGTCATATATCCACAGCCTGGTTACCCAAATTCGCTGTGTACTGTCCTTAAAGGTCTGTAGCAGTGTAACCTATGAAAGCCGTTCTTTCATTTAGCGGAAGTTTGAATTTTCTATGCACTTAGTATGTGCTTCTGAAGCATCATTCTCGGCACATGAAGCATTGTATTCACACTAGTCGCACACTATAAAAGCAATGTCGAGACTGACCTCCGACAATTCGGCAGGGACCCCTACGAAAAGACAAAACAGTTGTTCGTATTTTTAATAGCTATTTAGCTTTTCCACTCCAGCTTGCCACAAATAACTAATTTAAGAAAAAGGCAGGTGTCAGCTCAATAGTAATCTAGAGATTCCCAAGACAGATGAACCTGATCCCAAGATCATCCGTCGCATGAGCGAACACTCTCATAGCTAGGGGGCGGAGTGTCGCAGGCGACGCTCGAGTCGTCCCACGATGCTGACTCCAGCCTCGGCAGAATATTCCGGAACAAAACGCTATCAGAGGAACTGCGCCTACGGCCGGCATGGCGTGTGTCATTTTCGTCCACCACTTGATACAAGGGGGGGCGGCTCTCCTTCAGGCTGTTGGGCTGTGTGCAGTTTGGGGTGTTTTCAGCAGGCTGGCAGTTCAAGGCTTCTTCATAGGAGGGAATACTGCTTGGATCCCAGGTGCTGAAACAAACCAAGGCAAAATAAAAATCAATTAATCTTTATTTTTAAAAAGCGGTATCTTGATGCAAAATAAGGTTTGCAAGGGCATGTGCAAGCAAGATTAATAATTTTAGCACAATTAGCAATCTTTCCACTCCATAGCTGTAGCTATTACTCTTGAAGTCTCAATGTCAAATGTAAAGAGAGAGAAGAAAAAGAAAAACCCACCACCCACTTTTCATGTGTTCCTCAAAGACAATGTCGCACGTGACGTGTAAATGCAGCTGCCATTCTATGCACACTTACCTGGGGTATGCATCTTATTGACCTTATTTCTTAGTGGGTATATACAGGATTGCACTGTGGGTCTCTTGTGCACCATATAAGAACATAAGAAGAGCCTGCTGGATCAGGCCAATGGCCCATCCAGTTCTCAGCTGATGCTTGGTGGGAAACCCACAAGCAGTGCCTGAGCACAAGAGCAGTCTGCCTTCCTGCAGTTTCCAGCTACTGGTGTTCAGAAGCCTATTGCCTCTGACAGTGGAGGTGGGACACAGGCATCAGGGTTAGCGGTGACAGATAGCTGCATCCACCACAAATTTGCCTACCCCTCTTTTAAAGGCATCCAAGTTGTTGGCCATCGCTGCCTCTTGTGGGAAAACCCACATGAATAGGTATAGACAGTGCTTTTTTCTGGGGGGACGCATACCCCTAAACATTTTGTGAATCTAACTTTGGCCTCATTGAGTAGGAAAATGAGAGTTGGAAAATGAAAGTACCCCTAAACATTTTTTTTTAGGAAAAAAGCACTGGGTATAGAGAAAGCACAAGAGAATTTTCTTTAGTCGAATGTACCTTCTGTGGGTTTATTAGAATTACACAGACAGGAAGTGCAAAATAAATAAATAAATGTATACAACATCAATTTAAGTGAAGCATTTGTCCCTGCATCAGATGCCTCCAGCACTTTAGCAGTACCCGTACATTACAGAGACTTGTGCCCTTTCGCAATATTTAGAATATCAAGTGTCAAACTTGACCACATTCCCACTGGTTAATGTGCATTTCATGGGCCACTGATCATCACCGGGCCGCAGCGATTACTTTTTCCATTGTGCTTTCCTAAGCAAACATGTCTTGTATACAGGTGAAACTTTCACATAACCTTTGATCATTTGACTTCCCTTTTCTTTTCCAAGGGGTAAAGGGTTTATATGTGGGAAGCAACAATATACTGAGATCGCAGAGTTCACCTTGAAACAGTGCTAGCCAGGGAAGATGCTACGCTGTAGATCAAAAGCAGCAAATGGAAAAAAATGATACCACAAAGCGATATTTTATCATTGTACATCATAGACGTCGTATCCTAGTTTTAGCTAAGCACCAATCTACCCCCATCAGGTTTGGGCGCAAAGATCGTGCTGACCTGCAGGTCTGTTTCTCAAGAGGCTCCACGGTGGAGTAATGAAGGTCCCTTGAAAAATGGTACTGATAGCGGCGAGAAATTATCCCTGCATTGGCTGACCACAGAAGGCCAAAAAGGAGGAGGAGACCGCCAATTCCACAGCAGAAGAAGCTTATGGACCTGAGCATTGCATTAGATGAGGAAGAAGAGCTTGCCACTGGTCCGACCTCTCCATCAGGCATGATCTTTGGCTCACTGCTAGATGGGGCGGCTCCCATCTCGCCATCACTCCACCAAGCAAAACAGAGAGTCCCCGTCACCAGCAGGATAGCTCCAGTGATGGTCACTCCATGGCGCAAAGTAGCACTTGCCATTTTAAAAACAGAGGCTGAAGATACAGGTCATCTAAAGTTTCACCAGGAAATAGGTCTGATGTCCTGATTCATGCTGGGGGTGAAAAAAAGGGAAGGGGAGAAGAGAAACCATCACAGTGGGAAAAGAATAGGGGGAAATAAAAAATACAAAGCATGAACTGAGGACGAGAGGAATGCTGTCCTCCCAACACACCAGGAACAATGTAACAGCCAGTTAATTATTGCAAGTAGCAGTTTTTGTCACAACTTTTCATTAAACGTGTTGCTGCCGTCCCTTCTGTCAAACAGACCACGGTTAAAGCAAACCATTTTGCTTGTTACTATGGTATGTATTCTTGCATTTTTATATTGTAAACTGCCCCGTGATGCTCAAATGAAGGGTTCTATAGAAATGTAATAAATAATAACAATGACTGTTCCTTCTGTGTGAACATCAACCAATATCTGACTTTGGGCGTTTCCAGACTAGCACTGTTTTCAACCACATACTGGCAAATTCGGATGGCCCAATGAAAGCTGATTTGGCCATCTTGTTCAAGAAACCCACTGCCCCCAATATTGGACTTTTCGCGATAAGGAAAGTGACAGGAAAATGCATTGGAAAGTGTGGGATAACAACTGTTTGATGCCACATGGTATAACCTCCCCACAAACAAATCAGAACAAATGTTCAATGCCATCTAACCTCCCTGCAAACAGTGCAAACAATAAACAGGTCATCTGGAAAAGACTCAAATCACCAACCAGGTTCCAATCCTAGATTACCACTGAGCTTGCTCAGGCATTTATTGCTTAGAGTGGTGCTTAAATTGTTTGTGCCTATAGCTCTGACTCTGTTTTAGCTGCGCTGCTGAATTTCCATCTGTGACTATATTTTATTAGTTTCTATGTCCCTGGCCCTGGGATTTTATTTTATTTTTTACTTGATAAAGGGTGTGTTAGAAATCCTATTAATAAATAAAAGAGTTTTGCAGTCCACGACTAAGATTCATTGTGTGGAACAGACTGGACGAGTATGAAAATAACCCTAACCTACTGGCTCCCATGGGAGGCAGTGACAGGCACCATCTTGGATGCCTTTACAAAAAGATTGGAGGATAAGGCTATCAGTGGCTACTAGTCATGCTGGCTGTGTTTTACCTGCACAGTCCCAGGCAGGTTGCCTCTGCATGCCAGTTGCTGGGAACTGCAAGGAGGCAGATGTGCTCCTGTCTTGTTTGTGGGCTTCCCACAGGTGTCTGATTGGCAACTGTGAGAACATGATTCTGGACTTCAGTGGACCATTAGATGGACCATTGGCCTGATTCAGTGGGTTCTTCTTATGCATGAGCTGAAGGCCACCGCCATTACCAGCAGATTCACACATAATGGCAACTGACTACTTGTCATCAATTTATGATATGAGAGCCATAGCTCCCAGGTCTTCATAATTCCATAATTATTGATGCCACTCATGCTATCTAGATTTTGGAGAGGAGGCTGCACAGGATGTACCCCTAGATCTACGGTGTAATAATCACTGTAATTGCACAGTTGAGTCGATAACCATGCAAAAATGAATATGCTTTGTATGAATCAGGTGTTAATCATAATATGCAAGGTTTCGAGTGAAGGGAAAGTGCAAGATGAAATGGGAGAAAAACGTATTCCGAGGACTAAGTGATTTAGAAATTATCTTAAAAGGTGTACAAGTTGTATTGCTGCGGGGAGCCTTAAAGATTTGTTTGGATATTAATTTTTTTCATTATAATTTTCAAACACCTGCAACAATTAGACAATGCACAAAAGATTACAGTATTTCAAAGCGTGGACCAGTCTGAAGGTTAACGGCAACCTATGAAGAGAGAAAGGGGAGGGAATTGTTTTGATAAATCTCTAGGAGTGAATAGCCCTGTGTTTGTTCTGAAATATGCAATCTCAGATCTGATGCAGAGGCAGAGAAACCTAGAAACTGGGATTAATTTGTCATCTTCAGGACGAGTGGAAACTGCACTTTTCACATGAGCTGGGCAAGCTAATTGGGAAACTGAATTACGAGGCAGTGAAAGAAATCCTGGATGATCTTATCCATATTTAATAAGAGATGTGATGAAATCAGATTTATTAAAGCTGCAGACAGATTGGATGAATCTGAAGTGTATTAATCTAGTGCCTCTTTCAGCTTTGGGGAATGCATCCCTGGCACAGCCCAACAATTCTTGAATCACATAAACATCGGACTACTCTGGAGCTGATTCTGTCTGATATGACATGGCCAGGTCAATCGTCTTTGTCAGGAGTGCAAAAACAAAAATGACTAGCCATCGCTGGTACCTAAAAAGCTGGATCTGGGGACTGACATCTGGGCTGCTGCAGATGTTACCTCCAGACCCCCTTTGCAAGCATGCTCAGGTCTTTCTCTCTACTCTGAACCTGGCTAATTTTTACTAAGATGTTCTAAAGATTCTCTAAACTTTGGATAATCGGTGTGGGCCAGGGAGTCTGGTGGCCCTCCAAGTGTTGATGGGAACAATTCCTACCATCCCTTACCATTGGGTCATGCTGGCTGGGGCCGATGGGATTTGGAGTCCAACAACGTCTGAATTCTGGAGAGCCACAGGTTGCCTATCCCTGCAGTAAGGTTTCCCATAGTAACGTACTTTAAGTCAGAGAGAAATTGAGAGGGGAGATGGGGATTACTGTCAGGGACTCTCAGGTTTGTACCTTGCAAAGTCAGCAGAACTGATGCATTGTCTGTTGCAGTCTCTGAGGCCCTGGAAATACACCTTCCAAGTCTAAGAAAGGATCTCCCGGAGCACCAACAATTGTATTAGTATGTGCCCCTGTGGGAAATGGTGGTATGAGACCACAGAAGACAAGCTGTCCCAGAAGACATTGCCTTGTGTGCTCCTGCTTTTCAAAAGCCTGAACAGCCAAAAAGGGGTATAGCAGAAATAATAATAAGGTGGTAAGATTGTCTGATATTCAAAGGTTCTTTGGAAGACAGGCAATAGATTCGAATCCAACCCCTAGAATGGAATAGTCCTGTGATCAACAAGTCCCAACTGTAGAAGCCCTGGGCAAGGTATTCTACTTGTGCAACTGGCCTCCCCCCCCGCTCCCCCAAAAAACAGCTTTGGGGAAGGGTCAGGAGAACCCCGAAAACAGCACAGCGAATAGGAGAGGAGAGGGGAGTTGTTCTGTCTGGCAAGTTGAAAAGTTTGCACTGACAGAATGTTCAACAAAGCACAATGCTGAATTCATCCCAATATTTTTAAATTGCTGAAACCCACCCTGGTCCCTTTTGGTAAATAATTGAATTAATAATATTCAGATATGCTGCAAATATAAAAGAGATGCTAAAATGTGAGCTACCTTTGTTGCTCGATCCAAGATCTAGCTTCGTCGCCAACAACTCACACCGGTTTCAAAGGAATATCTACCTACCTGCTGGGTCTACAAAATGTGGGTGAGTCAATCCCTTCTTAAATCCACTTGAAGGATTATACGGGGCTTAAGCCGTGGTACGCTGCCTGTCTTAACAACACCAATTAATTAACTTCACAGAGACAGTCTGCTTACAATAAATTGGATTACAGGATCAGGCCCCTTGCATACCACACATTTCGTGGGATGCCTCTGTGGCCACCAGGAGCAAAGCTAAGAGATGCGCCTCAACCATTTTATTAACTAAGATGCTTCAGTCAATGCTTCCCCCCTTCAGGCCCCTCTCCACCAAATAAAGAGGGCAAAAACAGATCATATTGTTATGAGTTTGTGGGTGCCAGACACTTGTAATCCTAGCCAGCTGGTCAAGGGAGGCTAGCTTCCTGATGAGGTAACTGGCCATTAAGAGAGCAAAGGAAAGGGCTCTGTGCCAGATGTGAAATGGGGGGGGGCTTCTTCTCCAGCTCTCGGATAGTTAGAAGGGCAAAGCTGGGGTTTGAGGGCAGAGTTTGCTGTGATGTGGCCTAGAAGAAAAAGTGGCAGGCTGGAAAAGCAGAGAGCGCGCGCGCCATGGCTGATTTCTGCTAGAATCCAAGGCTGTGGCTATGGGAGAAACAAGACCCTTTGGGGCCGTTGATGCTGTGAGCCCCTCCATCGTAGGCTCAGGTTGCATATATGTGTGAACAAACCATATATCATCAAAACACTACCGTCTCCACAGTGCCTCATTCCCAAAAGGAAACACAAACCCTGGGCGAGCGCCTGGAACCTCTCAAATCTCGCACCGCTTGGAGATTGGGGCGGCACGCAGCAATATATTATATCATTTACAGACTGGAGGAAAAGCCATAGAATCCAAGCCTTTAAACACTATATAAATGTGGTGGGATTGTGATGATAATTATAATAAATGCCCATTCTTTCTCTCAAAGAATACAGGTAACTGTAGTTTGTAAAGAATTCCTGGGAATCGTAACTCTTTAAGGGGTTAACCATAATTCTTTGAGGGAATGATGTTCTTTGATTGTGTTTTACAGGTATAGTGTTGTGTACACAGCCTGTTGGTTACTGCTAACACTTTGCATGCCAGCAGGTCCCAAGTTCAACCCAAGTCCCACGTTCAACAACAACAAAATCAGGTGGTAGTAATGGGGAAAGATCTCTGCCCAAGATCCCAGAGAGCTTTTGCCAGTTACAGTGGACAGTAGGCTTGGTGGACAGTCTGAACTGGTATAAGGAGAGTGAAAATGTTGATTAAGCAACCACAAAGAGTCATGGGAGGAATCCATCTTTGTGGACAGGAAGGATGGTGACTCAGTCAGGTATGAGAAGTTAGAATCAGAGAGTTTTTCTACGAGTCAGCTGAAGACCAGCTTGCCATTTGTTTTGCATCTGAAGCAACACAGCGAACACTTTCCAGTTCAGCCTTCTAGGATGATTTTTGTGGGGGAGGCTAACAGCTTAACGCAATTTTTATCGCTTACAAAATAATAAGGGAGATTGACAGTTTCATAAGGAAAAAAGTCCTCTCTTCTCCCTTGCATAAAAGCTGCAGCAGTGACATTTTCAGCATCCTCAGCCCACGCTTCCAGAAAAGGAGGAGGGGAATTGTAGTGGATCCCTTCTCACACCAATGGCTGCGAGATCAAAATCCCAAAACCTAGCAGCACGATCCTACACTTACTTCTCAAGTCAGATCTACTCAATCCAGGGCTTAGTTGCTAAGTTACATGTATTTAGAACTGCACCTTTACAGTCTTGTTTCAGCTATTCCTTGCCCTGATAGGAGATCTGCACTTTTTTATTTATTTGTATTTCATCTTGTTTTCACACACACAGAGAGAGAGAGAGAGCTATCCACACACATACTCATATCCATGTGTTTTGTTAGCTGTCTTAGGCAGCACCAGATGAACAGGAAGGGTATACATTTACTAAAATACGTAAATGCAAAGGCTGAGAAAGTTCAAAGCTTTGAAAAGATATGGAAAGGGAGAATACTGAAAAACTGGGGGGGGGGGGGAGCATCCTTGAAAGGGGCTGCTTAATGGCAGGAATTAAGTGCAGGGGTCCACAGGTCCCCACTTATGTGTCAATAAACCAGCTAGTAAGGCTGCAATCCTAAACCCACTTAACCTGGGAGTAAGTGCCATTGAACTCAATGGGTCTTACTTCTGAATAAGGCTGCTGCTGCCAGGCTTCCATTCCAAACACACTTACTAAAGAACACAGAGCATAGTTAACGTGCATGTTGCGGATACCAGTCTTAACACTCACGGGCAAGACTTAAGTTGCAGGGTGGGGGGCCTCAGGCTCAGGAGTGGGTGGGATAAAGCCCTCTAAGCTTCTCTATCTGATTCTTGGGACTCTCCCAAACCATGCACCCTCCCCAGCCACATCCTTTCTGCCCAGGCCTTTACACCACCCTTGAGTCTTCTGGACTGGCAGTAATGTGTCCCTGAACTGGGACTGGACCTTTCGCTTGCCCAAGTAGAATGGGGGGGGGTAGGAGAAACTAGCCTCTGCCCATTGTTGCCTCGTTCCCCACCCAGTACTGGCATGGGCCCACCAAGGCCAAGGTTGTTGAGAGAGGAACACTGGCGGCTTCTAAATCAGCATTCAGATACATAAGTTTGGGCTGATTAGGGGCATAGGAAGGGGAGTGGAGCCCGCCCTGGGTGTCGTCCCTGAGGGAGTGACAAAATGGCACACCAAGGGGGGTGGCACTTACTGCGGGGCCTGGCCTGCAGCGCGCCCGAGCCACACGTCTCTCCTGGGAGTGACGCAGTGGCTCAGGGCCCTGCGCTGCCCAAAATGGCAGCGTGGGGCTTGCGTCCACCAGGCAGACTCCCTAGGTGGATCGTTGCGGCGCCCCGTGAGTTGCTTGCCCTGCCCCCGCTGCTCCGGGGGCAGGAGCAGCTAGCTATGCCTATGGGGCTGATGCCTTTGAGGAAAGAAAACTTTTCTGCCACCAGGCAGTACTTTTTACACCTATTAAGACTCCCCTCCTGCCGCAAATTCTTGATGGAAGTAAACTTTAAAAAGTTTTCATGGGCAGGGGGTCCCAGGAGAACATATTGGGAACGTCTAAAGATGGGTTGCACTCAGGCTTCCATAATTGTTATTACAGGCATAGGCAAACTCGGCCCTCCAGATGTTTTGGGACTACAATTCCCATCATCCCTGATCACTGGTCCTGTTAGCTAGGGTTCATGGGAGTTGTAGTCCCAAAACATCTGGAGGGCAGAGTTTGCCTATGCCTGCATTAGTAGTTATCACTTTTCATCAGCTGACAATTACTTGAAATGCCACTCCTGTGGAGGCATTTTTGGATGGGTTTTGTCATCTGCCCCTTCTACGTATTGCCCAGTCAGAAGCAACACATTGCCACGTTCTTTTCTTGATCTCAAGGAAGAAGAAAAACCTTTACTTTTGGGGAGGTGGAAAGTGAAGGCGGAGAGCATGCTGGGGCTAACATATTGTGTAAAATATAGGAGCTACCTTATAAAGAATCAGGCTATGAGTTCCATTTAGCTCAACGTTATTGACACGGACTGGCAGCACCTCCCCAGAATTTCACTCAGGAGTTTTCCATACCTACCTGGAGACAATAATAATAATAATAAATAATAAATAAAAAAACCATTTATACCCCGCCATCTGACTGGGTTTCCCCAAACCAAAAACTGAACCTCGGATCTTCTGCCTGTAAAGCAAGGCTCTACCACTGAGCTACTGCCCTCTTCTAGTGTATGGCTCCTATAAACAGCTACAGGATCCTTAATATGTAGGGTTATCTCCCCAGATAACACCATCCCAGCAAGGGAAACAAAATATTAGCATGCACATTTCTTTATTGGTCTCTCCAGTGTTAGAAACTGAGATATGAAAGCTAGGAGCTAAATGGCACCTTAAATCTAGGTTATGGGCACAACAATGGAATGGCTAGGCACACTTTTTTATAACAAGAATACAAAGATGAAAATGAATGAACTGCAGCTAAAATCTTAGGTTTTTTCATGTGGTCTAGTCCTTCCCCTGCCCACTCCTCTAATATTCTTAAGAGGGTCTCTTCTCCAGCCTTCAGAGAGTAGCTGGAAGTGGGGAGGCAGAAAAAGGTCCTCCTTTCCTTCCACTCTGCAGTTTTAGTCTGAAATCTTAGGCGCAAGCACTGCTCCCAGAGCTCAGAACCTGCTCGCACTGATGAAATTCCCTGTCACAAAATGTGCCTAGAACAATGGGAGTTTTGAACACTGGGTGTTCCAATCCCACCTTTTGCCATAAAACCGTCACAGAGCAGATCACACAAAGCCAATTACGGATAATGAATCCAACACACCTGGATACATCAGAATCAAACTGAACTCAATCTGCATGCTCCTCCACCACCCATTAGGTACCTGAAACAAACTAAGCTTCAGTTGGCTTACCTGTGTAGGTGTAAGCACTGAGCAGTGATGAACCCTCCTTTCTCCACTACTGAGGATACACCATTTATGCAAGTTCAGAATATTGGATATATTCAAGTACACCATACAACCACCTGTATGCTACACGTTTAGGAACCCTAGCTCTGTATTTTACTAATTACAGCTCTGTGAGATGCTTTCTGTTACAAGTGGACTATTCTTAATGGGAAATGTCTTGCAGGAATAGATCTAAAGTCACTGTGTGCATGGCAGGGAAGGAAGAAGAGATCTGGTCAATCCAACAAGCTTAATAGTTGTTGCAGGGTAAGTGCACAGAACAAGTTGTGCAGAATGTGGTCGAGAGGCTCCGCTAAGCTTTGTGATTCATCAGCAAACAGATTAAACTGGGTTTATACAAATATGGGTCTAAACTGGCTTCACCAGGCTCGAGGATCGCACTCTTTACTAAACAAAATCTAAGGACGCGAGATTCTTGGCTCCTCCGTCCCACTCAGAAAACGCAAGTGTGATGATGGCATCTTCCCCCGCCAATCTTTCTGCTTTCTGCGTCCATCCAACGCTATTAGCAACCGCAGAAATACAGCAGGGAGGCGAAGAAGCGCGATGCGAAAGCACCCATCAAGCCTAGATGGAAATGGGTTCTGTATCCCCCCCCCCTTCTCACCCGCCCCAGCTGTACTCAACTCTTGAAAAGAAAATGCACTGGGCTTTTAAGATACAGAATGAAAAAGCTCTGTTAATGCTATTATCATCTCCGCGAGTGCCGGCTGGAAGCAAACATGCAAAACAAAAAAAACACACACAAACGAATGATGCTTCGAGCAAAATAATCGTGCTTGCAACAATAAAATAAAATAAATTGCCAGAGTTGCCACTGATCTGGGAGACTTGCAGACCATTCTGAATCTCTTACTGGTTGCAAAGTCAACGACGGCTAACTTTTAAACGATTCGAGCAAGGAGCAACTACCGAAGCGGCTGGTGCAACGTAGCAAGACAGCGTAGCATCGCCTGCAACGCCCCGCGCAATCCAAGCGTGCTTCAGCAAGAGATCGAGCTTGCGAAGTACGCGTGCAACTCCTCGTCGCGCTTTGTCCCCTTGCAGCCTCGGCCCTGCGATACTTACTTCGCTCGGCGGCAGCTTCGCGGGTTTCCCCCATGCACTTCAAAGGCAGCCAGCGCAGCCGTGCAAAAAGGCGACTCTCCCGAGGGGCAGAAAGAGAAAGCGCCGCGCGCGCAGCAGCTCGGCTGGCGAAATAATGCCGCCTTGCAAACGCAGCTCCCGCGGGGAACTTGCGTTTAGCAGCAGCGCCCTCCGGAGGACAAAGGGAGAACTTCCCCCGAAGTACACCTGGACGTGTTTTCTGCCAGGCAGGCGGATGGCGGTGGTGATAACGCCTGTTTCTGGCGAGTGCCTCGCATAAATCCGACAATGGAGAGGAAAGGAGAAAGGGCAGCTGCCAGAAGGATAAGGAGGTGCTCGGCTCCTACTCCTGTCAGCCCCAGCCAGCCCAGCCATTGGTCTGGGGTGATGGGAGTTCCAAAATGCCCCCTGGAAAAGTTTCTTTCCAAAGTTTCCCTCTTTCCCTACCATACTAAAAGACCACACGTCTTTGGTAAGTTTAAAAATGGTTCACTAACAAACTCTCCAGGTTCGATTGCTTCAGAAAGTTGCACAGAGGCAGTAGAACTTGGTTTAGTTATGAAGTAGTGAAAGTGCCTCAAGTACAGTGGTACCTCGGGTTACACACGCTTCAGGTTACAGACTTGGGTTAAGAACTTTGCTTCAGGATGAGAACAGAAATTGTGCTCCAGTGGTGCGGCGGCAGCGGGAGGCCCCATTAGCTAAAGTGGTACCTCAGGTTAAGAACAGTTTCAGGTTAAGAACGGACCTCCAGATTGAATTAAGTTCTTAACCCGAGGTACCACTGTATTGGTATAAAGGAACTCAAGAATGGCTGGTGAAAGCCATGTGGCTGGGCTGGAGCAACCAGCTCAAACCTCTTCACACTATGAGGCTCTCAGGTAGACTGGGGGAGAACAAAGGCTTGATTACCTCCCAAGGTGAGGGGAAGTGGACATAGCTAAGCCTGGCAGGACAGCTTACTCTATGGTATTAACCTCTTCATGTGTTAATTAAACTTAAGCATGTTGGTTATATGAGGCTGGTAATCCCATAGTTTGGCCCTACACTGTATGTTCCAAGCATCTTTGATGGGACTGAAAATAAATAATAAACTTTTGGGATAAAGTTATTAATGTAATATACAATGTTAAAGAGAATAAGATATAAACCAATCCCAAAGTTATTTCACTTGGTAGATTGAATGGGTGGGATACTATCTAAACACAAACAATTTGTAGGGAATAAGTTAGCTTCTGCTGAAAGATTAGTTGTCAAAAGGCTGGAAGAAACAACTCCCATTACTAGAATGTAAGAATAAGCACATAATAGTACATAATACTAATGCCCAAGATTCCATATTATAAGAAACTGTGGAAAGGATAAACACAAGGATATTAAAAGTAGCTATGTTGGTCCATAAGAAAAAGTCCATACCAGGGCAATATCTTTATTATGCCAACAAAAATGTCATAAAATAGTGTACAGTACATGCTTTCAACAGGCTCTCCTACCACCACTATTAAGTTGGGTCCTCCACCACAGCAAAGCCTCTCCCCCCAGCAACAGTTCTCTCCCCCAGCCCAGGCTGGCAAAGAAAAACCTATGTAGGAACATAGGAAGCTGCCTTATTCTGAATCAGAGAAGTGGTCCATCAAACTCAGTACTGACTGCTAGTAGAATGAACCTGGGACCTTCTGCATGCAGTGCAAAAGCTCTGCCTCTGAGCTAGGGCCCTTCCCCTGCAAAGTGTTGTGTGTCTTCCTAATACACACACCCAGCCATCAAATGGATGGGGAAGGCAGAGCTGCCCTCAAAAGTGTTAAACCAGGACCATATTCTCGGTCACTCGCTATATGACAAGCCAGAGAGAAGGCTTCATGTTGCATAATCAAGCGTTCTACTCAGCAATAATTCTTACAGCTTTTTTAATAGATCTAAAGGACTCTGCCTCCTGAAACTCATATACTGTACCTTCCCTCCCCGCAACCTTCTCTGCAGCAAAGAGCTCTATTTTGGGAAGTTTTGTGTGACAGGCATTATCTCAGGCCCTTGCAGTGATGAATTGAACGGGGACACAAATGCAGCACTTTTTCCTCCCTCCTTCCTTTCACCCAGCTCCAACTAACTTGAATTTATAGGGGGGTTTTTTCCCACCCCCAGGGATCAAATGCCTCATATGTATCAGTTTACAGGAAGGGAAGTGGCCACAGACTACCCTTGCAAAACTTATTTCATAAAAGGAGAATAGTGTAAATAAGCAACCTCAAGAAGAGTCTCCGTTGAACTGACAAATCTCTAACCTGTGAATGCTCTGCTTCCATGGCAGAGATGCAACCACTAGGGCAGGAGTGGGCAAACTGCAGCAGCCCTAGGGCCACACGAGGCCTTTAGCCAAATTTTATGTGGCCCTAATTTCAAAAGCCCTCTGTATGCAATCAGCTGAAGATCTGGGTGAAGGGAGGGAGGTAGCAGAAAGAAAGTGTGAGGCAAGGGGTCGCCCCACCCACTTTTGGTTTCGGTCTCTGCCTCCCTGGGATTAAAATATAAGCATATAAAATATTCCACAGAAACTCTACCCTGCGCCACTGCATGTTTCCCCTTGTCCTCTATCACCATTGGTCGAGTCAGTGCTGATTTCTGTGACCTCGCCAATGGAGGACATCTTTGGGTTGTTATGGATGAGCACAGCAGTGATCAAGAGGTAGAAATGGTCACCACTACTTCAGCGAATGCTGTCACCCCCAAATTGGACAAATGCTTTTCATCTAATGGCCTGCCTACTACTGTAAATCGTGACAATGGACCACCTGTTCAAAGTGTGTAATTTCCTCATTTTTCAGACCATCTTGGATTCAAATATCAAAAACATTGCCTCTCGTTGGTCTCAAGCAAATGGGGAAGTTTAGAGATTTATGAGGACGCTTGAGAAAGACTTATGAATTGTCACAGCAGAGGCAGCCAGTATAAAACAAGAATTGTTTCCATTTCTCTGAAGCTCCGAAACCATACCCTCAGAACTTGCATGGCACCAGCTACCATGTTTGGTGGAAAGGTAAGGACAACATTTGCTCAAATTGACTTCCCACACAGGGATGCACACTGCACCAACGTGATAATAAGGCAAAGCTTGCAATTAAAAAGTATACAGACCAATGCAAGCGAGACACAGTAGTGCCTTTCATAAGGGAGAGAGGGAGGTGATCTATGTTAAGAGTTTTGCAACAAACTTTCAATGCCTTTCAATCCTGTTCCATATGAAATCACAATGATAAATGGCACAATGGTCACTACAGAGGCGTGCTCATAAAGTCACCAGAAATGTGTCTCACAAACCATTTCATAGCATCACTCAGATTCAAAGACCTTACGATAATGATGACTTCAGTAACTTCTCATCCACCACTCCTGCTGCCTGGAACCCATCAACTCCATGCATTCCAGAGCAGTGTTAGAAACAGAGATATGAAAGCTAGGAGCTAAATGGCACCTTAAACCTATGTTATGGGCGCAACAGTGGAATGTATAGGTGCGCTTTTAAAAAAAAACAAGAATACAAAGCTGAAAATGAATGAACTGCAACTAAAATCTTTCACATGGTCTAGTTCTTCCCCTGCCCGCCCCCCCCCCTAATATTCTTAGGAGGGTCTCGTCTCCAGCCTTCAGAGAGTAGCTGGAAGTGGGGAGGCAGAAAAAGGTCCTCCTTTCCTTCCACTCTGCAGTTTTAGTCTGAAATCTTAGGTGCAGCACTGCTCCCGGAGCTCAGAACCTGCTCGCACGGATGAAATTCCCTGTCACAAAATGTGCCTAGAACAATGGGAGTTTTGAACACTGGGTGTTCCAATCCCACCTTTTGCCATAAAACCGTCACAGAGCAGATTACAGATAATCTGTAATAAAGCCAATTACAGATAATAAATCCAACACACCTGGATACATCAGAATCAAACTGAACTCAATCCACATGCTCCTCCTCCACCCATTACGTAACTGAAACAAACTAAGCTTCAGGTGGCTTACCTGTGTAGGTGTAAGCACTGAGCAGTGATGAACCCTCCTTTCTCCACAACTTGAGGATACACCATTTATGCAAATTCAGAATACTGGATATATTCAAGTACACCATGCAAGCACCTGTGTGCTACACATTCAGACAGTAGCAGGAAGTAGGGAGGCAGAAAAAGACCCTCCTTTCTTTCCACTTTGCAGTTTTAATTTGATATCTTAGGTGCAATACTGCGCCCAGAGCTCAGAAACTGCTTGCGCTGATGAAATTCCCTGTCACAAAATGTGCCTAGAACAATGGGAGTTTCAAACACTGTTCCGAAGATCTCGCAAGGTGTCACCGGAAGCCATCACTATGGATCCCTGGCAGCAGGGCTGACACTACCCTGTAGGTTTCTGCTGCCTAAGGTGGGCTGCTTCACTCTGCCCCAAGCTGGCTCTGTTTTGGCTGGCCCTGCCAGTTGGCGTATAAACAATGATTTTGCAAAGAAGTTTAAAAGGGGAAGAAGGGAAGCAGATCTGGGGCTCAGAGTAAAAGACCCAGAGTTCAGGCATTATTTGTTGTGGCAAGGGGAGAGGCTGCTCTTTTAGAGTGACACACACACACACACACACACACACACACACACACACAGATACACACTATTTTGTGTATAGCTCTGGAATGAGATTGTGGCATATTGTTATCATGGAATGTGGAAAGTGCTCTGATGGAGTAAGATTGTGAAATATATTGTGCGCACGCCCTTGGTTTGGAAGGTTAGCAAAACAATACATGACTGCTGGTAAGAGAATGCTTCAAGTAATTATTTATGGAACTCAGTGTACTCCTGAGAGTACACCAAGTAATTTTTCAATAAACCAGTGGCAACAAGGCTGATCTGAGCAATCCTTGAAACTTTAGCCTTAACCTTCCAACTGAAACTAAGACATAAGAAGCAGCATTTCTCCTCCAGGGGGTGGGGGGAACCAGGGAAAGAAAACAAATATATTTTCAAGTTGCTTTCTGAGACAGTGGAGACACAGGTAGGCAGCCTGACAGACAACTTCTTGTTTTCTTCACAAAGGCATTTAAGCAGCCCACAAAGAGGCAATATAAAGACTTCACATCTCCCCAGCCTTCAGTCTGCAGAAATGGCTTAAAAGCAGAGCTTTGGGAATGGGCAAAGATACCAGGCTCCAACAAGCAGCATCCATATCTGTCTACTCATAAATGAGGTTTCCGTTCTTCAACTGTAGATCTATCTCTTTAGCTGCTAGTAGAAAAGTCCCTTTAAAGCCAAGGCCAAAGAGACACCAGCATCTACATTCCTCATGGACAGTCCCTTGCCAGGTATGACTTGGTTTATTCTGTGCCAGAATGCTGATATCTATTATATGGTAAACTTTCCAGTAGTCAGAGTATGAGCCAAATTTCATCTTAACCATTTGTTGACATGCTGATACCTCCATGTTGAAGGATATATAAATGCTCCTCACCCCATGTGTGAGAATGTGAGGTTCAATTGTGTATATCTATCTAGCAATCTGAAGAGAAATCAGGGTATGTAGCAATTTGGAGTAGCCATTGTAGAGATGAACTTTATGTAATTCAGTATATGTTCTTGTACATGCATTTGGCAGTATCTCACAGCCGGTGCACTATTGAGGAATGAAGTAGGCCTCCCTTCTCTAAAAACTGGGTATGTTCAGCCTGGAGAAGAGGAGACTGAGAGGAGATATGATAGCCATCTTCCAATATCAAAAAAGCTGTCACATGGAAGCTGAAGCAAGCTTGTTTTCTCCTGCTCTGGAGGGTAGGACTCAAACCAATGGATTCAAGTTAAAGGAAAGGAGTTTCCAAGTAAACAGCAGGCAGGAAGAACTTTCTGACAATAAGAGCTGTTTGACAGTACTGTAGAATGGACTCCCTCAGGAGGGTGTGGACTCTCCTTCATTGGAAGTTTTTAAATGGAGGTTGGATGGACATCTGTCATGGATGCTTTAGTTGAGATTCCTGCACAACAGAGGGTTGGACTAGGTGACTCTTGGGGTCCCATCCAACTTTTCGATTCTATGATTCTATGTATACACAAACACATTATACTGTACTGTGGTACCTCGGGTTACAGACGCTTCAGGTTACAGACTCCGCTAACCCAGAAATAGTACCTCGGGTTAAGAACTTTGCTTCAGGATGAGAACAGAAATCGTGCTCCGGCGGCACGGCAGCAGCAGGAGGCCCCATTAGCTAAAGTGGTGCTTCAGGTTAAGAACAGTTTTAGGTTAAGAACGGACCTCCAGAACGAATTAAGTTCTTAACCCGAGGTACCAATGTATTACAAAAAACTATCAGTGGTGCTAGATCAACGTTTAGCAAAATTGTGTTTTTAAGACTTACAGAATATAGAAGGTTGGGCACAATTTAGCAGATATTTGATGGTAAGCTACTTGATTCTCACAACAAGGTCAATGCAGGGTTCATCTGACTGTAAGAGCTGGGATATAATTTTTTTCAAAGATGCTAAAAGAAATATTGAATACACGAAGAATTTTAAGTCTGCTGTCTGGTATAGTGAAATCAAACCAGACCATGAAAGGGCCACCTATCTATCAACATTTACTCCGCCCCTTCCCCTGTTCCAGACATGCTTTTACTGAGTTTGGATTCCAAGCCATGCCTATTGATGTCTAGATATGGTTGTAGATTTTCTTACAGACTAGCAAAGGATGGTTTGGGCTTGTGCAGAAAGGCCGAATTGAAGATGTGATGCACTGTATCTTGTACCATCCATTATATAATTATCCAGTGCTTATGTTTATTCTTCCCTTTCAGGCTTTCTTACAAGGCCGGATGATTTTAACTTTGATAACTTTATCTGAATCTCCTATTTTCATTTCTGTGTTTTAATGGGATTGTTTTATTGCGCGTTTTAATGATGGATGTTTATCTTCTAATGTTTCAATGGATAGGTCAGCTGGCTAGAGCATGGTGCTCATAATGCCACGGTTGAAGGTTCAATCACAATAAAGGACAGCTGCATATCCCTGCATTGCAGGGGGTTGGACTAGATGATCCTCAGGGTCCCTTTCAACTCTACAATTATTTTATTCTATGCCGCTCAGTTGCATCCATACATAGATGAAAACCTGCTCGATTGCAGGAAGCCTTTTGCAAAATTTGGTTGTATATTAACAGATGTCCAAACAACTTTCCAAAATATATAAAAGTAGTTAATTATGGATTTTTGTTTTAATGTTTTGTAACTGGTTATTTAGAACTGCTTAGAAGAATGTTTTGGCATTAACTGTATGCATACAGAGCTTTTTGTTACAATACTCACAGGCACAGAAAACAAGCACCTCTTTTTTTGCTGCCCATGGCACCCACAACGTGCTTACCAAGATATGAGAACTGGTACATCGTTTATTTTATTTTATTTTTAGAAGAACACAGTATGTTTGTATCTTGCTGTGTGTGCAAACTTTCAAAAGTTGCAGTTCCCCACCTGCAATCTAGGGGGTACTGTTACAGAGAATACCAAGAATTCTGCCAACTCGCTCATCCCTCTCCTTCTGCTAATTATTATTAATTTATTCAATTTATATACCACCCTTTATCCAAAGATCCAAGGGCGGAATACAACACTACAAACATAATTTAAGCAGAACAACAACAACATAATACACAGCATAACAATACGCAGCATCATCATAATAAAACGAGCATAACAATAATGTGTAGGATTGAGTTTTGCTTTCACAAAGAGCTCTCTGTTTAGCAAGCAACGTTAAAATTCAGAACTTGGACACGGCTTCTAACATGGCGAACGCCCAGAGGCTGCAGATGGTTCGCCTCGTGCCGCGGCACTGTGCCCCGGACAAAGGGGGCAGGATTACAACGTTCCAGGCGAGGTGCCACCAGGCAGCACGTGGCCTGAAAGGATGCCCCCCTGGTGCTGCTCCAGACCCTGGCTGCCGTTTCACCCCAGCGTGCCAACTGCATTTCCGAGCCCACAGAGCTGTATCTGCGTGTGCAAGCAAGGCAGGGGAAAGTCTCCCTTGGCACGCGAGTTGTCCCATGAGCAGAGGAGGAGGCACATTTGCCAAAATACTTAAGCGCAATCCTATACCGATCAACTCTCAGGTGTGTAAAGGATTGCAACGTTATTTCCCTCTCCTATGTTTTGGTATCCGAGCAAGAGGCCTCTTTGTTCTGACTGCAATTTAGGACGGGCATTCCCCCGTTGCATGGCTTGCGGGGAACCCTCCACAGTACCAGAGACGGGTCACTATTCGTCAGTTCACGAACAGAACCGGGGGTTGGGTCCTCCATACAAAAAAAGCATGCCTTGCAGCGTCATTCCCCCCCGCCCCAAGGCGAGAGCACCCAGCCTGCATGCCTGCCTAGGGCGGGGAGGCGGCGCCCGGCGCTCGCTCCGCCAACTGGCCTCGTGCTGCTCCGAGGCACCCGGCCGGTACGGGTGTTTAGCTCCCCGCCCCCTCGCCCCCCGAGCCAGCCAATCCCGCCACTCGGCGCCTGATCCGATCCAAACGGCGCCACCCCATTGGTTGGACGCCGTCCCTCTCCTCACCGCCGAGGAGCCCGACCGGCCAACCAGGAGGGAGGTGGGCTGCGCTTCGAGTCGGGCCGGGGGCGGAGCGCCGGGTGTTAAGCGCCGAACGTTGGCTCGGTTGGGGCTGTGCAGGGGAGCGCAAGGAACGGTCGACTCGCGAGCTGGGGGTGACGCCGGTCCGCGAGCGGGTGTGACACGGTCGTGGGGAAGGCGCGCGCGTGTCCCCGACGCGGTTCTTCTGAACCCGGGTCTCCAAACATCCTCTGTAAAGAGACTTGCCCCGTTGCGAGGAAAGGAGAGGGGCGAGTGCCCGCCTTGCTTTCCACAGGGCGGCGGCGCTGCTAAGACGGTGCTGACCGTTGTACGTGGGAAGAGGCGGCGGAGGGTAGCGGGGTCTCGGGGGTTGTTGGAACAGGTGGCTGCTAGGTGAGCCAACTGGGGACTGAAGAGGCCGGCTGTGCAAAGCAAGTTGTGCCGGCTTGTTGGGTGCTGCGGGAGTCGAGCGGATCCGATTAGGAGAACGACTTGGGTTGTTAGGCGCGTTGCGTGTGCGTGAGTGCCGGCGAGGGTTCGCGATGGGTCCTCTGCTGTCTCTCGGGGTCGGGCTTCTGCTGCTCATCCTGTGGGCCCGCTACAAGGGGCTCGCGTACGTTCTGGTCCACCATCGCTGGGTCTTCGTCTGCCTCTTCCTGCTGCCCCTCTCCGTGCTCTTCGACATCTACTACCAGTTCCGCGCCTGGATGGTGCAGAAGATGCACAGCGCGCCCCGGCAGCACAACCTGCGTGTTCGCAACATCCAGGAGCAGGTGAGAAGGGCGGGCGGAGGGGGAAAGTCCCCCCAAAAGGGTTTACAAGTTGGAAGAAGCGCAGGCTGTTCAGTTTTCCTAGTAAGACTCCGGGTGTTCCTGGCCTTCCTTCCCTGGAGCAGAGGTTTTCAAGCATGGAAGTTGGCCAGAGGTTTGAATGAGGCTAAATAGAAGTTTTGAGTTGCGGATCAGGACTACTCACAGTAACCATTTAGTCTGGTGTCCCCCCCCCTTTTTAGCAGTTTTGTGATATTACTGATATTGGGAATTTTTCTCATACAAAAACTCAGAGGAGATATCCTGACAATTATGTTGTTGCCCTGTTACTTTGGGTTGCATCTCTGGCTGCACCCTTGGACCAAAGCAGGGATGGGAAACCTGTGGCCCTCCAGATGATGTTGGACTACAACTACAATCATCCCAGCTATTGGCTTTGCTAGCTGAGGCTGATGTGATTTGGAGTCAGTTTCCCCGTTCCTGACCAATCAGCTGTGGGCCTGTAGCAGTGATACAGTGCTAAATTAATATCTTATTTACTTATATACCATGTGATGCTAGAGTAGGTTTCTGAGCAGTTTAGAAAATATTAAAAAACCCAGCCATTAAAATACACTAGAAAACAGTACCATTAAAATTAAAAGGTGGGAAAATCAGATGATGCTCATCTAAGTGGGTTGCTCCAGATGAAGATATCAAGGGACACATCTTGCAAACAGGTGTGTTTTCAGAAACCGGCAGATGGTCAATACAAGTAGTGATGTATTTCAGCAGAGAAGGCATTCCATTACAGTGGTGCCCCGCAAGACGAATGCCTCGCAAGACGGAAAACCCGCTAGACGAAAGGGTTTTCCGTTTTTGAGTTGCTTCGCAGGACGAATTTCCCTATGGGCTTGCTTCGCAAGACGAAAATGTCTTGCGAGTCTTGAGATTTTTTTTCCGCTCCCCCCCCCTTTTTTCTAAGCCGCTAATAGCCTTTTAGCAGCTAAGCCGCTAAGCCTTTAATAGCCGCTAATAGCGCTAATCCGCTAATCCACTAATAGGGTTGCTTCGCAAGACGAAAAAAACGCTAGACGAAGACACTCGCGGAACGGATTAATTTCGTCTTGCGAGGCACCACTGTATTGTTACACAAACCAATTGTAGGTGGAAGGAAAGGTGCTGCAAGAAAGCAGTGCCAGTATTTGTCACATTATTGCTCTCTAGACAGTATCTTCTTCATAGAATCATAGCATTGTAGAGTTGGAAAGGACCACAAGGGACACGTAGTCTTCAGTGGTCCTCTTGTTTATGGATAACAGGCATAAACATTAGTGGAGTCCATATGTGGCTTGTGTAGGTATGTGCCTGATGCTAGGGAAACCATAAATCAGGAAGCATTCAAATTGCAGAGAGCCTATTCTGTGCCATGTGTCTCCCTGACAGGTCATTATAATAATAATAATATTTTTTATTTATACCCCGCCCTCCCCAGCCAAGGCCGGGCTCAGAGCGGCTTACAAGCAATAATAAAAACAAGTTGAATGATTACAACATTATACCAAACAGGCCTTTACTCTTTCGTTCCTGTTGATGAAAATAGCAACTTCCTGTGTAGAAAGGTTACAGCACTTGGGGCTTTTTAGTGTAGAGAAAAGGCCATTAAGAGGAGACATGCTAGAGCTAGAAGAACACGGTGCACACCAATGGCACTGTATAATCATCATTGTGGGGTTCATTAGCATGAGATACTTTAACCTCACACTGCAGTTTTCTGCTCATCACAGTGCAAACAAGGCCAGACTGGCCTGTGCTGTCATGCTTTTCAGATAGTAGAGTGTGTTCACATTACCACTTTAAAGCTCAGTGAAGTCCTTTCCGCTGCCTCAGTGAATTTCGCAGCACAGCTCATTCTGTCCCCCCTCCCCAGCTTTTTACATCAACATGGCTCCACTAGTGTAAGATTTGTGTCTGTTTGTGTGCACACTAGGGTGCATTGGCAGGCAGTGACACCTTTTCCCTATGTAGAAGTGTTCACACCTTGGCTGGAGATGAATTGCGAATGGCTTAAGGACTCTCAATCAGTGTGAAGCTAGTTTGGGGGGAAACTCATAAAACAGTAGTGTAACAAAGTCCAGGATGCATTTGCAGTGAGCACAGGGGGAGTGTGAACACTGCCCTAGTAGGCTCTTATTCTGTCTTAATTGCAATACCAATGCAAATTTTAAAACCTTTTGTGTTAAAGGTACTATCTTGAGAACAGGCAGAAAAACCATTAAGTGGTCCACCAAGACCCTCAAGAATTTTCAAGTAATCTGGGGGAGGGGGAGTTCAGGAACTGTTGGCTTAGGTTTTCTAAATTAAGCAGTATATAAATTTTGTTAAGTAAATGTTTGCTTTTAGTTGCCCCATTATATTTAATGGGACTTCCCGGGAAGTGTACGTAGGATTCTTCTAGTCAGAATCAGTTTTCTCAGATGCAGATCTGTTTACTTGCAAAAACAACATCAAGTTGTTATATATAAGGTGTTAAATTAATCTTCCTTTCTTGCAGGTACGAGAATGGAAAAAAGAAGGGCTAAAAACATATATGTGCACAGGACGTCCTGGCTGGCTTACAGTGTCTCTTCGTGTTGGAAAGTACAAGAAGACGCTTAAAAATATAACAATCAACTTGATGGATATTCTGGAAGTGGACACTGAGAGAATGGTAAGCTTGGAATTGATCCTTCTATTTTAGTGATCAACTTTTGTTCAAGGGATGTGGCCATTGCTGAACATCATTGAGCCTGTTGGTTTTTGTGCTTTCTGGTCCTCTTTGAGGTGCCTGACCAAGGATGAGGCACATGATTTCGAAGCGGAAGAATCAGACCTTGGGACACAGGACCTCTGGTGTGGCAGTACTACTGAGGATGTTTCCCCACTAGCTGGTGTCTTCAGAATTGCTGTCTTTTGCTCACTCTGTCTTAGTAGCAGGGAGTGGGCAGCAGCACATACCTGACCTCATGTCACGCCAGCTTATTGCAAGGGGCCAGGTTGGCGCAGTGCAAACTCGTTGGTGGAACCAATGTGGCACTCCTTGCACCTTCCTGTCTCCCTCCCAGTAATATGTAGAAACACCAGTGACGGAAGGGCAAGTAAACGCTGCCATCCCACTGACCACTACTTCTCTGTGTTTATGGAGAGTTGCCTACGCATCTTGGATGCGGGAACTACTCACCTTCAGTGCCTTCATCTTGGCAGGATTCAAGCTCTGCTTGTTTTTCCTCATCCATTTCACCACTGCATCTAAGTACTATCCCAGGGACTATACAGCCTCTCCCACTTCAGATATTACGGAGAATAGAGCTGAGTTTCATCAGCATACTGATGGCACCTTGCCCCAAAACTCAAAATGACCGACCCCAGTAGCTTCATGTAGATATTAAACAGCATTGGAGATAAGATGCTGTGGCAAGAGGCTGAAAAGCACTCTCAGTGGTACTCTCTGGACTCAGGGTTGGAACCACGGCAAAATGCATTTATTATCATTAAACAAGGAGATCAATGTAGATAACTGCTTGATTATGAAAGAAATGAAAGCTGCAATTTCTGTATACAAATTGAAGGATGAGGCTTCTGTTCATGGGAAGTTGGCTTACACAACTCTGCCTAGCAAGTGGAAGGTACAATAGCCAGGAACAGAGGCATGACCCTACACTTTGTTCATGCACTAGTATATATGTTTGTGATAAACAGTGCAGACAGGAGTTTCTTGGGCCAAATTTTCAAGTTTTTGGTGCAACCTTAGCTGCCTTGTCTGCTGCAGAAAGTACTGTTGTGCTGCTCAGTCTTAAAGCATTCATGCTATGGGTTTCCTAGTTGTAATTTGCCTAATTACATCCAGGATAGGCAAGCATGATTGCAACACTAACCTGTTTAAAGTATTTCTGTAATGGGTTTAGGGGTTGCTCGTGTGTAAGTTGCCGCCACTCCTGGCTAGGTTACCTGGTTAACCCTTTCTGACTGAGCAGCCTCCAGCATCGTCACTGTCTCAGTCGCTGGCAGAATCCGTCAGTGGGCGTTTCTTAAACCTTTTCCAGCATAAAAGTTGTTTGACGCCAAGTCTCCTCCTACTCTCCCTGCGCGGAAGTCTTCTGCGCAGGGAGGGTGTGGGCAGCAGAGTACCCGTACTCTCTCCGCTGGTCTCCAGCGAAGAGTCTTGGAGCCTCCTCCCCGATTCCCCCACCTGCCCCCCTTCTCCACTGGTGTTACGCTGATTTCCTTCCCCAGCAGATGGGCTGCCTCTCTCCCTACTGGGACCCTCTCCTGCATCCCTTTGGAGCTTTCCCTCCGCCTCTAGCTCCGATGGCAGTTCCCTGACAATTTCCTTTCCACTGCACAGTGGTGCCTCGCAAGACGAAATTAATTCGTTCCGTGAGTTTTGTCGTCTTGCGATTTTTTCGTCTTGCGAAGCACGGTGTCAGGAAAGTTTTGGAAAAGCTTCAAAAATCACCAAAGTCTTTAAAAACCTCAAAAAAGGCTACCACACCGCGTTCTATGAGTTGCTCCTCGAAGTCAAGTCGCAACTGTATTAACGGTGTTAAGAAAAAGGAAACAAACTTGCAAGACGTTTCCGTCTTGCGAAGCAAGCCCATAGGGAAAATCGTTTTGCGAAGCAGCTCAAAAAACAAAAAACCCTTTCGTCTAGAGAGTTTTTTGTCTTGCGAGGCATTCGTCTTGCGAGGTACCACTGTATTTCCTGATTCACAAAGACCGAGGTAACTTTTAAGGTGTGCACTGAATGATGGGGCAGATTGCATTTCTGTGTTACTGCTTTGGCATCAGATTTGTATTGATGGCGGCATTCAGTCTTGGCATATAAAATGTGTTCTTCCTTAGGTTGTCCGTGTGGAACCCTTGGTCACAATGGGACAGTTAACAGCACACCTCAACCCCATAGGCTGGACTATTCCAGTGGTACCAGAACTTGATGACCTTACTGTAGGTGAGAGGTCTTGGGATTTGTACAATATAACTACAACTCTTAAATATTTCAATAATGTTCCACTTAGCAATTAAAAGCAAATTACTTTTAAACTTTTCCGTGATGCATAAGATCTAATGCTCACTGTATGATTCCCAAGCTGTGAAAATTCACTTGTTATTTAATTAAGTCCTCTGGGAAATGAAAATACAATTCATGTGATTGTTGTGCAATGATCTCTTGTTCAGGTGGTTTGATCATGGGGACTGGTATTGAATCATCCTCCCACATCTATGGACTGTTTCAGCATTCCTGCGTGGCCTATGAACTTGTTCTTGCTGATGGGAGCCATGTGAGATGTACACCGGTAAGATAACATTCTAATTTGCTGTGGTTTGTGACATTATGTCTGCTCAGTATCTGTATGTGCCTTAGTGTTGTGTGCTTTTTGCAGGAGGAGAACTCAGACCTATTTTATGCAGTTCCTTGGTCCTGTGGCACACTGGGCTTCCTGGTGGCAGCAGAAATAAAAATGATCCCAGCGAAAAAATATGTGAAGCTGCATTATGAGCCTCTGAGAGGACTGAAGACAATCTGCAAGAGATTTGCTGAAGAATCTGAGAAGAAAGAAAACCATTTTGTGGAGGGTCTGGTTTATTCTTTAGAAGAAGCTGTCATAATGACCGGAGTTTTGACCAATGAAGCTGATCATAGTAAGGTAACAACATTGATTCTTTCACTTCTTCAGGTAAATAGGACACCGGCAGGGGGAGAACTAGCGAACTTGCCTCTGAAAACCAATCTCTGCACTTTGTTGATTCTAAAGTTAAGAGAGCCCATCTGCAGTACAGGCTTCCTTTAGTTTTTATGGTACAGTGGTGCCCCGCAAGACGAAAAACTCGCTAGACGAAAGGGTTTTGCGTTTTTTGAGTCGTTCCGCAAGACGAATTTCCCTATGGGCTTGCTTCGCAAGACGAAGCGTCTTGCGAGTTCTTGCGAGTTTGTTTCCTTTTTCTTAAAGCCGCTAAGCCGCTAATAGCTGTGCTTCGCAATACGAAAAAACCGCAAGACGAAGAGACTCGCGGAACGGATTAATTTCGTCTTGCGAGGCACCACTGTATTTTTAATGCCATAGCTTTCCCTAGAGAGCAGTAGTTCATTGAGAGTGTTGTGAATTCTTTTTTGGAGCTCAGCCTCCCTTACACAACAGTAGTTCCCATGGTTCTCTGGATGGAGGAGTGACTGTTAAACTAGTTTAACAAAATACTGGGCAGATCCATTCCATGAGTGGAATGTCTTGCACATTATTAATCTGGTGGGAGAGGTAATTCTACAAAAATAATTGCCAGTGTTGATTGCATACAGACATTTGCATGTAAATGATGTACATTGCATGACTTTATATCAAAGATAGATAGTGTGTCACCCTACAGACGTTGTTGGACTGAACTGTCAGTCGGCCCCGGCCAATGCTTAGGGGTGGAGGGAATTGTAGTGCAGCAACATCTGGAGCAGCAACCCTCATAGCTACCCCTGATCAACACAACCTGTTGTTGGTGTTTCCTTGGCAATCTTACTCTTAACAGTTGCAGAAATGTGCTGAGCATTAAAAGAACTTGCATTCAATTGCAGCTGTAATTAGAGCCACGTTATGAAACTTTGTCTTCAGGCAAAGTAGCTTTTGTGCTGGTGTGTTCATTGTGTTTCTGTTTATCTTAAGATCAACAGAATTGGATGCTACTACAAGCCATGGTTTTTCAAGCATGTGGAGAACTATCTAAAGGCTAACAAGACGGGAACGGAATATATCCCTGCAAGGCAATACTATCACAGGCATACACGGAGCATATTCTGGGAGCTCCAGGTAAGGTTCCAGTTCGTGCCATATTTGCTGTCAGTCAAGCCCACAGACACATCCTTATCAATTCAACCCTCTCTCTAGTAATGATAAACCTAGTTAGCGAAATAGCTGACTAGCCCAAACTTCTTCCCCATATTATATATCAGGGTAGGAACTAGATCTGACCAGCTGACGTGTCCCAGTTCCCATGGGCCAGTTTGACAGCTGCCTACCTGTTGGTTGCCTGATATCAGTTGATCAGTGGCTAGTGCAAAAAAAACATTTCATTTGCCCACGCCCTTTGATTTCAAGCCACGGGAGCAAAGGGGAGGCATTTCCCCTCAGGGCTTGTCGTAAGCGCCAATGTGAGCCAACTGGGAAAATGGTTGCGGTAATTCCCCAGACTGAAAAGCATCATATTGCTGCAGCTCACTGCACAGAAAATCCTTCCAATGTTATGTGGGATTAGTTGCTAATTAGCTAAATCCATATGTGCTGTAGTTTTTATTTTATTGTATGTACTAATTAGTGCCACTAGTAATTGTAATCGACTTGATTTTTGTAAACCGCATACTGTGGTACCTTGGGTTACATACGCCTCAGGTTACATATGCTTCAGGTTACAGACTCCGCTAACCCAGAAATAGTACCTCGGGTTAAGAACTTTGCTTCAGGATGAGAACAGAAATCACGCGGCGCAGCGGCAGCAGGAGGCCCCATTAGCTAAAGTGGTGCTTCAGGTTAAGAACAGTTTCAGGTTAAGAATGGACCTCCGGAACGAATTAAGTACTTAACCTGAGGTACCACTGTACAGGTTTTCTTTCAATTAAGCAGCATGTGAATTTTGTTAAAATAAATGAATGATGAAAAAGTGTTGAGGTGTTGTTTTTTAAGGCACACAGTTACTTCTGAAGTCAGCGATCCAGGTTTGAAATGCTTAGCTTTCTCACGACATGCATTTGGTCTGTTTTCTAGGATATCATCCCATTTGGCAATAACCCTGTTTTCCGCTACCTGTTTGGTTGGATGGTTCCTCCTAAAATCTCCCTCTTAAAACTGACCCAAGGAGAAGCAATTCGGAAGCTGTATGAGCAGCATCACGTTGTACAAGACATGATGGTCCCCATGAAAAGCCTTGAGCAGTGTATCGAAACCTTCCACAGTGACATCAAAGTAAGAGCATCTTTCCTAACTTCCAGGTTGTTCTTGGTAGCAGTAGTTAAACAAAACATGTCTCGACTACAGGATTCAGAAGGGCTGGGTAGTGGCTCCCATGTATCGCTTTGTCGTGAATTTGTTCTTCCGTTGTCTCTAGGTTTATCCTCTGTGGCTCTGCCCCTTCATCTTGCCCAATAACCCTGGAATGATCCACCCAAAAGGAGATGAAGCAGAGCTCTATGTGGACGTAGGAGCCTACGGAGAGCCCAAAACAAAATACTTCGAAGCTAAGGCTTCCACCAGGCAAATAGAAAAGTTTGTAAGGAGTGTTCATGGGTAAGGGTCTAAGTCCCGAAAGGGCATTCTCTCATGTTGTTAGGAGAACTCTCTTGCAGTTACCTTTTCAGCTTGCTGCATGACGATGTTGCAAAAACAAAAAGAATTTTAACTTAATTTTTTATTGGTCAGGGTTTTTTTAATTTTAGGATAGGATAAATATTTTTTTTATTTATCCTATATTATTTAACAAAAACGTGCTTCATTATAAGCTGCTATGACAGACTTACCTTTTGGGGCTACTGGGCAGTCTGAAGTGTTTTCTGTTCTAAAATTCAGAATTGGTTTCATGGGGTTCTATTGGAGTACTGGGGACTAGACAAAAGGGTTCCTTTAGGATAAGATCTGAACGTTTGTGCTGGCAAAATAGCCTGCTCTAAGAAATGAGCAATAGTTTCTGCGGCCTTCTGATGCAACAATTTTAAGATCTGTTTTTCGTTCTTCCTTTTAGTTTTCAGATGTTGTATGCTGATTGCTATATGACCCGTGAGGAATTCTGGGAAATGTTTGATGGCTCGCTGTACCACAAGCTGAGGAAGCAACTTCATTGTAATGATGCTTTTCCAGAGGTGTATAATAAAATCTGCAAATCTGCAAGACATTAAATCGGACTCACCTGAGCAAGAAATCGGGTGAAGTTGGATTTTATAATAACTAATTGCTCTGCCCTTAACGAAAGCATGTTGTTGCTGTCCCAAAGACTTCAAGCATATTTGTGATTTAAGAGATATAAACTCCTGCCTTTATATGAAAAAAAATCTACACTTAATAATCTTATAGTTTAGAAATGGAAATTCCTATAAGGTTTATTTATAGGTTTGCTATAGATCTTTTAGTGGTTTCCTGTAGAAAAATGGGAAAAATCTGAGTTTTGAGGATGCTAGAACTGCAGTCTAGCTAGCAATTGCCAGTGGGAGTTTGATAGGAGCTTCACTACTACAAATGTAATGGGATGGGATCCTGTAATTTAGAACATCACCTCTACGTGAGGGTAGTGCCAAATACCTGCCAAATGAGACTGCCTTTAAATTACGTCACTGTTGCCTATACCATATCACTAAGCTTTCCCAGGATTTCCATTTGAATTGTTAAAAGTAACCATGCATTAGATTCACAGTTGTAGACCTGTCTGTCTGAAAGCGTTGGAAGTTACGGTTTTCAGGCAATTTGAATTGTTCAGCCTCTCTCTTTTACTTTGAATTACATTTTTCTTTAGTTGTGTCCATCAAGGTTTCTTTGATGCAGGGGAAGACTTGCTGGTATGCACTGTGGAGGGATTGATGCATTTGTTTTTCCTGTTTATAAATGATGTTGCTTTTGTCTGTTCTCCCTCTTGCCCCCAGTTCTACAAGTCTTCAGTGCAAACTGCCGCTGGATGGCCTTTGTTTGTTTGTTTTCCTGTGTTGCTTTTTGGTATCGCTGCTGCTGCTACAAGATACAGAATATGCTATGATTATCTGTTTTTTGGGTAACAAACACTGGATTAGCAGTTTAAATGGATTGTCAGAAATGCAAGATTGGCCTCATTTTTCATAATACACGGAGAAGATGAACACTGATCAGACACTGAGCAAAGTGGTTTCATTTTGTTGCCTAACTAATTTAGGCTTTATTTTGTTTTTGAAATGCGTAGCAAATTATGGGTTTTGTGTGGTAGATGGTGCACATAACTTTAGTTTGAAAGGCAGTATTCACCATGGGTATCTTTTATTTTTAGGAAGTTTTTATTTTTATTTTTAGTGCCTTAATCAACTGGAAGAGACTTGGATCATTTTAGCCATCCTATTTTTTAGACTTCATTAGCGTTTGGAAATGCGGGTGGGGTAGGAATAGATATCCAGATTTTTAAAATGTCGGAACATGCACCCCACATGTAGATGAAAGGAAACTTAAGCTTTTGTATGATGTAACTCAATCCTATGCACATTTACCCACAAGTCCCACTTTCAGTAAGCCTTAAGAGAGCCACGTACATCCAGAAGCCAAACTTGCACGCAGCCAGCCTTGTAGGAGGACGGATACCATTTCTTCATCCTCTTTACCCTCATCCTGCCCAACAAAAAGCAGAGGGTTTGGATGAAGCAGAGCTGTCCTTCTGCCTAAATCTGTCAGCGAGAGAGATCTGTTGCCATCTGTCAAGCCCTCCAAAGTGCTCGCTAAAAAGGTGGGTGACAGATACAGCTGGTGATATTCAGCAGAAACCTGGGGTTGAGAGACCAACACATGATCAACTGGATCCTGAGCCATCCCAGCTGCTGGCAGCCACAGGCCCGAACTAGGCCACCAGCCCAGCCCTGGGAGCTGTTCTAGTGAGGGGGAATTTTGCCCCCTGCTTCTTCCACACTGGCTGGTGTGTTGTCAGTAGGGCTGTGGAAGTAGCAGTGGCTACAATTCATTAAACCTAGCCTTAGTGGTCCAGGGGTTTGGGTTGCACACTAGTGAGAGAGGAGCGGGCCTCAACTTTACTTTTATGTGTGCCCCCCTTTTCCATACATTCTGATTAATGTTAAAATGTTAACATGGCTGTTTTCTTTTTCACAGTTCTACAAGCTAGTGGTTTTTCTGTTAGGGTAAAGCTTCTGCACTGAAGCAATAAGCCCCCAACGCCTCTAACATCAATGCTTCCTAAAAACTTAATGTAATAGCAATAGGTTAAGTTTAGCTGGGGCCATAAACTTCCCCATAATAAAACTCGCTTTACATCTGTAATCAGTTTTACAGGGGTTAAGTGGGTTTGGGTTTCTTCTTTCCTTTTCATTGCACCAAGTTTAACCAAAATCTGATCCAAAGACTAGTCAAGACTCAAAAATTCTCACGTGGAATTATTTATCTGAACATAGGGAGAAATGTTCGGCTTGGTGAGACAATATGAAAACATCTTACTGTCTGTGGGGTTTTATTTATGACCAGCTGATGGTTTTATTTATTGGAAGAGAATAAACAAGAGCATATTTTAGCTACTCAGTAATGCACATGCGTTTAGACTGACCCATCTGATAACTATTCCTTGATGGGGGAGAGCCCTGCATACACTGCTGTAGCACATCTGAAAACCATTCTCGTAATGTTTGTGAGAGTAGGAAGTGGCAGTAGCAGTAAAAAGGCACTGTAGCTGTGCCAGCGTTTTGGGCATAGGTTGAATCCAGAAATGGACTGAGAGTTGACAGTGCAATCCATGCTTGCCATTATTTATCTGTGCAGGAATGAGTTCTAAAGGCAAAGTGCCAGAGTCTGTAATCTGTAGAGTATGTCTTTGTGTCGCACACGGTTCTGTTTCTCATCACAGGCTGTATCTGCAAGTGTGTTTGTCCTCTATTGCTACAACCATAGTGAAAAAGAGTCCCAACCACTCAGATGTCCTAATTTTATACCAGCAGCCACAGTGTACTTACGTTGCAACTGTCAGCTGTTTTGTACTGCTGCTCTCGGGCAGAACTTGTGCTACCACCATAAAAAAAAATATGCTATTTTGATGTGACTGAATAAAATGGTGTTGAGAAGATCTTTGCTGTACGTCTCTAGCATCTCAAGTCATTTTGAATGGAAGACACATTTGAAATGTCATTTATTGGGCAGAACTCTTTGAAAACTTTCAAGTAGGTCTTCATAGAAGCTGGGTTCAGGAGCTTTTTGAAGTGCTCATAGGATTTTTGAAGCTATCAAAATTCAATCTTTAGCTTTTTCCTAGACTTAACTGTTATTTCTAATCCTGGGATCACATCCATATTTATAGAATATGTTGTATTGCATCCTTTTTTTAAAAAAAAGAGTTTATGCCTCCATTAGACTATAAAATGTCTCAAAAGTAAACCTTGCCATAAATTTCTCCAGGGTCTTGCCTGGCATTATTTTACCACATTATTCAGCAGTATAATAAAATGTCCTTAAAGGAATTGACAAAATGAACTAATACTTCAATTCCTTGTGCTTCAGTACTATCTAGTTCAGAAGTAACGAATATGTGCCCTCTAAACATTGTTGGCCTCATGGTCGGGGATGATGGTCCTTGTAGTTGCATCAACATCTGGAAAGCATCCTGTTGGCTCATGTTGGTCTACTTAAATATAATTTTTCATACACCAAATAGGATTGAACCATTTAGTGTTCAAATGCTGTGACAGTCAATGCTACCCTATGAGATCTGTAGGGAATATGCCCACCCACAAAAAAGCAAGAAAATGTTCAATGGTGTTAATCATCAATGAAACAACAAATTGATAGGAAACACAACTACTTGTATTCATGCCAATCATCCCTGTCCGGATACAGCCTTATGTCTCTAGCAACTGCTGCTATTTCTGTTCGTGTGACTGCATTGAAGGATTGCACAAGGTTTCTATGTGCACATACGTTGTACACCTGCCAAGTTAACTTAAGGTATTACACTGGAGCCAAGAAGCTCCTCCTCCTCCATCACCACCAACCAGCATGTATTGGTGCTTCTGATACGAGTTCAAACTTTCCAGATAGATCCCTGGCAGAAGAGAGGCACTTTAAAAACACCTGACCCTGATTGTCTGCAATATTTGGAGGAACCAGTAGCAACTGCAAACTGTGATTTCTTTACTCATACAACTGACTAGTACAATTATTATTATTATTTGCTGGTGTGGACTACATGTAACAGTAAGCAGTTCAGTTTGTGTCTAGCATTTTTAATATTGATATAATTACATCAGCATGCTGGTTTTCAAAAAACACATTAACCATATTCCACCAAGTGTCTTGATTTGAGTGTTATACATAATTACCAAGAAATGATTGTAGATGGGTACGGGATACGATATAGCAAATGTTGAGGTGTCTGTGTCCTCTTGGCAGGATTTTTTATGGACATTAACTAGAAATGCAGCTGATACCTGGTGACTTAACTATACTATGTTTCAGGAAGCAACGAGTCTTCAGGTAGATTAACAGAGTCTTTGGGGGCCTTTATTAACAGGCGTGATCCTCTCCCTGAAAAAGAGGATTGAATTGTGAGAGGAGTAAGCCAGCAAAATGTTTACCTTCAAAGAGATGCAAATGAGCTGAAAATTGCACCCAATTCAAGAATTAATTTTAGGAATTCTAGTTAAGCTCCACTCCTTCTGGGTTCTAGTTTATTGTTCCCCTGGTTTGTTTAGCCTTACGGAAGCAGAATGGGCAACATCTTTTTATCTCCACATGAGACATTTTCACTCTCAACGCTTCCTGTCCCACTGGCCTGAGCCAAATCCTCAACATTTCACAACCCCAATTCTATTATTCTAGATCCTGAAAAGTTTCCAAATTCTAAAACTAAGTTACAATCAAAACTTGGCATCCAAAACAAGGCATGCAAATTAGGCCAAGTGTACAAATTCGAATGAATTGCTCGAGCACAATTTCACGGACTGTACTTCTAGAACTTAGAAGTTGCTGCTTCCTCTGTGTTTTGTAATTTTTTTACTTACTGTAAGCACTTGTCCCTCTCCAGGTTACTAAGGTAACGCTGTGTATCATGCATATAAAGCGAACGGTATCTGATCTTCTTTCGGTATTTCTCATGTTTCATAGTATCATAGCGGCCAACTCCAACTGGGTTCTATAAACAGGAAAGCAGACAAGGAGCAGCTTTGGGTATCCTGAGATGCAGATCTGTAAAGCCCTTGAGCATCCACTTCTTGTCTGGCCAATGGAATGAAAGTAAGCTCATGCTGGGGAGATGAATGGGCATTAAGCATTCCCTCTGTGCAAAATCCCCTTTTGGCATTAGACAGTAGAAGTGCAAAATGCACAGGTTTGGACTACTTTCACAACTGCTTGTTAATGTTCCCTGTTATGTCTGAGACTTTCTGATTTTTGTGAGCGACATCATGAATGTTCAGCTGCACTATAGTGAAGATGATACCACCTCTCATCTTTATAACATTGGAACAGACATCCACCTCATTGATACCCAATATATATCTACATATCTTGTCATAAGGTCCTCCAGATGTTGGTGGACTACAACTTCCATCGTCGGTGGACATTGGTCATGCTGGGGCTGATGGGACTTGTGGTTCAACATACAGAGAGCCACAGGCTCCCCACACATGTCTTAAAGGAAGACTTCTGATTCTCTCAAAGGGAGACTGGGTTGAAAGAATTGTGAACCTAGCCTTAAAGGCTTTGACATCACAATCCAAAGGCTCATTCCACTTTTTCATGAATCTCTATAAGTGCAGTGGATTAGTCTAATGAGTAGAATGATTTCAAACCAATTTATTTGGACAATATACCAATGGCTTGACCCTATATTAGGCCATGCCATCTAGTCCTCCAACAGCCCCCCTGCCAAGATTTCACACTGGGATTCCTGTCACCAGAAATGTCTGTGGCCCTGGTAGAGGGAGATATTCCACAATCCACCTAGCTTTTTATTGGGGGCAAAGCCTTCTCCCTTGCTGCTGTTTGGAAGTTGCCTAAAAAATAAATTGGCCCATTTAACTCAGCACTGTCTGCACTGACTGGGAGCCGCTGTCCAGGGTTTCAGGCGAGAGTCCTCCCACCCACTGACTGAGAATGACAAACATTGGACCTGGGACCTTTGGCATGCCAAACACTGGCTCTTCATCTGAGCTATGCCTCTTTTCCAATGTTGCCATTAGTACAATTGCTGTAGGGAGAGGCCATGCATCTAAAACGCCTCTGCAAAGGGTCCTCCCCATCTCCTTGGGCTAAGAATGGCAGTAGAACAGAGAGAGGCTGTTCCGGCTATCAACAACACTCCATTTGCATGTTTTGTACTTGAGAACATCAATCCCCCCTTTCATTTCCATACATATACAATAATTCTCATTCATTTCGCCAACTCTGGCTATTTGAACCCAGATCACTGAGGAGGCCCCTCTGAAGTAGGCTTTTTTTAGATGTCCCAGTGGCCAGAGCAAAACGATTTGCTCCTCCATTGCATTAAAAACTCTCGAACCGCCGGCAGGTAAGTTCAGTTCTCTGCCAACTTTATCCGCGACACTTAATCACCACCAGCAAAGTTCCCCATCAATTATGAAAGAGCCCTTCATTCTTGACCTCTTTTAAGTTCCCTGCTCTCCAGGATCAAGGAGAGAGAACAAACCCTGCCTGGGAGTCCTTACCTGTTCCCTAAGTGGAAGTGAACTCTTTCAAATGAAAGCTTTCGCTGACTGAGTCCTCCCAGCTTTGTTCCAGTTCACCACAGGAACCCAGAAAAGATGAATGCAGATGATACAAGAAAGGGCACAAGGAGAAGGAGGAACAGAGCCAGAGCCATCCCTTTGGCACATCATTACTAAAAGGAGATTTAGCCTATCAGCAAAAGGGATGCGACACTATCAAACAATCTAAAATAGATTCCCTCAACCCAGCACAGAGTAAGGGGCACTTGAGCCTAGTGGAGACAAAAGTATTCCATTTGTGCACTGCAAAATTCCTGATCATAAATGTGTTTGCTTGGGGGGAAATAGTCCTACTTCTAAGTAAGTACACATAGGAGCGTGGTCAAAGTATAAGGCAGGGATGGCCGTGTGTGTGTGTGTGTGTGTGTGTGGCCCCACCTGCAACTGGGCAGTGGCAGAGGAAATGTTTCCAACCAATCCAATTCTCTGCCACTTCACCATTCGTGCCTTTGCCATGCTTCCTGGTGGGCTCATGTGAGATGCCCTTTGCTCCATTGAGCCCCTTCTCAGGACAGGCAAATCTTATCCATTTTGGTTTCTCTCCGCTTCTCATTTTCCCATTTAGTACATGCATTACTTGGCAGGAGAACTGCACTGGAATATCTGGAGAAGTGCAAATTTTGAAAGATGGCTGTGTTTCAATTTGCATAGTTTTTCAGGAAGGGCAAGTTAGGTAGTTGCACCTTTATATGCAAACTGAATTCAAATTCTCTCCCATTCCGCCACTGGGAAAATAACGGTAAGCGGTCTTTCTTAGTCAAACTCTGATCATATAATTTCCCACTCACAGCATTTCCAACAAACAGACGGTACGCTTTCCTGTCAAATCTTTTTGCACCAATCCAGAACGGTGGCTGATTTTCATACTCTTTTCTCTTGATGGGCTTTATGTCGTATGAGCCTGGTCCTGTCAGGTACTGTAACAAGTAAAATAAATTACTTTGAACCAGTGAATACAACAGTTGTGTAGCAGCACAAAGATTATAGAAAAGCATCCTGGGGGAGATACAGCTAGCTACACTGAGCCAGAGACACAGCACAACATTTTGCTAGAGATTCCCCTTGTTCACTTGACTAGCAATATTGTGTGATTGAGTGCTTACCAGTTTGGAAGTCACATAAAATACTGGCTTCTATGTACTTGGAGCAAGATACGCCTATGACATTTATGAAACAAAGGTTGAAACACAACCACCAAAACATATATTAATTTGACGCTATCTCACAATGGACTCTGCCCCCAAACCTCTAGACTCCAGGTGCGTGGCTGGTTGCCCTCAACTCTGCTTGATTGATTAGCTGCAGTTTGGCATCTACCTAAAGCTGAGGAGTTAGTTCTATAATAGCCTGGGGCCTGTAGTAGACTGCCCTAGCAGCCTGTTTGTTCTTTGATGTTTGTTCCCCACTCACCCTTTTCACCTCACACGACTTCCCAACCCTGCCATACGGAAGAAACTGGCACTGTGATTGCAACCAAGAAGCAATGGAAGGTCACCTACTTGTTCACGTGGACACTGGCTGACAGTGGCCCAGAAGATCCGATCAGAGGGGCACTTGGGATTCCAAACATGACTGCCAAAAGTGCCGTGCTTCCTTTTATCTCTTGATTCTAGTTCTTCCAGGAAGCTCTTCAATGTGGTGCCACTCAGTTCGATGGACTTTTTCTAGAAACATTAAACAAGGAAAGGAGACAGTTGTACCTTGGATCTCGAACACCTTGCAACTCAAATGTTTTGGCTCCCAAATGCCACAAACCCAGATTCCGTTCAACAGCCAAGGTACAACTGTATATCAAATCTGTACAATTTTACAAAAGGAGGAGGAGGAGGAGGAGGAGAAGGAGAAGGAGAAGGAGAAGGAGAAGGAGAAGGAGAAGGAGAAGGAAGAAAGTCACCTGAGGGTACTCTTGTTGCTGTTCTTTCATGGAATACAGTTATAATTTTCACACGCCACACACACACACACACAAGCTCAATAATCTGAAGGAAGATTGTATCGGGTTCAATGATCTTATATAAAATGAATTTTCAACATGCATTGTGTAGGCTTACAACAGTTAAAATGCACGTAATGCAACTGAATTTGTTGAACTGTAGAATCTGCCCTGATTCTGCTTTTCCTCTACCACTGCTGATTGACTGCTTTTTCTATACTGTTTTCATTCAACCTGTAAATTTATCCATTTTGGAAAAGGAAAGCAATGCAATATTTATCACTGGCAGAAAATTTAGAAGAAAGGGCCATCCCCAAGATTTCCTATGCCCACCCTCCTCCAAACAGCTGCAGTTATTTGCATTGTTTAGCCTCAGATCCATCTGTAGTATTGTATAATACAAGATTTGTTGTAAGGGTGCTGAGATAATTAATGGAATATGCGGTGTATTGGAACACTTGTGACAAAATGCTAAATAAGTACTTAATCATCAATATAATCGGAATAGTTTGCTCACCCTGGTCTGGAGTGTTAGAAACATTAAAAACAATATTACAGTGGAGACATTTGAACTCTTACAAATGCCTGTCTAATAATTTAGACATTTTTCATCTGAATCACCAGTGTTCCAAGTAGCAGAACCTGACAGATCACAAAACCTCAAAATTTAACACATACAAAATTATTTCTTTTTGAGTTTCTATATTTTCTTCTTTTTAAAGACAATCAGAATCTTCTTTAATTCCATTACTCCAAAAGTTGGAGGCTTAAAAGAAGCAGTGTGGGGAAGGTTCATGGACTTTCTGATGTTTTGCCAGTCAATCTGAAGTTTGGCAACTCTATCATTTGAATTACTAACCAGCAACATGACGCTTTAAAAAAAAGTTTGCAAGCAAAGAAGATGAGCGTACATACATCAGTAGCGTAATGCCCACAGACAATAGGCTTTGACCTGTCTCCTGTGAAGGTTTCATAAGGGCCTTTTAAGCTGACCACGCGTTTCAGCATCTCATCCACCCCATTTTTGATATTGTAGGTGCCAGGTCCCAAACCACTTCCCTGAAATCAAGGATTAAGAAAGTATTAGGGAGAGGGAGAGCCTTCTTAAGCAGTTTGCGAAAGTGTAGCATCTGTTGCATTGAATAGGCGAGGACTTGGTCCTGATGTGGCTGTAGTTGTATGAAACTACATGGGATAATAATCCCGTGCCAGAGGTGTGGCATGGGAATGCGATCCCGTATCAGCAACACAAGCCTTCTCCAGCCAGTTCAACAGGAAGACTTTGAAGATTGAGAGCAGCTAAGCAGAGAACTAAGAAACTAAACTTGCCACATTGGGAAAGGCGAAGCATTTTGAAGTTTTACTGTCCATTATTCCAAGTGCAGTCACAGAGCGTTTTTCCTTTTTATCCAGGGCAGCATAAGGATTTCCATAGGTTCCTGGGCCAGGATAACATTCCTAGGATGTTAGGGTGCAGAGAAAGAGAGAGAGAGAGAGAGAGAGAGAGAGAGAGAGAGAGAGAGAGAGAGCATTAACATAACCACAGCAGAGCAATGCCCATCTCTTATCTGGACTCCACATTGTTTCCAATGGTGCTTCGAGACTGCTGCTGTTTTTGAGCTGAATGCAACCACATGCTGGCAATTTCATGTTATGCAATTATAGTTGATTTTGAGCTCCTGCTCACCAAGTGCATCTTACCAAAATACTGGACATTTTGCATTAAGAGAAATGATGGGGAATTGCACTAGAAAGCACATACATAGTCACATTTATTATGACACCATGTCATCTAACCTTCCTGCAAACGAATCAGACTCTATGTTCATTAAATAGCTAGTGTCATCTAATCACCTGGCAAACTAATTAGGAGGAATACTCAATAATTATTAGCGAAGTCTTGGGCTGGCAGTTCTTATTTGGTAGGGCTCGTGTGAAAACAGCAGGCATTCAAAGGGTGGAGCTTTCCCCAGCAATTGGATGGGGCAATGGGAAAAGTTTCACCTACAGAATGAATTTCTGCTTGTCACACTGCTGTTAAAGGTACAGAAGGCCTGCCAGAGGAAAAACTCTAGATCAGGGATGGGAAACGTGTGACCCTTCAGATTTTGTTAGGCTACAACTCCCATCATCCCTGACCCTGGGTCACACTGGCTGGGGCTGATGGAGTCCAACAACATCTGGAGGGCCACAGATGTGTTATTAATCCCTGCCTTGCTGTTTTCTGCTACATGTACATAAGCTGGTTCTTCATGTCTACCAATTGCTTCCTAGTTGCCTCTTGCGGAGGAAATAGCTAAGGTTCTTGTAGGAAGGCAAGGAGCCTTCCCTTGACTTCAGGAGCGAGGAGGTGCCCTGAGAAAACACCCTTTAAACCCCCCCACACACACACTTTTACTGAGATTTGTATCAGCTACAAAAACAACCAAAACCTCGCACAGACTAGAGTATTACATATGTCCATATCCTTTGATACTTTAAGACAGTTTCCCTTTTGTGGTACTATTGATATCATCTTTGCTACTGTGACATAAGTGAGGGTAGAAAAACCTGGCTTTTTGGAATATGTTGATTATAGAAAAACATTACAAAAACAATTCCTGGAAATTCTGCACAATAGTTCAGAACAAAGAAAACAGTACAACGCAATGAATAATACTGCGATTAAAGGTATTTTGCAGGCAAAGCAATCTTTCCAGCAATTAAGAGTTGTAGTACTTTTTTTTTTTTAATGTGTTTCACCTACTAATCCACTGTGAGTCACTCTTGCTTCATAAATGTGTCAGTCCAGTGATGAATAATTTTTATTTTGCTGGTGCTAAACCACAAAACCGGTGGAAGGCAGCCAATATATCTGTCCTTCATTCCCACCTCCATGATTCACAAGGAATGGAAGATGTGCGGACAGCTGAATCTTGAGCCTTTCACCACGCCAACTCTCCATCTACATCAAAACCTTTCTTTTTTTACGACACAAGCTCAGTTGTTGTAGCACTACAACTCCCATTATTCCTCACTGTTGGCTATTCTGGCTGGGAATAATGGGACTTGGGAGCCCAATACATATGGAGGACCACAGGCTTCCCACCCCTACTTACGGACTCCTGAGGTAATGAGCAGGTGGTAGACTCTACAGGTGATAGGAGCGGAGGAAGGAGGAATGTACACACTGAAAGGAGCACAAAGCAGGTGACCATAGCAATGGCAGCCATTAGTACATGCATAATGGCTGCAATCTCATTTATGACATGCTAGAACAAGGGGGTTTTAGATGTTGAGCCAAATGTAAACCCAGAGGCGGTTTTAAGGTAGTGTGACCAGTTCGGCTGCACTGGGCACTGTGCTGCTGGGGGCATCACAACAATGCTGTAGAGCGGAGCAAGAGAGGTGGAAGGTGCCAAATTTTAGTGTCACACAGAGCGCCACTGTAATTTGAGAACCCACGGTCCACCTCTGGTAACCCCCCTAGTAGGAACAAAACCCAAATGGTTGACTTCTGTATGCTGATGCTGCAGTCCCACCCGCCTTTCTTGATGCTCTGGAGAGACATAGGCTCACATTACTGGGGACAGTGGCTTCACGGTGTGGTTTCTCTAAGCCTACTTTTCAGCCTAGACCCATAACGTAGGTTTTAAAGACCGAATGTTCTTGGTAGGTTGTCAACTCTCCTTTTTTAGCAGAGGTTGGATGGCCATCTGTCATGGATGCTTTAGTTTAGATTCCTGCATTGCAGGGGGTTGAAGCGGATGAGCATAGAGCCGGGGATCCCTTCCAACTCTATGATTCCTTTAAAATGGAGACAATTTCTTTTAATAAAAATCTCTATTATTTTCATAATGGAATATGTTGGCGTGGTGAATGGCTCAAGGTTCAGCTGTCCACACATCTTCCATTCCATGTGAATCATGGAGGCGGGAATGCATAATGGAATATGTTTTGCATCAATACGGAATTGCACCACAACTGGTGGTTTGAAAGACAGGATCAAAGGAACCAAGACAAACAAATAAAACCCCACAATCCAGGTAGCAAAGTTGAAGACTATACTAAAAATAGCAAATTCAAAGTAGATATGGCAAAAAACATTCACAAAGAATGATGCATTTCACACAATTCATTCCGACAAGGACAGATGCCTACCCTGATGCGGTCTTTAAATCTCACTGCTCCGGTGTCACATATTCCTCTAATGCTGTGTGGACGTTTCTCTTGGAGTTGTAGAAAATCTGAGTACTCATAAGTCCCAGGACCCAGCTTTGCTTTCTTGGAGAGAGAAAGGGTGCACGTGAATAGGGTTAAGAGATGGCATGTGCAGCTTTAAAACAGCCATCTGGTATGTGGAGTTTGTGGCAGCACAGGAATGAGGTGGAGCATAGCTCCAGGCTTTATTTTATTTTTCACAGCAGATTGTGCCCCCGGCTAGTGGCAGAAACTAGGGTGGGGGTGATTGAAATGTAGGTCTGACCTGGTACATGACCCCTTTGTTAGGGAAGCCAGGCTCAGATATGAATGTCATAATTCATCAGGAGTTATTCTGGAGTGTATATGCCAAATATTGGAAATAACTGTGTTATATATAATTGGCAGATAGAAGAGTGGAAGCACCTCTTTTTTATCTTTTTTTTGTTTTTGCTTCCTTCCTACTTAGTTTTTGATAGTATTTTATTAATATTAAATAATACTGCTTATGGTTAAGGTAAAGGTAAATGACCCCTGGATGGTTAAGTCCAGTCAAAGGTGATTATGGCATGTGGCACTTCTCTCACTTCAATCCGAGGGAGCCAGCGTTTGTCCACAGACAGCTTTCCGGGTCATGTGGCCAGCATGACTAAACTGCTACTGGCACAACGGGACACGGTGATGGAAGCCAGAGCACATGGAAATGCTGTTTACCTTCCCGCCACAGCGGTACCTATTTATCTACTTGCACAGGTATGTTTTTGAACTGCTAGGTTGGCAGGAGCTGGGACAGAGCAACAGGAGCTCACCCTTTCACACAGATACGAACCACTGACCTTCAGTTCAGCAAGCCCAAGAGGCTCAGTGGTTTAGACCACAATGCCACCCGCGTATTTGCCTGAGAAATAGACAGCGGTGACAAGATTCCCCCTTACACTTGCCTGATGCCCATTGTTACGCTTGATGGGCCTTTCCTTCATATTTCACAATGATAACATTCTTGGTTATGTAACAAAGACAAACCACATGCCATTTGGAAAATACTCTTAAAGATGATACCAGTCTCAGAGAAAACTGTGGGCCCGTGTCCTCGGTTGTATCTGAAATGAAACTGGCTGATATTTTAACCCCTTGACTAAACCAACATGTAACAAAGAGCTTGAAGCCAAACACTCACCAGAGCTTTCGTCCTGCTGCATATTTCCTTAAAATTGAAATGTGGCATTTTGGTGAGCCTTGCAGCCTCCTGGGCTTTCGCCCAACTAGAGCTTGACATCTTCTTATGCAGATGACTAGAACTGAAGCCTCCATAGTCAATACTGTAGGTGCCTGGTCCTAATTTTCGGTTCTAAAGAAAGATATGGTTATTTTCTGCATTTGCTTGCATAGCTACAGTTCCTTCGAAAAACGGCATCACCAGGGCTAGATAAACTATTAGGTAAAAAGTGTACATTCTGAAGCACCCTGGTTCAATGGGTATCCTTCAGCATTAGTTATCCCATTTCAGCAGGATATTTTAATATGCTAATGAAGGCCTCGACTGATATCTGTTAAACTACAGATATTGCTCTTGGATCTCAATCCACCTACCCACATCACTCATCAATACCTCTGACATCAATACCTCTGACATCCACAAATGAAACCATAATACTCCCTCTCCAGTGTAGCATAATTCATATTCTAGAATGGAATGGTATGAGGTTAGTTGCACCAGCGGGAAAGACACAGAATCACAGAATTGTAAAGTTGGAAGGGACCACGAGGGTCATCTAGTCCAACCCCCTGCAATGTAGGAATCTTTGACTTGAACCCATGACCCTGAGATTAAGAGTCTCATGCTCTACCGACTGAGCTATCATTGTAGAGCAGAAGCAAGTAATAAAATGAGTGAGGGGGGGAAGAAACAGAGGGTATAATAAGTTTCTTCCTTCCGCTACCTTCCGCTACCAGGCCAGGGACTTAGAGGATAGGTGGGGTCACTACTGAGACAGTTATGAAGAATTCCATTTAACACTGGAAATTTAGTATGTACCGGTACCTATAAGTAGTTCAAATTTAACCCACTGTTTACCATCCCTTCTACTTTGTAACAGCTTTCTTGTGGTAATATTCCTCTAAGGTTTTTGACAGGAGGGGTTCAAAGCATTACACTCCAAGAGGGTCCTGTTTCTCCCAGTGCTGCTGCCTTGGATTCAATCTCTCTATCCACATAACGCTTTGACCACCCTTTTGTTGCATTTAACAGACTGACACTTTTTCCCCCTCGGTCACACCACAGCCAACTGAAATCCTAAAACTTCCTCTTAACAAAAACTCTGGCATTAGCTTCTGACTAACCATCACACAGCTCAGGGAGGGGCTCTTCCCATTTGTTGGCTGCCAGAGAGTCCATTGCTTTCCCTTCTCTTAGTCCTCTTTTAACAGTCTGTCTCCCCAGGTGATTTACCTGCCATGGGAAGCTGGTTTGACGTGTATTTTAACATGCTAAATCCAGCATCCGGGAGCCCACATGCATTGATTCAATTCTAACACTTACTAAATTCAGGAATGGTGGCTGCTTTGCACCCACAAACTCTGGCAGCCAAACTCATAACAATATGATGCCGTCGTCCTTCTGCTCAAGGAGAAGACAACTTTCACCCTCTCCAATAGCAAACTCGGGCTGTGAATGCTGACAGAAATGAGGCTAAAATGCAGGCAATGAAAAACAAGGAGGTGGCGTCATAATGCTTTGAGAGACCCCGAGGTTTCCAGAACTATAAACAGTGCTATTTTCTGGGGGGATGCAGGGGTACGCATACCCCTAAACATTTTGTGAATCGAAGTTTGGCCTCATTGAGGGGCAGTATTTCAATATGAGTAGGAAAATGAGAACACCCCTAAACATTTTTTTAGACAAAAAGCACTGACTATAAAAGATATTAAAACAGACCCTCAGGGGGCAAAATATCCGCCAAAAGGGGGAAAAAGGAGGATCAAGCACATTTAGTAGCCACAGAATGTTGAGTATCAGTTGGAAAGGAAAAGAAAAACTGAAGTGGGGGTGGAATAGCATATCCTGGAGGAAAGCATGGCTGGATAGAACCATGAAAAAGAGCACTCCTATTAGGACTCGGAGTCCCAGTCCATTTCATTAGAGAAAAGCCAAGTATGTCTTGACCGTGCTCTAGAATGATCAAGGAGTGGAATCCCTCTAGGGCTAGGCAATGTACGTCTAAATTTGCTTGATTGATACTCCACACGGGTGGCATGCAAGCAACTGCTTCTATGAGCAGACTACTCAAATGAAATAGTTTGACATCACAACAGCAAACTCCCAAGAGATTGTCCCTCTGTAAATAGTCAGCTATAGTGGGAGACAAAGTTCTGGATGGTCTAAAGTAGATGTGGGGTAGGGGTAGTGGTGGTGGAGGGAATACTGTACATTGAAAAAATATTGTTCAACCACGCATACAGTAAAACTGAAGACTAGGTTTGCTTTGTGCATGTGAGGCACCCTGAGATATAGACTCACCAAGTCTGAGCAGACCGTTTTGGTGTATGGGGCCTGCAGGTAAGTACTTGGTCTCTTGACATCTGGATAAATTGCTGACACATCAAATCTAGCCAGAGAAATACAAATATGGAGAGCTGAAGGATCCTGCTGGGGCCATTTGAATCAAAGTCATGTAACACAGTTGCTTTCAAAACAATTTTTGACACTCTAGCTATATAACCACAATAATAGCTTCAGGGTATATATAGGCAGCCAACCTGTCTTTGGAATGATGCAGAGTGCTGCTTCAAAATCCAGATCCTGCATCTCAGTGTCTCCAGCAGTGCTATTATTCGAGAAAAAGAGGTGCCAGAACTCCCCTTGTTCTCTTAGAAGGGCAATGGCACCCACCTGAGAGGTGCTGGAACTTGAGTTCTGGCAAATTCCAGCTGAGAAAAAGCCCTGGTCTCCAGTTAATCTGTCTATAAGCTTAGAACCAGTCCAGGTGTTTTGCTGTCTGACTTGGAGCCTGGAGGACAAGATGGTGCCTCCCTCCCTCCCTCCCTCCCCCCACTTCCATATACAGAAGCTAAGCAGGTGGGCACTTGACTCTTACTTCAGTGCTGCCTGGTAATGATGAGCAGCAGCACCCCATCATACCTGAGGGCAGCAGGGGGTACATGCCACTTGATCCTTCAACACCTTCGCACAACTCCTTACCTACCAGCATCTGCTGCCTGAGCTACTTGCCTGTCTGCCTAATAGTAGGACCAGCCCTGTATGAGGTTGTTTCAGAGCTCGATCTGACTTGCAGAATTCTGGCACAGGGTAATCTACATTAAAATCCTTCCCCCTATATGCCCCCCTGCCCCCTGAAATTGGTTCAAGGGGCTGTTGGGAGGATCCCCAGAACAGCACATGAAAGGGGGTTTTGTTTCATCTGGCAAGCTGGCGTGCTTACAGAGATAAAGCATTTGTAATAGAAGTAACATTTGAATTGAATTTGAAGTGTCTAACAGCTGAGGCAAATGGGAAGCCCTCTAAGGTGTGAATTAGTGGTGCCCAACTTGTGACCCTGCAGATGTTGTTGGACTCCTTTTTAAAATGTTTTATGTTTTATGATGCGTTTATATGTGCTGGAAGCCACTCAAAGTTTCTGGGGTAACCCAGCCAGATGGGTGGGGAATAAATAATAAAATTATTATGAGTAGTATAATTATTATTATTTTATTGGCACCAGCCAGTGTGGCCAATGTTCTGGGATGATGGAGTCAAACATCTGCAAGGCCACAGGTTGCACACTCCCGCTATGGAAGGAAACTACAACCCTATTATGTCTTATTATGAGTACATTTGTGCGGTTGAAGTTGTCTTCTATTAAGGAGCCAACAGATCTGTGTTCTAGGTTGATGTGATGCGCAGAATGCAGTTCTGAGCAGGTTCAGGGGTATGTTTGTTTGCTTGTGTGGGATTGTGACTTAGGGCATGTCTACATGGACTTTGAACCAAGATAAATACAGATCTACAAGACAGAAACTGTATATGATCCATACTTGTGTGAATATTTGTATGTGACACCTTACATTTCTTGCAAATTTAAAATCCATGGTGAATTATTTGTAAGCATTGTACCACGAACACAAGTGGTATATGAACTGTAGCTTGGTTTTTAAAACACAAAATGCCTGCATTACTCAAAGCTGCCAGAAAAGAGCGCCCTCTGCTCAAAATCCCAGAAATCTGGAAGGATGGCTGTGGTTTCTCTCTCTCTCTCATATTTTTTTAAAATTCAACCAGATATCCACATACATCATCCCAAGAACATAAAAGAAAAAGACAATAAAAACAACAACATACTCAACATCTACATCAAAAAGAAAAAATCCTAAGCACGATGTTAAACACAAAATGACAAACTGAAAATGGTCTTATTACTATACACCCGACTTCCCGTCCACTCCTTACCATTACACCATACATTTGATCAAAATGTAAATATGATTGAACTATGTTATCTCTCACTGCAAACTTAAAACTGCTACTAAAGTTATTCAAATGCTGCGACAGAATTATTTTTCAAGTATATTTTAAAGGCTTCCCATTTTGAAATAAATGCTTGTTTTGATTTGTTCTTTATTTTTTCAGACAGGCTATCTAATTCTGCATATTCCACTAATTTTGAAATCCATTCTTTCTTTGAGGGTATTTTATCACTCTTCCAATTTGCTGTTATAAGAACTCTTGCAGCCACCATGGCATATAAAAAAATTTCTTTTGCTTTTTTGGGAATATCCAGGTCTGTAATTCCCAAAAGAAAGGCTTCTGGTGTTTTTCCTAAGGGAAGGATGGCTGTGGTTTCTCAAGTGGGAAAGCCACTCACCACATGCTCAGAGACTCTTATATTTTCCGTCTTTCAAGACTGATTGTTGATAAGCCCTAGCACAAGTTATGCCCTGTCTTCGAGAAGGTGTAATCTTTTTTTTATTTTTAAAAAAGAAACCAACCCGATTTCTGTGGGAGCAGCCCTTACCTTGCCGTTTGACTCCAAAAGGGGGCACCTGTGAATCCCTTTGGCTCCTCCATCCTCTGATGCTTGGAGCAGAAGAAGGACAACCCCCTTCCTTCTTGGAGATTGCTTCTGACAAGAGCTCTGGAACTTCACTGCCATGACAACACTAGATGCTTGGCTTTCTGTTTCCAGGTGGCTGGGAGGAGCAGGTCTTCAGAAAGCCTGATATGCTCATGAGGATTTCTCAGTGCTGAAGGCACCTGTGGTGGTTCAGTGCCAGAAATCCCATGTGGTACAAAAGGACATTGTTGTGATTTAGGGCATGTCCAGGTGATAAGAGTCTTCCACCGTTTATCTCGCACTGCAAGCTGAAGTAAAAATATGGGAAAGGTTTAGGGAGTGGGAGAGGTGGAGTACAACGGTTGCTCTTTCAGGACTGTCACCACTTGTCTTGATCGTGACATGTGGAAGGATCAGCCCCTCCATCCAACCTTCAGGAGCCAACGCCTTTCAGCTAAAGGGAGAGGCAGAGAAACAGTTGTAGTCTGCAGCCAGTTTTGCAGCAAATAAAGAATCATTTATATGTTTATGATACACCAGGATTTCTATATATTTGTATAATATCTATATCTATATCTATATCTATATCTATATATTCTGAAGACCTTTCTGCGTGGCCTCCAGGCTAGATGACAGTAACTGAAAGGTGATAATAGTACAAAATAATACAACAACGAGGTTCTTTGACAAGGTAGTGGTGACTTATAAACTTCAGGGTGGGGAGGTGATAGTGGCAAGAGATAGTCTCCAGGCCTCAGCTGATGTGGCAGTTTCAACTGCCGCTTTTCAGAGGTTCCGTGGGGACCACAGAGGAGACTAGCACCCCCATCCATGAGAGCTCCCCAGCAACCATGACCAGGTAGTACCAGGTGTTTTAATCACTGGGAGAAAGGCATCTCCTCACACATGCAGTTAGATCAGGCATAGGCAAACTCAGCTCTCCAGATGTTTTGGGACTACAACTCCCATCATCCCTAGCTAACAGGACCAGTGGTCAGGGATGATGGGAGTTGTAGTCCCAAAACATCTGGAGGGCCTATGCCTGAATTAGACACTCTGCTGTTGGGAGCAGTGAAGGATGATAACCGAAACTATCCACATCCCAGCCTGGTGGTGATGGTAATGTGGCTGAGAGTTCAGATCAGTGGTTTGGAACCTCCAGCCCATGGAACTATTCAGGCCTGCTAGGCCTCAGACATTGGACTGCCAAGCCATACCTACCTTTCCCATGTCTGCTGTCATATATGACATCAAGCAGGGGAAGTTCAGGCCATGAGGTCCTCATTTCTTCCTTGGTAGGGAAAACTGGCACTTTCAAAAGATGCCAAATATGAAAAGAGCCAAGTCTTGGCTGCAAAGGAAAAACCAGGAGCGCATTTCTGATTCGTTATTTGCAGCTGCAGCTTGAATTCAAGCCAGGGAGGCAAAGGTAGAGTCTTCTTAAGGAGCTCCAGCTGCAAAGGGAGCTTTTTCCTTCACACCTGAAGGTACAATCACCTGATAGACAGATCCAGTTCCCCATCCCTGTTTTAGATGGAGGTAGGTAAATGGGGGTGCAATCTGAGGCTGTATCGGCTGCACTCTGATGCAAGGTTAGCAGCTGCCCTACCTGCTGAAGGAATGTTTTTGTCTTCACAATACAAGCAATAAAATTCTTATGAAGACACCATCAATCTCCAGGGTTCTCCAAAGGAAACCCAAGACTACCTCTGGAACTTCCCACCCCTAGGGGAAAAGGAACAAGGAATGGTAATTTGTCTTTTATATTTCTGTGAGTTTGTGGGTGCCAGGCTCCTATAACCCCTGGATCCAGCAAGCGTTAGCATTTAATCAAGGCTGATATTGTTAAACTGGGTGCCAGACCCATTCTAACCCCTGGGCCCAGCAAGTGTTAAAATAGAAGGCAGGCTAGCTTCCTGTGTTTAGGTGATAGGCCGTTAAGAGAACCAAGAAGAGGGGTTTTGTGCCAGGTGACAAATGGGTGGGGCCCCTCCTTTCCTACTTCTTAGATAGTAAGAAAGACAAAAACCAGAGATTAGACTTGAAAGTGTGTGCAATGTGACCTAAAAGTTAAGCTGCAGGCTGGACAGCCAGAGAGGCAGAGCACAATGTTTGATCTCTGCTTGAATCCAAGGCTGCAGCTTTGGGAGAAACAAGGCCCTTTTGAGACGCTAATGCTGTGAACCCCTCCATTGTAGGCTTAGGTTGTGTATAGATATGTAAGGTAGGGGAAAGCAGTGCATTTTTTTCTAAAAAAATGTTTAGGGGTACTCTCATTTTCCTACTCCTATTGAAATACTGCCCCTCAATGAGGCTAAACTTAGATTCACAAAATGTTTAGGGGTATGCATACCCCCAGAAAAAAAGCACTGGAGAAAAGTAAAGGTAAAGGATCCCTAGATGGTTAAGTCCAGTCAAAGGTGACTATGGGGTGCTGCACTCATCTCACTTCCAGGCCAAGGGAGCTGGTGTTCATCCACAGACAGCTTTCTGGGTCATGTGGCCAGCGTGGCTAAACCGCTTCTGGCCATGATGGAAGCCAGAGCGCACGGAAGTGCCGTTTACCTTCCCAGCGCAGTGGTACCTATTTATCTTCTCGCACTGGCATGCTTTCAGACTGCTAGGTTGACAGAAGATGAGACAGCAACAGGAGCTCACCCCGTCGCGCAGGTTCGAATGGCTAATCTTCCGATCGGCAAGCCCAAGAGGCTCAGTGGTTTAGAGTCTCCGCTGTGTCTCATTTCCAAAAGGAAATGCAAACCCTGGGTAAGTTCCCGGAAACTCTGGGATCTTGCACTGCTCGGAGATTGGAGTGCTGTGCAATAATATGGTTTGTACTAGGTTGCATCCCACTCAGTTCCAACCTTGACATTCTAAAGCATTTCTCGTAATGGGTTGGCATTATGGGTAGCTCTCCCTGCTGCTAGCCTTTTCAAAGGCGTGTTAATAACGTACTTGAAATGCAAGTTTGTTCAAAGGAGCCGATCACTGTATTTGCCATACACCGGTAGCCTACCAGGACCTGGAGCTTTCTCCTTTATTGACAAATGAGGGGTTGCTTGAGCAGTTCTTGTCTTTGCTTTCTGCGATTCATTGACCAAATGAGAACCCTGAACCAGCTGGTTGACTGTGGAATGACAAGCGTTCTATTTTGCTCCTCCCTTCCCAGACTTCATGTGAATCAGCTAAACCAGAAATACAGGTAGAGAAAGAGGTGGAGGATTTCCAAAGGCAAATACCCTGACAGGACAGTAAGAAAGCAAACAAAAAAACCACGTCTTGAATGGAAAAATAACAGGGGAAAGTAGTTGTTCGAGAGAGCCTGGAGTGGTTGGTACTCTTTCCAACGTGAAAATGGAAGAAGCCGAGGTGGACATTGATACTCTCATTGACGAGATGGATTACATTCCAGGTCACTTTCACTTAGATATGAACTTGAACTTTGAGTCTTCTTCACCTATGAATTTCCAAGGGAGAGACTTGAAGCTGAAACGAGAAAGCCTAACCTATGAGTTAGAGCTCGAAACTGGCTTGCAGCAGTATGCCATCAGAAACCTCCTTGGGGTCTTTTCTTTCTACCTGGAAGAAGTGGAGCAAGCCAAGGAGATTTTCCTCTGCATCTCTCAGGAGGACCCTGAGAATCTGAACACTTGGGCCAACCTCGCCTACGTTTATGATAGGCTGAACAACGAGCAAGAAGAGGCTAGGTGCACCGAAAGACTCTCCCTCTTAATGGGCTTGGATTCAGAGGACCACAAGCCGCAAGGGGACCCCCAGCTCAGAACAGCCCGTTGCTTGGCTGAGCAGGGCTATGCTTACGCCTTCGACGTTGGGCTGGTGAACGAAGAAGAGAAGATGGAGAAACTGACTGCAGGCCTCACTCTCTACGGCAAGGCTCTTGCTTATGGGAAGCAGGTAGGCAGGCTGTTTTACCTTCTGATGTCACTTGACATTCAATGGGTCATTCGCTGGAAGAAGGATACTAGCCAATACACAGACACCTCTTTTCATTTTCTGTTTCAGAAGGCGCACCATACTCGTCTGTTGTCTAGAAATGTTTTAGAAGTGTGGTTGCTGCATTAGTTGTTGTTGTTATTTATTTATTGCCTTTATATCCCAGCTTTTCTCCAAAGAGCTCAGGGCGGCATCCATGGTCTCCCCCCTCGTCATTTAATCCCCACAACAACCCTGTGAGGTAGGTTAGGCATCTTAGCTGTTGATCTGTGTAGGGAAAGGTGCTTGTTCTTACAGCAGCAATTGCATCTCCAGTTAGCTTGCTAGGCTATTTTGGAGGGAAACAACCCCTCTGGGAGCTGAGTCAGGCCAAGAGAAAGCTCTTCTCACTAAGAACCACCGCTTCATTTAAACCACTTGTAGCCTTCAAACACCTAATCTTGCATAAATGTGCAAGAGCAAACAAAAGGAGATGCCAATGGATAATACTGATAAGCCAACTTTTAGAATCAGAGCCCTAGATCCTCACGGCCTCTTGTGAGGCTGAGAGGCCCTTTTGTCCTGCTATGCTTCAATGGCACCTCAGTTTGATTGTGAAGCTCCCTACTTTGGGAGGTGGCTCAGAGGGAGAGCATCTGCTTTGCGTGCAGAAGGTCCCAGGTTCAGTTCCTGGCATCTCCAAACAGGCCCCTGTCCCAAATCCTGGAGAGCTGCTGCCAGTCAGTGTTGACAATACTAAGCTAAATGGACCAATGGCCTGACTCTGTGCAAGGCAGCTTCCTATGGAGGTGTCTCTGCTCTCAGTCTCCCCTGGCTTCTCACTGCTTGACCAAGACTGTTCTGTTCCAGCAGGCATTTGACCTGATGGGTTGAAGCTTTTTTGTATGTGTGTGTGGTTAATAACCATCCTGTTAGGAAAAAGCTGCTACAATATGTCAGACCCATAGTCTTTGCAGCAGATGAAATGCCTATAGAATGGCTTGCACATGTGTCACAACCAGCCCATGATAGTTTTCTGGGGCATTGCTCAGACACATCAGGTTACAGCAACAGCTGCCAGCCGGGCAATGCATTCTGCTACCCTCGTTCACCACCATGAAGCTGACACACAGGTACAAAGTCAGGGCATGACACTCACCTTTCTAGCACAGTGCTGCATAGGAGCTTCAGGTCTTTAGGTTCTTTTGAAAATGTGGCTTCAGAATCACAGGGAAAGGTTGGAGGAACTTAATCACCTCATTATTATGCACTCTAAAATCATATGTTTAGAATTCTACCCCTCTAGTGACTCATTTTTTGGTTGGTCATGTCATGTTTTATGATATGCATGTACAATTTTTGTAATAAGAAAATTAAAAAAAATCTTTTTTTAAAAAAGTTGGAGGACTGGAAACAGCTATGGTCACTGGTGGAGGTGGGGCTTGTTTTGGTATCCTCCCAGATGGGAGGAGCATGCTGCCACAGGGGAGGGGGTAAATTTAAACAAGGATTCTGTAACTGGGCGCAACCTTGATCAATTTTAAAAAAAAAATCTAAGATGCTTTAGACATGTGGCTTTAAGAAAGAACCAGACATAACCAAAGATGAGGCCAATTCAAATATTTTATTTGGAATTGGTAGAGAAGTGGGTTGGGGTGGGTGTTTAGTTGGGTGTGGGAATTTGTTTAATTTAATTATGTTGTGTTTGTAATTTTGTTTTTTGTTTTTATAGTTTTATTGTTCTGTTAGTTTGATTTTTGTATAGGCTTTAATTTGATTTTAAGGGGAGGGGTCAGGGCTGCCTGGGAGTGGGTCCCAGCAAACAAAATGGCTGGGGCAGGTTCCACAGGGGGGGATGCACTCGGACAACCGATCTCAGTGATCACGGGTAGGAGGAGGAGTTACGCTAAGACCAGACCATGTCATTACCGAGGAGTGGTTGCAGTGCTCCCAAGAAGTCCCTGAACAGCCCTCTGCACAAATTTCTATCCAGTTTTCTGATTAGATGCTTTTTAAATATTCTGGACTACTTGGCTCAAGCTGTCCAAACAAAGGTGCAACCTTTTGCACACCCAGTTTATCATCTCCTGCAGCAGCAGACAACAGGGAATATGCAGGTGGCTGAACTGGAGCACTGTTTGTCAAAGCAAAATGTTTGCACTGAGGGGCAGGGCTATATTTATGTTTAAACTACAACTGTGCAGAGTCCAAACTTCTTAAGACATTAGAGAAAGCAGCAGCAGTGGGGGGGACATCAAACTAACCATACTAGTAACGACAAAAGTGTTTCAGAAAATAATTGCCACCTTGAGTCACATAAAAATGTTGCTATTCTACCTGTTTTGCTCAGAGCTTCTTTTAGCTACAGCCCGTTTCCTGTTACTCATGGCTGCCCAATTAAATAAATCTTAGCTAATTAGTCTGAGTTGTTTATTGATCAATCAATCAATAATTGAATGTGAATCAATGTGTATATATCAGCATATATACAGACACACAGAGAGACAAGAAAAAGAATATGTTCTCTGGATTGTGCTCTTTGGAATTAATCCAACTGATATCAGTGGGATTTACTTCTAGAAATGAAAGAATTGGTCAGTTTTGATTTCTCTTAGTTTCCCATTTTCCCAGTCTTAAGTTCATTTCATCACATTCCTGCATCAGTTTGTGATTTTCTTGTCACCATTTAATGTGCATCTTTCCTAATATGCATTGCATTATTAATATTACATTATTGAACATGGCAAGGACAGGAGTAGCTGCCAAAGTCCTTGATTTAATGGAGCAACTGGTGTTCAGCACAGACCTGAAGGCACCTGAAGCCCATCACCTTAGAGAAGCTAAGCAGGTGGCTGGTTGGGTGGCCACTGCTTGGGAACCACATGAATGCCACCTTGGATTCCACAACCAAAGAATGGTTGGAAAATAAATAGAAGGCAATGATGTTTTAAAATGTATTTGCAGGGAGGCAAATACTGCTTTTCTAAGAACTTCTCTCTCCCTCTTTCAGATCCCTTTGGAGGAGAAACGAAGCTGGTACTTCACTATGGCCACCCTGCACATCAGGTGAGGCAAGAATCCAGGATGAAAAGCCACCTCAAAGGAAACAGAAACAAGATGGGCTCCGAGGGGCAAGTCTAGAACTTTTTGTGATGGAATCCACTTAGGGCTTATCCACATTTACTTTTTGCCCCGTGCTTTCTTGGGCACAGGTCTGTGCTTCCCCGGTTTCTGTCTGAGTGCTCTATAAAAATTAGCCCGATGCTTTCCCCAGGAAAACCCAATATTTACTGCTGAATTAGAGCAAATGGTAGGGTTGCCATAGTTTTTGAGCTATTTTTAATGAAATTTGCCAAAATCTACACTACCGACGTGGGCTGCCATATGTCCAGATTTTCCCAGACATTTCAGTGATTTCTGACTATGTCCAGGAAATTCTGGACGCGCAGCAGCCCTAGTAAATGGCAACTCATGTTTTCTACGGATTGCCGTTTGCTCCAATGCCAGTGAGTTTCGTGGCTGAGTGGCCCAACTAGACATCACTGCATCAGATTCCTAGCATGTTTTTCAATCATAAATTCTGCCATCGCCAGACTTGGATCAGAGGTGTGGTCCTATGATGTCCTATTCCCCTACCCTGGCTGAAATTTGTCTCACAAGGGACGAGTTGCAGGTAATGGGGGAGCAATTCAGGTCAGGAAAGCAGCATTAGAAAAGAGTTAAACAAGAAACGAAAAACCCTAACGCTGCTGCCCTGATCTGAATCAGGATTCCTGTGACCGCATTTATCATTATTCATAACTGCAAGATCTCCATGAGGACATCTGATCACAGACCTCCCAGAATTATATGGTTTGATCCATAGTCCAGTGCTGTAGTCCAGCCTACGCCAAGCAGGTACCTTCCAGCTGTTTTGGACTACAACTCTCCATCAACCTCGGTCAGCATGGCTGATGGGGAGTCATGGTTCAAAACAGCTCAAGGGCACCAGGTTGGCAAAGGCCACTATACCACACAAGAACTTCTGGAGTGAGTTAAGGCCCAACGTGGACGAAGCATATCTCTTTCAGATGCAAAAAGAAAAGGAGAAAGGCAGGTTCAGGAGGGGCAGCTGTCAGCTCTGCCCCCTGGCACAGCACGAGTCCCTAGCCTGCATCCCTATTCGCTAAAGCCGGGTGCAGGCTAGGCTCCAGGAAGGGCACCGCTGTTCCAGTTCCCTCGTCGGTGCCCCAGTGAAGCCTCTGCTGTCCTGCAACGCTACTGCACCAAGAGGGGTAAACGGACTTTGCAGCAAAAAAAAATCACCCTTTGGCTTTTTAGCCTTGGAAGGAAAGTTACTTACCTGGAAATAACCCCCACTGAAGTAGGACTTACTTCTGAGTAGATGCACTATTGCACTATTATTAGAGTTAAGCATTTGTGGATTAGGGCCTAATTTATCAGCGCTACAGTCTTAGAACCACCATAGCGCACAGGGAAATACTTATTTTGAATGAGCATAAGTACTGTTGTTAAGGCTAGGTTGAGTGGGTGGGGGGTTGTTTTCCGTTTACTTCTGCTATGTTTCTTGTTGGCTGTATTTCATATACTGTGCTGGTAGGCACCTTGCACCATACAGAACTATGAACCAATCAGCATTAGATCAAAGACAACCACAGAGATTTTGATCCACGATCTTTCCTCCCTATGTTACATCAAAGGAGTTTTGTTACAAAATCAGAGATAAATCCATTGTCGTGGAAAGCACAGTGTCAACAATATAGACACATGAAAATTAGAAAGGACAAAGAACAATGCTGTGCAGAAAGACTTGCCAAAGCATCATTCATTACTGTATAAGGCGCAACATTTGACAAGTTTTAAAAACAAGATGTGCCTTAATCTTTCCCTCCCCAGTTATGACCGCTCCCAAAGCTGTTTCCCAACACTGCAACTAGCCTAGAAAAAAGCCTTCTATTGGCTACAACCAATGGCTTAGCTATAACAAGTGTTCCTTCCTATAACTGAAGTAGAAATGGTATATTTTTTAAAAAAGATTAATCATACTACATGGGGTAAAGGTAAATGTAAAGGGACCCCTGACCATTAGGTCCAGTCGTGACTGACTCTGGGGTTGCGGCGCTCATCTCGCTTTATTGGCCAAGGGAGCCGGCATACAGCTTCCGGGTCATGTGGCCAGCATGACTAAGCCACTTCTGGTGAACCAGAGCAGCGCACGGAAACACCGTTTACCTTCCCACCGGAAGGTATCTACTTGCACTTTGATGTGCTTTCGAACTGCTAGGTTGGCAGGAGCTGGTTCCGAGCAACGGGAGCTCACTATATGGGGTACTATACTACGATAGACATATACAGTGGTGCCTCGCAAGACGAAATTAATCTGTTCCGCGAGTCTCTTCGTCTTGCGGTTTTTTCGTCTTGCGAAGTACGGCTATTAGCGGCTTAGCGGCTATTAGTGGCTTAGCGGCTATTAACGGCTTAGCGGCTTAGCAGCTATTAACGGCTTAGCGGCTTTAAGAAAAAGGAAACAAACTCGCAAGAACTCGCAAGACGTTTCGTCTTGCGAAGCAAGCCCATAGGGAAATTCGTCTTGCGGAACGACTCAAAAAACGGAAAACTCTTTCGTCTAGCGAGTTTTTCGTCTTGCGAGGCATTCATCTTGCGGGGCACCACTGTAATTGTAAAGTTCTTGTTAAAAATATTTTTTCTTTTCTTTTTCTTTTCTCAGTCACTCCTCTGTTTTCTTCACTTCTCACTTCCCTCCATGGCCCCCATTTACACGACTTTCACCTGTGCCCCCCTTGGAATATCCTTAAGGCCCCCAGTTGAGAAACGCTGCTCAAAGGGTTATTTTGCAGCAGATGGTGGTTATTTTGGGGAACTATATATTGCATTTTATGTCTTTTGTATTTTATATTAACTGTTTTGAAATATTGCTGCCAAACCCATTGGATGGGGGTAAAACAGTGGCATTTGGAGTAAATCATTTGCTTGCCAGTTTTAGAGCTCTGTATATGCAGAACAACAAATCACAATAGCCTTTTTCTCTCTTCACTTCAGGTTGGATGCGATGTGGATGAACAAGGGCAATGATGAGGAAAAAAGGTTGCCAGCCTTCAACAGAACCTTGGTTTTGCTTCAGCAAGTCCTGAAGTGCTCCAGCCTACATTATAGAGGTAGGAGAAGTCACTTGCACAATCGAAACCATGTAATTACATGTGTAATTCACACATGCAGCTCTGCATCCCGCAAGACTGTTGCAACTCAGGTGTGTGTAATTGGGCTCTTCAGCTCAGCTAGCCGAATTTCAACTGAGTCTTCATTGCTGCAATCTCCATGCCCACTGAGGCAAGCTACTGTGCTCTTTATTTTCACAAGTGGTTTGTTTCATCAGCTAGGAAACCTCAGTGCTTGGTTTAAGGTGGCATAAAACGTTCCTTTGTAACTTTTCTACTATAACCCAACCTCAGTAACTGTCTGTAAATCATTTTGAATTGCTTTGGAGAAGGTAGAGTGGAATTTACAATGCCGTTTGTAATATGTTGCCCTGCTTTCAATTCTGTCCTCCTTCTCTTCTAGCCTTGGCCTGGTGCTATCTTGGGATATTGTTTGAAAGGAAATATTCCTTCTCAGATACCCCTATGGCTATTCATGACTGTGGGTACTCTGGGACAGATCCCCTCGACTGCTTTGGAAAAGTAGGTTACGAGTTGTTGGGGGTTTTTTGGGGGGGGTCCTGTCTGGATGATACCATGGGCCCCTATTGGGGGGGGGGGGTAGAATGCATAAGAACAAGCTTTCCAAACCAGTTCCTTTGTCAGGTTAATGGCTTTACCTGGCTAGTTAAGGACCATGATTTAGCATAATCAAAGAAGTTGCTCTGTACCATAAAACAAATGGGTGAGATTTTTCCCACACACCCCTCACCCAGCTGCAGGGCTGGATTAACCATTAAGCAAAATGGGGGGGGCACCACAGAAATTTTCCTTTGATGGGTTTTTAACATTAATAGTCACAAATTGCTCAGCTGAGCTTCCATTTTCTCACTTGAAGTACCTTATATCAAAAATCCCAACAGAACAACTATGCAATAAGGCAGGCTGGGTGCCTTATTTCTACTAAGTTTAGAAGCAGATGTGTTGCGTAAGGTTAGTTTTGAGGATCTGATCAAAGACTTTGCAATTAGAAAAAGTAGGAGAAAAATTTGTCAAATATAAATAAAGTGGAAGTACTGTATACAAAAGTATACAAAAAGTATACAAAAATAAACATTGTTTTCCACCTTACTGTGGGTTTTGTTTCATTTTGAAAGATAAAATGTTATTTTACTGTTTATTACTGTTTATATTTTGAATAAGATATATATGGAGGCCCTCTAAATTATCTTAATCTGGCCCTGCCATGCTGCTAGCAGAACAATAGCCAGAGTGGGTGGAGCTGCAAAGCTGAAGCTAGAAGCTGCAGAGAGAGATGTATTTGGCCTGTGCTAGATCCAAAGCTGTGGCCAGTGGAGAAGCAAGATCTGTTGGGGTGTTAATGCTGTGAGTGTTTCAAGTGGTGCTAATTATAATTATGGATGCATGCGGGTGTAACAAAGTTACACCCTTCCACTTCCTTGGCAAGAGATGGCAATGGCAGTCTGCAACATGGCCTTAGATGTGCTGCCAGATCCAGTACTTAACAAAGACCCCTTCTACCCTTGAGGATGAACACAAAACTAGAATTCGTTGACTCTGGGTCTACCTATTATTGGCTTCCCTGTCTTCCCCCCTTTCCAATGGGTGCCAGCTACCACTTGCTTATGAGTAGATATATATAAGGCAGTGCTGTAATTGACAGAAGGGAAGAGATACCCTCTTTTGCTCATTTCCTTCTCATCCAGAGCAAGGTGCCGCCTCAATTCACGTCCTCACACACTTCAGTCCTTCCAAAGGGCATAATGTACAATGGCGGCCAAGCTGAATGTTGACACATAAATTTCTCCTTTCATTGCCCATTGTTCAACAGAGCAAGGAGAAGTTCACTAATGGAACAATGTATTGTGGATTTGTTTGTTTTTAAGGCAATAGAGATAGCTAGAGAAAACCCACTGGTTCTGAACCGCCTAGCAAAAATCTTCCACTTCCTTGGCAAGCAAGAGATGGCAATGGCAGTCTGCAACATGGCCTTAGATGTGCTGCCAGATCCAGTACTTAACTGGCAGGCATATTGCATGCGTGCCAAGGTATGTATTTCTCCTTTAAAAACAAGGCCTTTGTAACATACAAGTGCTATGGGAGACCAGCTGGGGGTTGTTGTTTTTTTTGTATTAATAGGGGCAGGGGTTGTGGTGTCTGTCAGCATTGTGCTTCCTGAAAAGCCATCAATGCAGCTGCCTATCTGGGCAGCATCAATTATTTTGGTTTAACTGCATAAACAAAAAGTCTCTTCTTGCAACTTCTCCTAACGAGGGCACTGCTTAAATTCCAGTGCCACCAACTCTGTTAGAACATATGAACCTGCCTTGGTCCATCTAGCTTAGTAATATCTGTGTCTATTTGATATAAGCTGTTTATTTTAAAGTTATTGTGACTTTTTTGTATTGGATCAGATTGTTATTAAGTATGCAATCTTTGTTGTCCATTTTGTTACCTCTTCAGCTTGTAAACCACCTTGTGTATAGTAATTATAGGTGGTATACAAATTAAAAGTGAATGAAGGGCAGTATCTGGCAGAGGCAGTAATTTACTGATTTAGACTCTGAACTTAATGGACTTATGGGAGGGGGCTTCAGATGGTCGTATGCATTACTTCACTTACTTCCATATGTGGTGAGTCAGCCTTGCTGTGTCTGAGGCCTCCCCTTCTCATTCTGAGGAATGGGGGGGTCCCACACTTCAGCCCCAAAATCCTACCTTGACGGTACAACCGGGTCTTTCCAAGCTCTGAGCCCTGAGACCCTTTTAACAAGAGAGGTTGGGGAATAGAGAACAGTCATACAAACTAATGCATAAGGAGGGGAGGGCAAAAAATAGTTTAATAGCTCTTTATTTTTAGATGCTGCTTAAACTATATTTGCGTGATTTGGATCGTGTGAAGATGGGCCTGGGAGGAATGCCAGACCAGAGAAACCTCTCTGATGCCAAAGCTGATCTTGAGAACGTCATGAAGGTGCATCCGTGTCTGAAGACTTACCTTGACCTAGGCCAGGTGAGTGAAAGCAACCACCTTGTCCAGACATATTCATTGTCTTCACTTTATTTTATCTGTATGATAATAAAAGTGTTGTTGTTCATTCAGGCTTTAACAGGGCTAAGGCTGCATTCTTAACTTCAGTACCTTGGAAGCGAGCGCTATTTGAATCCAATAGTATTTTTGAGTAAACATTGTTAGCATTGCACTTTTTAATTATTTAATTTTAGAGTGTTAATTCTAGAGAGATCTGAGAAATGTAATCAGAATGTGATGAGAGCATATCCATTTTTAACCACTAGTAACATCTAGAGAAGTTCCTGTATGTGCATGGATCTCTGAAGGGATGAGCAACATAAGGAGCTATTCTGAACTTTCAGTTCGACTACTTGCTATGGTTTTATTTGGTGTGACTCACCCACAAGCCAGGTGCTTGGGAGGAAGCCTTGTTGAAGTGGCCATAGTTTGTGAATCTTTTGTTCCCTTCTCTAAAATAATACATTAATTTAATAGAAAGTTCCTGCCTAGCAGCCTACTTAACCAACTCAAGGTTCCAATGGTGTTGACCTATGTAAAGCCCTGACGTTGCCCTGGAATAGCTTTGTCTCTGTGGGGTGCGCTCTCTCCCTCAACTTGCCCATTCTGAGGGGAAAATGCTTTCAGATAAAAAATGAAGAGCTGAATGTCACTGAGGTCCTGTTTTAGTTTCTTTAATGATTGATCATACAGGGGCTTCTTGACTATAACTCTGTTATTACACAGCCTCACTGTTAACACACAGCCTCACTCTACAAGCTTTTAAGAAAGGGAGGGGAAACCTATGGCCCTCCAGATGTTGCTGGACTACAACTCCCATCATGCCTCACCATTGGCCATTGCTGGCAGGAAATGCAGTCCAACAACTACCGGAGTGCCACAGGTCCCCCCCCCCCCCGTGCTTTAAGAGAAAGTACAAGATATTCAAGAAAATTTTTTATGGTTCATTACCATTATATTAAAAAATGTATTTTCTGGCTGTTACTCAACAGTGAACATTTATGGATTTGTTTTCTGCAAGCTGGAAGCCATCTTTGTTCTTTTGACATGTTTGTTTAAATAAATACTGAGTGTTCCTCCTTTCCCTCCCTGCCCATCCACTGCTCTTCTAGGTATGTTACTACATGGGCGTAGATGCCATGCAGGAACTTTTACTTGTAGATGAAAATGCCGTGAACAATGCCCTCGTGTTCTTTGCTAAAGCCATGGAATTAGACCTGGGGAATGTTTTGCCTGAAATCCAGCTGCTGAGGGGGAAATGCCTTCGGATAAAAAATGAAGACCTGAATGCCATGGAATGCTTCAAGCAGGCAATAGAGCTGGATGGTGTGGGTTCTGTTTACACAGAGAGCTTCCGTTGCTTAATGGAAATGCTGCTTGCCTTGTTCAGTCAGAAGAGGATGAATACAGAGATGCTGATGAAGGAAGTAGAGTTGTGGGTGAAGAAGGCTGAGGAGAAATATCCCAAACAGCGAGTGCAGCAGGCGCTTAGGCTAGTGTGTCGTCACTACACAGCTGAGGTACTTGAGCTCTCCAAAGCCATGGTGGCCAGAGGGAAGACTGAGCTGGTGAAATTGCTCTTTGAGACCATGAAGTGTGACTTTAACAAAGGTAGACGGAATGAACGCTCACTCTCCTTTTGAATGGCTGGTTTGCTTTTCAGCCACGTGGCATAGCAAGAGGTTTAGCTCTCCCCATAGTTTGCGGAAAGAATTATGAAAAGCTATATAATAAAATGTGATACTTTCTAGAGCACCCACCAAGTATTATTCTCCCATATACATGGAGGAGTCGAGGTATGTGTGCTCATATTAAAAAATGAGCGTGCTTAATTTTTTCCAAAGCAAAACATTAAACAAGCTCAAAACGTTTACACTATGTATGTATGCATAGCACACAGAAGCAGGTCAATAGGAGATAAAATAGCCTTCATTTATTACTGGGAAGCAGGTAAGGTGTAAGTGATTTACAGCAACACTCTGATTTTTAAAAATTGGCAACGAGAAATTTCAAGGTATATCTGGCAGGGTAAGAAGCCGAGGATAAAATTTAAGATATTGACAGACGCTAAAGAAAGAGGAGGCTTCGCCCTGCCAGACTTGAAATTGTATTATGAAGCATCTTGCCTCTGTTCGTTGAAGGAATGGATAAAATTAGAAGACATGGATGTGTTAGATCCGGAAGGTTTTGATAATAGATTTGGGTGGCACGCGTATTTGTGGTATGACAAGAAACGGGTACATAAAAGTTTTGAAAATCACATTATAAGGAGGTCTCTGATTGAAGTGTGGGAAAGATATAAAAACTTGTTGGAACAAAAAACTCCATATTGGTTGTCGCCGTTGGAGGCGATGAGTGTGAAGAAAGTCAATATGACAGGGGGTTGGGTGACATATGAGAAGTTAATGTGTAAAAGCGAAGGAAAATGGAAAATGAGATCATTTGAAGAAGTCAAGGATTATGTGAATGACTGGCTGCACTTTTTTCAAATTAATGAGATGTTCAGAAAAGATCTAAATCAGAGGGGTTTTGCTGATAAAGAATCAAAATTTCAGACAGAAATACTGAATAATGACTACAAGATTTTAGCAAAAATGTATAAGATATTATTGGAATGGTGCACGAAGGATGAGGAGGTAAAATCAGTTGTGATTGATTGGGCCAAAGATATGGGGCTCAACCATCAAAACTTAATGTGACCAGATATTGATACTTATGTCCTTGCTTTGGATATATACATTCATTTAACTTAATTGTAGCAACCTAGGGATGTGCTCTTCCGTTTGGAAGAAAACCACCACCATCACCCCATATTTTTCACTTAATGAAAAAGAGATATAATAGCAGATGTTTATTTAGAATTTTAAAAAAAATCAAGAATATGTAGGTACCTGTTTGGTTTTGTCTGTTGAAAATATAGAATGAAAGCCTCCAAATTCACTATATTTTGTTGTTAGGTATGTTTTACATTTTCTGCACCTGCCTTTGAATCAATAGTTGTCTTCACATATCATGTGGGCTTCTTGCTAGGCCACATATTGAACTCACAGAATGCATTAATTCTGAACGGATTGTGGGGCTGTTCTTTTGCCACATTTCCAGAGCAATTAATTAAAACCACCAGATATGTTAACAGTCATATTCAGAATCACATATTCAGTAACTTATTTACTGATCTTATCAAGTATGCAACCCGTGGGTGCCCACTTCCTGAGGCCCTGCATGGCTGAGCACCTACAAAATTTCCCATAAAGAGGACGGGAACCCACACATTTCAGTGCCGAGGCCCTACACGCTGCATGGCACCCATGGCCACGGGGCCAAGCTGGCACTCCTGTGCTACCAGTTACATTGGTGCTGCTATTCTGAGAAATACTCACTGCATTTAAATAATGAATTTCTTGCGGGACTCTCCAAATAGCCAACACCTGTTGATTCATGCTTGGATATTAGCTCATGTGATAGTTTAAGCTGTTCCTGGTCGCAAGACATGTTGTTAGCCTGGCAAGGAAAAGACAGTCTCTCAATTGTCAATGCGTCCTTCATTCTGATCTTATAGGAATGTTTCAAGTGATCTAATGTGGCATTATAATAGAAGAAAAACAGCACATGCTACACGGCGAATATCAATCAAGAGAGAAAAGCACTGGGTGATGTTGAGAAGGATGAAACCCAAGCTCTCAGGAATGACAGTGCACCTCTGCTCAGCACCCTCCATTCTGACTCTGCACTGCATGCACAGATCCATTCTTCAGGAGTTCTTTAGCGACAGGGCTGCTGGGATAGAGCCGGGTAAAGCGGGCAAGTGCAAAGATAGGGAAGATGATTCGGTAGGCATTGTAATGCAGAGTACCAGCTTTGTAGAATGCTGTAGCGATGTCACCCTGAGGAGAGGCAAGAGAGAAATTCCTGAACAACCTACATGCAGTCTTCTGTCCTGACTTCATGGTCACTAAATTCCATCTGAGAACCCAGTTGTATGATCATTGTAACCTCTTTTAAGAGCAACTGTCACATACAGTATCACTGAGCTTTTGGCTGGCAAACAAGACTCTGGAAGCAGGAATCAGAGACCAGAGCCAATTAAAATGTAGGAAAGGCGACTAAAGACATTGTAGCATCTCAGGCAGAATATCCAAATGGTTCCATGATTAAAAAATAAAATAATTAACTGGCAGTCTATGGCTTTTTAAGGGCACCCCTCTGACCTGCCACATGTTAACAGTAGGGCCAGCTGTGTCCTGTGCTCTGATACCACACAAACTCAATCCTGAGGGCACATTTTGATGCCACAGCAGTAACAAGACAGGTGCATGAATCACTTGGGTGCCTAAGGCAACAGAATACTTCCCACAGGAACATCAGAGTGTTCAATAGAGGGAGAACATGGGAAGCACTTGTAAGATCTCAGCTGCCAATGCCACACAAGTGTCCATGTGTGTCCACAATACATTGCAGCCATCTATGAGAAGCATCTTTATGACAGCAACAATGCCAATGAGAGTACATTCTGATCTGCCTCATTCAGTAAGTGAGGGGTGGAAAACCTTTGGTCCTCCAAATATTGCTGAATTGCAACTCCCATCATCCCTGTCTATTGCCTGTGTAGGCTGGAAGGCAACAACTTAGCCACCCCCACTCTCAGTACTTGGTGGGAAATGCTCTGCGTTCATTCATTCATTTTATGTATATTTGGAGGACATGATCCATTTCATAGCTGGCTGAAATATACTGTTTCTGTGAACCTTGAAATTATATTGCTATGAGGATACTTGATTAAGAAAAAATTAAAAGTTGTAACACACCTGAGGCCACTCGCCAATCAATGTCTGTCTGTCAATCAAAACTTGTATTCCTCTTTCCAGAACCCGAACATCAGGATATCTGCAAAGCCACAAAAATACTGGTCATTAGTTCTGTTATCAGCAGGGAAAGCCTAACATTTTCTTCTGGGGAGCTTATATGACTACATTTTCTTTTTAAAAGAAAGAAACCCTCATGGGCTCACAGAAACTCAATGGGTCCCCCTAGTGGAAAGACCTGTAAGTGCATGAGTCCTTCACACAAGTTCAAAAAGGTGAAGAAGCTAAAGAAATTAAATTGTGAGGCCTCCATCCCAGTCTTTAAGACGGCCTTAACTGCCTCTTTGTTTGGCATTATTTCAATTGTTTGGACTAAGAAGCACCTGAGAACATCTACATACCAAGCTGCAGGAAAATTCAGTCCTCTGTAAGTTTACAAAAGCTAGCTATGCAGCATGAGGGACACAACATGTGAGAGGGAAGTCTGTGGCCTATTTTTCCATAGGTTTTCAAAGGAGTAATGGCACCCAACGAAAATAAGCACAACCAAAGATACTTCCAGAAGGAGGCGCCTCTTGTGATGGAGGATTAGGCTGCATACACACCGTAGGTTTAGAGCAAATTACTTCCTGCAAGGAATCCTGGGAACTGCAGCTCTGTGAAGGATAAAGTACAGTTCCCAGGATTCTCTAGGGAGAGTCATGTGCTTTAAAGGTACACAGCTCACTGCTTTTGGGTGCTGGTAGCTCCATCTCCCACGGCTAGCCTGCTTCAGCCAACAGGCCCAGAACAAATTTATGCAAGTGATGCAATGCACTCATAGTGAATGGATAATGTGTTTTTGGGAAAAAGACTTTGGAGGAAATGGACTTGGGGCAGATCAGCCCCCTCTTGCCAAACCCCATGAACTTAGAAGCATGTTTCTTTAGCACGCCTTAATTGGTTTGTCTAACTGCTGCAGAAACCACTTGGGCAAAAGCAGACAGAAGCCTTTGCTAAGGTAGATAACTGCCATCTTCTGTGCTTACCTAACAGCCATCAGCCCCAACAGAGCCCAGGAGGTTTGGTGGATCTGGGAAACGGTGTGCTGAATATATTTGCGAAACCTGTAGGATTCAAATTCCTCTCCCCAGCCACCGTCTTTCATTTGCTTGGAGACTAAGAATTCACAGGCTTTGGTCACTTCCTTGCATGCCTCCCTAGAAAATATGAGAGGGGAGAGAGAGAAATAGCCCATGAGATGCCTCATTGGGTTTTGTTCCACTGTTGGCCTTGACTGCATCCAAAGCATCAATAATATATGCACATGACTCCCCTGCATTTGATATTTTGGGTGGAGGAGCCTGACGGTCTCTCCGCTTCACACCCCTGAAGCTCAGCTCCATCAAGGGCTCCCAGCAGAGCAACATTCATACTAATCTTCTGCCCGAAAGGCTGCTTACTCACCCACCACGGTAGATGTATCCCATACATGCAAATGCCTCTAGTCCAAACCAGGTGCCATATGTGAAGCATACGCCCCATCGCCTGTCAGGGAAGAAAAACCCATCAGCCACTGAATGAAAGATACTGAGACAAATGAGAGACTACACCCTTTGAGTATACCCTTCCATTCACTGTTTGTTTCATAGAATCATAGAGGTGGAAGGGACCATGAGGGTCATCTAGTCCATGGGTAGGCAAACTAAGGCCCAGGGGTCGGATCTGGCCCAATCGCCTTCTAAATCTGGCCCGCTGACGGTCCAGGAATCAGCATGTTTTTACATGAGTAGTATGTCTCCTTTTATTTAAAATGCATCTCTGGGTTATTTGTGGGGAATAGGAATTCGTTCTCCCCCCCCCCCCAAAAAAAATAGTCTGGCGCCCCACAAGTCTAGGGGACTGCTGAAAAAGTTTGCTGACCCCTGATCTAGTCCAACCCCCTGCAATGCGAGAATCTTTTGAATTTCATGTTCCTAGTCAAAGTCAGAATCTCTTATTGCTATATAACTTGTTATTTTATTTTTTTCTTGTTGTACATTTAACTAGATCTAATTTATATAACCAGTTATTTTTCTTACTGGCTGTAGATCTAAGGGTGTGAATTCTCATGATGACTCATGAAGGGATCAGTATGGGAAGGGATCATAGTGTTACCAACAGTACAGTATGTTTTCTCTCTAAGCCTAATGACAATGTGAAGGTTTGTGCAACTACCTAATGCAACTACATTGTTAAAAGACTGCTCAGTTGAACGGTCACAAAATCCTGCCTCAGAACAGACATAGATTTACTGAGGGTGGAAAAAGCTGCTGATGCCTAGATATTGGTACTACATTTTAGGCTGCTGGTTTCAAATCACTCCTCAGACAGGCTAACATCAGTTATTTGTTGTGAAGAAGACCCCTAACTGCCCTCTTAGCTGTCACATGCTGAATTTGCCTATTTCATGCATCAGGGTTAAGTCTGATCCGGCTCTGTTTATTTTTAGGATCTCATTGCATCAAAAAAGAGGCTGCATACTCATCCTTTCATTCCCGTGCATAGAGTTAGGCTACAGCATTCCCCTCTACAGCGAGAAGGCAATTCTGTGCATTTATGAGAAATCCCGTTCCTTGCTTGTGTTTTACCCTCCATCCCAAAATAGTTTCATATTTGTAGATCATACCAAAAGAGCAAGCTGTCGCCAGTGCAAATGCAGATAAACAGGACTGTGCCTGTGATTGGTTACCTCAAGACACAGGTCAACCAAACTGACCACCCCCCCAGACCACCAAATGAAAGTTCTATGCTTGTCTGCCCCCATCTGGACTTCTGGACAGAATCTTCTACCCAAACCCCTTTACCAGGGTTCCCTGAGATAAGGCACCAAATGAAGGGGGTGATGCGCCATTTTATCCCCCCCCCCCCGAAATAGACCAAAAATTCATCCCATGCCTTATCCACTGAAAGTTATGACAATTGCTATGAGAAGGCAAAACCACCAATTGGGCCCAATTTGTCTGCATGCAAATTCCTTCCTGGTCCTGAAAACAGTGACCGATTATCTCCACAGCAAGGTCCTCCATACACATTGCCCACTTACCTCAAAGGCAATGCCAATTTTTAGGTGGGTGGGATGATCAGCTGCCAACTATGTTGCTGGCTCCCAGTGCAGATGGCTTAAATACTCCAGCGGAGGACTGGAGTGAACCCTCAGTATCTCTGCTGCTGAAGCCCCACTCTGCTATCAGGTCGCTATTGGCCAATTTATATTTTAAAAATTGACAGGCGTTCCCATCATCCCCTCTGGTCAGTTGAAGAAAACAATTGGCCATGAAGGACAAAGGACCTGCCCCATCCACGTCCCCCAAGGGGTTGCACTGGGCCACAATCATAGGCCGTATCAACATAGGACAGCTGACTGTCAGCTACACTACAAGTGGTCAGCTGATCCACAGCACTTCGTCTACTAGGATAACACACCAGCTGAAACAATGGAACAGCGTGTTGCATTAGCTAGTTCTCTCCTTTTTATCTGTCAAACCGTTGTGTAGGAAAGGCATTCAAAAGGTGAAGGTTTCCACAGCTCAGTCAGCAAAGTCATTCTTTGAGAACACTATGTATGCATTCAGAAACTCTGCCGACCAGTGCCATAGTCAAGTTCAGTGTGGGATATTTGTAAGCCACTCACCCTAACCAGGAGCCATCAGCTTTCTGCATATTACGACAAAACTGCAAAGCCTCACTTAGAGTATCACTGGGAAGAAAAACAAAGGAGTCTTCTTACATTTCAAGCTAACCAGGTTCTGGATAAGACAATCATTAAGGCAATCTCCGTGTAACAATGGCATTCAACGGCCTAAAGAAGCCTTCCACTTTTTCAGAACTTGGACCCACCCAAAACATTCATTTAGTGGCCCACTTCTTAATGTTTTAACAACGTTAGTGTTGCTATTGTGACCCACCTTAGAGCAGGCTGTGATCCAGTAGTAGGTCCTCCCAGCCTCCCAGGTGATGGCTAATTAAGATCAAGAGTGTTCCTCATCAGTCTTTGTTTAAACCACCAGCAACAACTTTACATACTGTATCACTTCTATGTTGGAAATAACATGTATGCTGTAAGTTACATGTACATAAACATTTCCGGAGGGGTAGCTGTGCTGGTTTGCTGCAGCAAAAACAACTAAGAGTCTTGTGCCACCTTAAAGCCTAACACATTTTATTGTGGCAAAAGTTTTTATGGACTGGAGTCCACTTCAGATGTACCGTGTGATCAGTAGTTGCCAGGGATGTAAGCAGATGGAGGTATATGTATATATTTTAAATAATGACTGGAGTTGCAATCAAATACCAAAAAAAAAAATCAAAAAAAAATCAGTCTTTGCAATTCCTGAGCTCTTAACATGGAATATTCTATTAGAATACAGAATTCAAGACTATAGAATATGAATTCATGCTGTAACAATAATATCCTTCTCAGCTTCTGGGGATTTCCCCCCATACCTTTACCTGATTTCATCTTCCCGGTGATTTGGGAATCTTTTCCCAAAATGTTTCAATCCCTGCATTATGGATGAAGTACATTCTGTATAGGTGTGGTCGACCATACAGTCAGCTGAAAATCATAAAGTGAAGTATTTTACTTTATGTTTCAAGGTGGCTTACAGATTTATAAAATGCTAGCATCCCCGAAAATATCCTTTAAAAGGGAGCCAAAACCTAGCAGTTTAAACAGCAGGAGGGAAAAAAAAACCTCTATAAAAACAACAGTCAAAATGTCAGCCCTTTGCCCACCAAAAGCTTATCAGGAAAACCGGCCATGCATTTTGTGCAGAGGACTATCAGCGAGATCCTTCTTTGTCTAGATCAGGGGTGGGCAACCTGTATCCAGAGGGTCACATACAGGCCTCAGCCTATTTTTAAAAGCGCAGGAAGAGCCCAAAGGGGGAGGAAGATGGTGGTGGAGGTGAAACAGATGGGGTGATGTGAGAGGAAATCCCTTTGCAAGCAAACAGTTGAGAACCCTGCAAGAATTATTGGTCTCTCCCCTAGCAGCCTGTTGGGCACAGAGCAAAAGAGAGAGAGGAAGAGAAGAGGGTGTGGCAAAAGGAGGGAGAGATGGCTCTGGCCACACTCCCTGCTGGCATGCAGTTCACAGCAGAATGCCCTCAAGGGAAAGTGTCCCCTCCCTGAAGGCTGTGAGGTGGTGGGGTCATCCTGGGAGAGGTGGCTTCAGAGTTTTGACAGTCAGACGATGTGTGATGTGAGGAGACCATTGATTTCTAGCTGACTTTGTGTACCTGTTTATCATTTTGGTTCCATGGTCAGAGCCACATGGACTGTCCGTATCACGCCAACTTTGTTCTGCTTGTTCCAGAAACCAACCACCAGCCTGCCTTATAACATCTCCCCTATCAGCACCTACAGTGGACTCTGACAACGTGAACAATTGCCAAGGTCCTATGGCCAAAACAAACTGCCTTCAAACATGTGACTTCAGTTCATGGTCTCTATCCCCAAAACTATGAAATTGTAAAGAGGACCGGAATTCACAAAAGATTCCCATTTAAGTTGTTCTGATATCAAGGCTGTGTTCTTACTATACAGCTCTGTGCAGTTCATTATCTCCAGTAGCCTACTCCCTCGTCTGGTTTCATAAGAAGCAAAACCACCATCAGAATTTCGCATGCTCAGAATCTGCAAAAAAGTACAAGTGGGATGGGGGGGGCGGGGAGAGGGTTTAAGAACAGGCATGGTGTTCCTTGTCCTACTTGCAGAGGAACATGGCTGGTCGCTCCTGTCCAGCCCCACCAGCCACTCCTGTGCCCCTTCCTCACTTGCCTTTTTTATAAACTAAAAAACCCCAAATGTTATGGAGGAGATCCTCCAAATTCTTCATCATTTTAGTTGCCCCTTTCTATGCAAGAATTCCCATGATTCATGTGTCCATTTTCTGTTTTTCAAGTCTGGATAGATTCCTGCTGTTTCAGACTTTGCCACAAGCACCAAATGCAATTCAGGCGCCAATCCACCTGGCTACAATGGTGTGTAAAATCAGAGTCTGTGCTCTTGACAAACCAATCTCTTTATTTTAAGTGGAACTAAACAAAAGGAGAGTGGCTCGCCGTACATATGTAGTCGTGCCAGTTGGCCCTCTCTCACCATATTAGGCCAATGGAGAACTCAGTGGATGGGGAGATTCTGTTGTTCTAGCAAACCCTAGAAAGTGTCATTGCTCCTCATGACTATGATGAGGATTCCAGGACAAAATTTGCTAATTTGCACTGTATCTCCAAATTACTACTGTAGGGACAGAGATTAACAGATTATGTATTTGACCTCAAATTGTAAGTAAACTGTAATGATGCAATAGCTACTTTCTAATGAACAAGATCAATGGTCCATCTGTTGTCAATCCTAAAGCCCAGTGAGCTTTCGATCCAGCTTACTGAGGGAGATTGCTCTCAGTCCTGCCACCTTACAACCCTTTACCTGAGCTTAAGGAACTCAAAATTCAAGACTGATCATCCTTCACAGAGGATAAACTGCTGCCACAGGGACACTTCCACCAATTCTCTTAGCCCACAAAACCAATATGGTCCCACAAAGCCAATATTCTCCTCAGCACTATTACTGAATGCTAGATGACTTCAGTCTTCCCACAATAGCTTCCTCCTGCCTGCTTCCCATTTTCTCTTCTGGGCTTTCCCTCTTCTCACCACATTGACAGCATCAAAGAGGCGCTGAGGTGCCACATGATCTTCTATGAAGGGGCATTTTTCCTCCAGCAGCATCAATGTCCTCATGGCCTCAGCAGTGCCATCACCAACTATCCAGTCATTCTCTCGATTGCTGAAGGGGAATCCACCCTGGATATTGAAGAAAATATATTAGGACTCCTTGGGCAGCCATCACTGTAGAATAATTTCCTCCCAAAAAGATCCCAATAAAGCAACCAGGGATTTGACGGGTGATCCATATTTCTTTTTCAGGATCCTAGACTAGATGGGCCCTGGCCTAAACCAGCAGGCTCCTTGGGTTCTCAGAATTAACACTTAAAGACTCTTTTTTTGCTGGCTATGTGTCACACACACAGGACACAATTCTGGATGTACCTTGTTCATCTGGCGATAATATCTCTGGTAGTTAGGTGGGTTATCTACAATCTGAAAAACAGATTAGCAGCATATTAATAAAAGACAATCAGAATATATTTATAACCCGAGAAAGCCAGTGTGGCATAACAGTTTGAGTGTTGGACCTGAGAGACCAGGATGCCAATCCCTACTTCCTCTCAGCCTAAAATTCCTCACAGCGTTGTTGTGCGGATTCAGTAAGGAGGAAGAAAACCATGTATGCCACCTTAAGCTCCTTGGAGAAGAAGATGGGCTATGCAATAATTAACAAACAATAGAAAAGAATAAATAAATTAACTCAGTCAGAAATATGTTCTGTAATTTAGAAGACAGAATATGGCTACAACCTGATGCAATGGCAGCACATAGGGTTGTGTCCGGTGCTAACGCTACTCATAGCAAACTCACTGAAATTTATGAACTCAAATTGGGCAGGTTTATTAACCTGAATTGGTTTGCTCTGAATAGGATTCATACAGCGTACAACCCATAGTGTCAGTTGAGGTAAATTACAGTGGATATACAAGGTTTTACACAGGACTGAAGCCACACTATAGAACTGAATTGATATTACTTGTCAATGTTACTTTGCAAAAAGAGACAAGCGTTTCACTCCTAAATCTTTTGCTGAGACAGCTGAAAGCAGTATTGATTCCCTGTGTATGTTATTCCAAGATCAGTGCTTTACCTGAGAGGCTTTCAAGAATTCATGGGCTTTTTTCAGACAGGATGCATAGTCAGGATTGTTCTGAACCCCAGCCTAGAAAAAGACAGAAGTTATGCTTAAGAATTCTGACCCAGGAAAGTCACAGAGAAAATCTCAGACACTTACACAAAATCATCACTTTGGACAGCCACAAAAATAAATGCAAGTTCATCAGGGATAACTTCAGTGTTACAAAAGGAATACTCAGTGTGTGGATTTCTGGACCTCATGTCCTAAGAATCACCTGGAGAACATGCCTTTCTTGGTTAACCATGACAGGCATACGAGGTGTTCGGATCTCGTAGTGTGTGTGCTTTGGTTAAATAATGAACACACACTCTCTACATGCCAGTTCATTCATCTAAAATATATATGTAAATGGAAATTATTGTGGAAAGAACAAAAGCAGAAGAGTTGACAATATAAAATGATACCTCCAAGAAGCCTTGAATCGCAAATGATGTATCCCAGGTCTGTGATCCCATGACCTGATATAAAGAAAGGAAGAAGAGTTTTGTCCATTAGATCGGGGTGGAGAACCATTGGCCTGGGAGCTGAATGCAGTCCTCTCTAACCAGCCCTTTGGATGCTTCCCCAGTCATGTCCACTTCCCAGCCTACACCCTCCCCTACTGGCCTTGCTGTGCACCCTCCTTAAGGGCTGGAATGTCTCATGGAATGGTGATAAGCCCTCCTGCTTAACTGAGTAGAAGATGGGGAAAGATGTGGGTGGACTGGTGTGGAAGCCTCTGAAATTTGTGTGGTCAGAATTGTGTGGGAGTGGTGAACAATTGGTTTCCTCCCATTTTTATTTTATAATACGCTATTTTAAAAGAAAGCAAGAGCACTGGGAGTAAATCAGTAACTAAAGGGCTCTTCTGCACCTTCGCTTGGCCCTTGTTTTGATTGTATTGTGTACTGATCAATTCCTCTTGTTCTCTCAGTTAAGCAGCATGTGTTTTGGGATTCTTGGCACATCAGATAAGATCTGAATCAGCATTTTAAAAAGGTGCTACATGACCTGGTATTATCTTACATCTTATCTCCTAGCCCTAACCCTGGGGTGAAGCTACACTTTATGCAGGAGAGCCATGACTGGATCTCCTGGTATTTTGATATTTTGATATTCACTTCAATGAAGCTGGTACTGTCAGGCAAGGAGAAGACAGCTGAGCTTCAGAGTCACCAAAGCAATGCAAATTGCAGCCCATAATATTTCCCAACATATTGGTTCACACTATTGTACCTTTATTAACATACCATCTTGTCCCATCCTGCAGAGATATAAAAAGCAGAGATTATAGCAGACACAAGACCATGTAGTTACCTATCTGCATTGCATAATAGGAGACCCAAATCATCCTGATATCTCTTCCATACAACACCATGAGTGAGGGATGGGTGTGCATGAGATCTGCCTATACTGCAAATAAGGATATGTTCACATCACTGGCTTAAAACGCAGCAAGGTCATTTTATCCCACTGCACTGCAAGCCGCATTTGCACAGGGTTGTTCAAATCAGATAGGGGGCAGAGATATCTTTATAGAGTGTGTATGCCCTTTCTGCCCCTCCCCCTGCAACCCCCTGGAACTCCTAGTGATGAAACTGCCATCTGAGCATCTGTGCTCAGCTGTGCACATATGACGGATGTCGCAGGTATACACACCATTCTGAAGTACGATGTGAATGTGCTTTACGTTTTCTAGTCTGATTAATCCTTTTTTGAGGAAAGATCAAGGTCTGCAAAACCACACTTATGCAAGACCATGTTCAGGACACTACAAAGATGGGAGGAATAAATATGCCAGCCTTACCAAAGGTAGTCATAGATCCTGGAGATATGTTCTTGAAAAGCTGGAGAATCAGCTCCATCAACATGCCGTCTTATTAGCACATGAAACGGTTTACAAATCTACAGGACAAAAGAGATATCATTCCAGTTAGAAATTCTCCTCCACTATACCTCCATGCTTAGCACACTCATCTGCCACATGGCTATGTCTCTGCAAGTCACCAGCCAAACACAGAAACTCCTTCAAGTGGGCAGAACAAGATTGCCACAAGCATAGCTCTACCTTTGGAAGTATACGGGTTTCTGAGGGAAATCTTCCTCAGGAGAAGGAACATATGCTGCCATCAAAAGTAATTTGGTCCCGATACAATTATTTCTGAAAGACATTCACAAAGGACCTACCGGGCTAGAATTGGTGGTGTTTGAGAATATGTCGTCAGCCTTGATTTGCTCATACATTTCTACAATGGCTTGCTTTCTGAAACTGGTGAAATGGTATCTCTCATACAAATTTAAGGTAGCTGCAGAAGGAATAAGAGAGACACTATGAACATCGCAATCATGTTAATGTGGTTCTATCTTCCTCCTGTGTTTTGGGCTGCAATAATTTTCCATGCAATTACAATTTAGCAAACACAATTTAGGACAAACACAATTTAGCTTTCAAAAGTTAAATATTAAAAACAAAACAATCAATTTTTTAACACAGAGAAAAACCCCAAATGCCATGCCTTCCATCTGTGGTAACCCCCGCCCACCCTTGCACGAACATTTTGCAGATCCCCTTCTCAAAAACTTTTCTACGATCATTTGTCCCAAACTACCCTGTAGTCTGACAGGCAAAACCACAGTGATGATCACCATGAATGGTTCCAAGACAACAAAACCCATAATGCCATGGCATATGTCCACAGCATGGTTCAGGCCTCTTGCTCACAAAGCAAGGCTCTTTCTTGTATTTGCTACAAAGGTTTGTATTGTGTTTGTTCTCAGAGCTGACTGTTTGCTTCCAGCTAACAAGCTGTGATAATATGAAACCTGGAAGGTGTTGTATGTTTCCATGGATATATGTCTGGGCCAAGGACATGCACGTCTTATTCCTCAGACCAACAGAAGTCTCTTCCTCTCTTTCTCTGTGCCAAGTAAACCCTAGAAAACCTACGCTGAAGACCTGAACTCCTGGAAAAAGACTTGCCAATTTCAAAATCACTCACCCAAAGCAGCATCCAGCATCCAGCTGTGTGCAGTTTGCAAATCGGCTTCGTAAATATTGTTCCTCTGGGCTGGCCAATCAATGGTGGAGAAGTCCTCCACATAAATCTCCTAGAAGGAAACCATGAAGTGAAATGACTTTCATAGTAAAGAAGAAGCAGGATATTAGTGTACTTGACAACTGTCATTTCAGAGCTTTAAAAAACCCAGAAAATTCATGGTAGTGTGGCAAAATCTGCTCTGTACCCACATAACCAATGCTTTGTGCTAGGAAGGGAGACCACCCCTCCCTGTGTTATGGCATCAGCTTTCATGGACCTCCTCATCACCATTTTGATACTTATATGAAAAGAGGTATGTTATAATAAATAATATATTAATGAATTAAATATTAGAGGAGGAAACTCCATAGATTAATGGTTCAACAGTTCTTCATTGATTTGTTTTTCAGTAGTTCTGAAGAGGGGAGGAGAAAACACCTTTTACCACCCAAAAAGAAAGGGAGAAAGAAAGAAAAAGATGCATCAAAAAGGGGGAGTCTGGTATTACGGTACTGCGATAGAGAAGGCAACGTGGGTGTTGTCTGTCAGTTTTTAGGAGAAGAGGCAAAGGTCTGAAGCAATTCTCTGTGGAGCACGAAGCACAGAGCCATTAAAATAAATTTAAACAAAAACATGGTAGGAGAGAGACTTACATGATTTGGCAGGGTGATGCCCTGGGCACCATCTCCACTTCATATTCCACCCTCCCAAAGTTGCCCTCCCCTATGGAATAGGGATGGCCAAGTGGCATGTTTACATGCCCCCGCCTCTCTCCAAAATAAATATTCTCATGGCATTTTGAAACACCGATGCTCTGAGCTCGGCTTCTGCCTTAAATGGAAAAAGGACACCCAGCTCAGCCGTCTCCCTGTCAGATACAAGCAAGCAATTCCCCAAGTGCAGATCCAAGGGAGTATGAGGGTCCCACTTTGACCAAGGATGATGGGATGTTTGGAGAATGTTGCCTTGCCTGTCTTAGACTCTGGATCAGTTCATCTTCTTCTACAGTCAGGCGAGTGGCATAGCAGTAGCTTATCGCGAGGGTGATATGGCGAGCGTGACACCAGTATGTCGAGGGATGTCCCGGCAGCCATGTAGGAAACAGCCTATTTCAGAAAGAAGGAAGAAACAGGGTCATGGAAGACAATGTCAGGAATCCTGGATGTAGTGGTAACACTAAAAGCAGGTTATATTGCCCTTCATCCAAGGATCACAGGGCAGTTTACGGTATAAAAAGACAAAAAAGCATAACATAATAACAAACAAAACAATCCACTATATTTTTTGTGCCTTATTTTGCTTTCCAGTATTGTCGTTTTTATCTTCATTTTATCATAGCTAGGGATCTCAAAAACTGGAAGCGGCCCAGGCCTCTTTGGACCTCTGAGAGTGCCTGCACTCTGAGCTTGGAAATGAAGTGTGGAGGGGACCAGTGCAGTATTGCCATGATGTGCACATTGGCATAATGTGCACCAAACATCTTTGTAGCTGTGTTTTGTAATCCCAAGCACATCCAAAAGGCAGAGAGATGGTTGCACATGAGCAAACTATTATATAGGTAGAATCTACACACATATAAAAATGTTCTGAAAATGCTTTTTAAAAAATACCTTGAATTTTCCATAAGGCTCACCATCGCCATCTTGTGTCACATTGTATATTGCTCTTAAAACACACTTAAAACGTTTTATTTGCAGCTATATAGCTGAGTCCATAGTCTCTTACATATACAGATTAAAACCCTGTTATATCCTATTACCAAAAAAAACGTGATAGGCAAGAATTCACTGGTCACAGAGACCAAATGGTCTCAGCATTTCTTTACACACGTAGTTCCTGAAACCTAGTATCTTCTGCAAGCTTCTGGTTACTTCTTTCTTAAAACCAGTGCTTCTTTTCTGGGGGTATGCAGGGGTGCACATACATCTAAACATTTTGTGAATCTAAGTTTGGCCTCATTGAGGGGCAGTATTTTAATATGAGTCAGAAAATGAGAGTACCCCTAAACAATTTTTTAGGGGGGAAAGCACTGCTTAAAGCAGTCCTAAAATCATTAAAATCATTTCCCAGGCCTATGGGCTGCAGTTTGAGCTCCATTTGCGGCTTGCAGTTTTTGCTCCTTAACATGCAGCATATGCCACATCCATGACATGTGTCTGCTCACCAATCAGGCAGAGGTATGGCAACCAGCCATACCTCACTCTGACTCATGAGTAGATGTTCTTCATCTGAGTAACCTCTACATGAAATCCTGTGAAGAACAGGTTCTGTCACAAACAGACATGAAGTAGTGAAGATTAATATGGATGTCTCCGTTTCCAAGTCATTGCTGTTTAGTGAAGGATCCGCCTACTGTGTAATACTGTTGCAGCAGAGACCTTTCTTTGGCAATTCATGATCGGCAGGGTGGGTTGGGGATGAGTAAACTTTAGGACACATACCATAGCTCAGGAAACAGTGTATTCATTCCCTCCCAGCTGTACAAATTCATAATAGCCAGCCAAACTTTGCCCAGATGAGGGATTCCAAGAGCACCACCTGGAAAGAGAATTAACAAAGTCTTTGTTTCCATAGACTGAAGGGGCAAAGTCAAAGAAACCTTCAGTGAAAACCGAGACATGTTTATAGCCTTGAGAGATTGAAAGCTCAACTTGTTTAAAGTTTAGTGATGCAGTGCCTCAGAATTCCACTAGAGTGCTGTGCTGCAGCCTCCTTTTGATTGGTTGTGGGTACAGGTAGCCAGAGGGAGGTGGTGACAGCACTTGGCGTAGGCACGAGAAAAAAGCAGTTAAGGAATTGGCGTTCTGGCATTCAGCTGGATAGTTATATAGCTCCTGAGCTGTGTGTTAAATCCACTCTGTAATCAGAAAAAAAGTCTCTGAACTTAGTTTGAGAGACAGTGATTAGTGTATTTTAAGAGCATATAGACAAGAGAAAACTGGGAAGCTGAATTGGGAACAGCACATGTGAGAGGACATATTATTTGGATTCTCATTTCAGTAAGAAGGGGAGAGATCTTCTTGAAAGAGAAGAATCCCAAACCAGTCGGACGGGTGAGCTGATCCCCTGGTCTGTTATACTAGAGGAGCCTCACAAGTAAGATTTATAGAAGGTTGGGAAACTGACAGAAAGTACCATCCTGAATTGCACCCATGAATTCATGGAGATCAGGCCGGTTTTTTACCAGGTGGATATATGAAAGATAATTTACAGAACATTATTGATGTGATTGAATATCTAGAAGTTAGAACTGATAAGCAAGCAGCTTTGATTTTTATTGATGCAGAGAAAGCTTTTGATAATATATCATGGACATATATGAAAAAAGTAATTGAAATAATGAATTTTGGACAGGTCTTTGCTAAGGGTATTGAGGCAATTTATTCTGAGCAACAGGCTAAATTAATAGTAAACAATACAGTTACTGGAAAATGTAATATAACAAAGGGAACAAGACAGGGGTGTCCATTGTCACCCCTGTTATTTATTCTGGTGTTAGAGACTTTGTTGAGAAAGATAAGAACAGATGAAGAAATCAAAGTCATCACAATTGGAACTAGGTCATACAAACTTAAGGCATTTGCAGATGATTTAGTATTAACGGTAGAAAATCCTTTGGAATCGGTACCAAAAGTATTAGAGAAATTGAATGAATTTGGCCAAGTGGCAGGTTTTAAGTTAAATAAAGGAAAATAAAAAATGCTGGTTAAAAATATGACAGAACAAAATAAAAATGAACTTGAACAAATAACAGAATTAAAGATAAAAAAGTAAAATATTTAGGGGTCGGTTAACATCAAAAAAATATAAACTTATTTCAAGATAATTATGTAAAAGTGTGGAATGATATGTCGAGTAAATGTCGAGTACATGTTGGAAATGTAAAGATAAAGAAGGCACATTTTTCCATATGTGGTGCACCTGCAAATTAGCAAAAGCATATTGGGAAATTATATATAATGAATTAAAGAAAATGTTTAAAATAACTTTTATTTAAAAACTAGAGTCTTTTCTATTAGGTATAATAGGAGAAGAAATCCCAAAGGAGAAAAAGGTCTTATTTATGTATGCAACAACAGCAGTGAGAATGTTATATGCCCAGGGATGGAAGGAAGAAAGAAAGAACCTCATCAAAAGAAGAATGGATAACGAAATTAATGGACTATGCCGAAATGGCGAAATTGACTGGGAAGATCAGACACCAAGAGGACAAAATGTTTTTTTAAAGATGGACTAATTTTGTAGAATATCTGAAGGAGCATTGTAAACACATAAAAACTTTAGCAGGCTTAGAATAGCACTGGTGATATAATTAGGGTAAATTTTGTAATAAGGGAAATGAATAAATTAGAGAAATATATAAAGATGCAGAAAAGATAAGTGGTAATGATGGGAAACCGGGGAGGAGGATGGGGGGAAGTCTGGGGGTTGAGAACCTCCAAAAGGTAGTGTTTTGTTGTGTTGATATGAATGTAAAATGTAAGCAACAAATTCTTAAAATAAAATATTAAAATATATATATAAAAAGATATTACCACCCTGTTTCAGAACCAAAGGATTACGTAAGTCCTAAGCTGTAACACCTAGGCAATTAGCTGAAGAAATTGAAGTGAAAATAAGCTGTGTTTTCCACATTGTTTAGACGCCTGTAACAACGACTGAATTTAATATATTTATATATGTTAACTGCCCTGTCATATCCTCATTGCCTGGCTTGGCCACACTCCACACATTGGAGGGCAAGTCTAGCAGCAGCTGCACAGCTGTCAGCTACATTCAGTGTAGAGTTTCTGAACAGGTTTGAGCCAAAGGGTCCCCTCTTTATTTCTATATTGGACAGAGTGAATGCCCTGATCATCCTGGAACCATATGCATATGTTTCTCAGACTGTATCCATGCAGAAGTAACTACAGTGGTACCTCGGGTTATATACGCTTCAGGTTACATACGCTTCAGGTTACACACTCCGCTAACCCAGAAATAGTGCTTCAGGTTAAGAACTTTGCTTCAAGATGAGAACAGAAATTGTCCTCCGGCGGCGCGGCGGCAGCAGGAGGCCCCATTAGCTAAAGTGGTGCTTCAGGTTAAGAACAGTTTCGGGTTAAGTACGGACTTCCCAAACGAATTAAGTACTTAACCCGAGGTACCACTGTACTTCACCTCCCACTGTGCCATTAAACCCTATGTATGAATGCTACTGCAATAAAAAGGCTATAACTCACCTCATTCTTTGTATTTATTAAATAATATTTTATCACTGCATTTGTGCTTTACGGAGTGACACAAAAGGGCCCATGTCCAGACCCTCTCAAGAGTGCCCAATATAAATTTTGGAGGAGGAAAAAAACAGGAGGGAAGATATGACCAGCATCTTCTGTTTGATCATAGAAATGGTGTCAATGTGCCAATCTATGGAGATTTCTAAAAGGACCCACAAAGGAAGGAAAGAAGGAAGGAAGGAAGGAAGGAAGGAAGGAAGGAAGGAAGGAAGGAAGGAAAAGAGACAGAATAGAGAGGTGCTCCCAAATAACTGTACAACACCAGGACCCCCAAGTTTTGCCTGGATACTACGCTCAAGCAAAATGGATTGATCCAGCCCTGGCGGAGATTTCTGCCTTACCTTTCTTGTGGAGATTTATCCGAGCCCGCACTACATCTGGATGGTCAGGCCCAAGTCCAAGGATTCGCATAGCTATGTAGCTAAAGGCTGTGCCAAATACTGTTGACTGTTCTGTAAGATGGCTACCATAAAGAGAGATCAAAGAGCCATTAGAAAGTACACCAGAGTGTTTGGATGTCTAAGAAGCTGTTTGAATTGTTTAGTTTCCATTCTTCTGGTGCATTAACTTAAATTCAAAAACTTCTCTGAGAACTTGTCAGAATACAGTGGTACCTTGGGTTACATACGCTTCAGGTTACAGACTCCGCTATCCCAGAAATAGTGCTTCAGGTTAAGAACTTTGCTTCAGGATAAGAACAGAAATTGTGCTCCGGTGGCGTGGCAGCAGTGGGAAGCCCCATTAGCTAAAGTGGTGCTTCAGGTTAAGAACAGTTTCAGGTTAAGAACGGACCTCCAGAACGAATTAAGTACTTAACCCGAGGTACCACTGTACTCCAAGAATACCCAGTTAGCTAGCCATTAGCCGGGATACCACAGAAGACCTACTTTTGTTTTCTATTTCCTTTTTTGAAAAAAGTAATGCCTTAATGAAGGACATGTAGTGCTTTGAAATGTTTCTTTTCAGGAGACAGCATGGGCTTGAGAGCAGCTCATACAGCCAGAATACCAGTTGAAATTCCATTCCAGATAAATAAAGCTGATCTTGGTCAATGAGAATGTAGATACTGAATTCAGATTCAAAGCTGAGTCAAACCCCAAACTATTTTGTGGTTTGCTATTGGTTTGACGGGATACATTTGGATGGAGGCAACCTGGCTTCACCAGACCATTATCACTTGTAATACTTCCTAGAGATGGTGCTTTTCAAAGGCAAGAGTGATGTCAGATATCATTGTGGCAATCACACAGGGTCCCCGGACGTTTCACCGTCTATTGATCCCTGTGCCACCACTTTATTTCCCGCTGCCACCACCCAGGCCCTACCTGGTGCAATACTGAGCCCAGTCAGGGTTAAATTGGAACATAAACTTTTGTTTATTTATTGCAGTTTAACAAGCATGTGGTTTAATAAACGGTATCAGTCAATTACAAACATGGGGTGCCTATCCAGACCTATAACTTCCGCTACCTGCTCCCACTCACTAAACCACCTCTCAGATATTTACTTGTCTTCCTAGCCCCTAAGTATTCCTGACTCAGCTTATTTCGTAACACTAACTCAACCTACCCACAAACTCTAGCCCAATTCACTCCCACTCCAACCAACCACCCAACTCCCAACAAACTCCCCTCTTTGCCCCTCCCAGAGCTGGTTTTATAGTCCCTCTGACTCCACCCCCCTGGGTCCTGATTGGGTAACCTGTTTAACTATTTCACCTCCAGCACTCTCTCATATGTTAACGTCACAATCATGTCTTCATTATTGTTGCCTCTCTCCACCCCTCATGCCACAATTCTATTTTTCTCTGCCACAGCTGGGCAGCTTCAGTACATGCTGAGGCCAGCTGGCATTCTGGTCATCTGCCCTGCTGCCCAGTCCACATGGTGAGTATTGCTCATAGTCAAAAGACAGCAGAATGCAGAAGTGATTTAAAGAAGCCTTCATGGGGGAATTGCATCATGGACCAGCCCAAGACAAAGATATGCAGAATTAGAACATCACACCCTCCTTGGACTACTCACAAATTCCAGCCACCATCTGGAAGCTGTTTTGAGAGGATGTAACGCAGGAGCTCTCTCTCGGCCTCTTCTGGCAGTGAGATCTTGGCAGCATAGCATGACATCAAAAAAGCTGTTTGATTTTTCAAAAAAGATAACAATGTATAATACTTGACTATCTCAATTTTGGTTTGATTTGTTTGGATACCACCTGATGGGATATCAAAATGTAATTTGTGCTTTTGTACCCCTGGTAGATGGGGTTTTTTTTTCCTATCTTGAAACAGAAGAAAAAGGTCAAACATAACAAGATTTAATTATCTAGCAAGTTTAGGCAAAAGATCATCACTTCTGCCTCCTTACTAAAAGGTGCATGATTTCATTCTGAACTATTCAATGTTGGATGCTGTTTACAGTGATTGCCTGGAGCTGTATCCACATCCCCTGTGTGGCGAACCATTGAACAACAGGCAGCAGGATTCTCAGTGAATTTTCTTCAAACTGCTGGGGTCTCCTATCAGGTGATGCCAGAGGACAAGCCTAGGACCTTCTGCATGCAGGGACTGAACTGAATTCAGCTTCTCTCACTTCATTTCCAAGTTTGGTTCACTTTTTCGCATGAGTTTGTGATTTTCATTTTCATTTTAGTTCTAATGAAAATTCATCATCCCAATATACAAATTTGTGCAAAGCTATTATTGTTGTTTCTGCTGTTGTTCTTACTCTAGTATATGCCAATCTACACATTATGTGACTGGAGAACTGCACTACAAAATTCAGTGAATAGCAAATGTCAATGGATGCCTGTGTTTCAGTTCTCATGCTGTTTCTGAAAGGTGAGCGCTCTTTGTTCCTTTCATACTAAAGGCTTACAGGTCCATTATTCTAGATTATTCTGACTTCATTGGAAAGAGCAATAGCTTTTGCTTTGTGGCAGAAAATCCCAAGTTGGATCCTGGGCATAGAGCTGGGGAAATCACAGAGGGTTGCTACCTGGTCAGTGTTGAGATAGATGTGCCAGTGGGATAGGGCAGCTTCCTATGTTATTATGATGAACAGCTTTGTACAGGCAAAGGAAAGACAACTGATTTAAGCAGTTTCAGAGGTTTCTCGAAATGTCCACCTATTTGTGCCTAGCCTATCTGGTAAAAAAAGAAATAGATTTATAGAAAATATACAGGGAGGCCCGTTAATGTATTTGTGGTAAGTCTGTTAGCGTCCCTATACCTGGTCCAAGAGCAACGACACCAGAGCACTCCATAGCCCAATGGCCATCTTCCGCTTGCAGGCCAGAGAAGAATTTAATTGCTTTCTGGACTGCTTCCTGGGCCGTATTGGCTTTGGGCAAGTCTGGAAAGAACTTACTCTGTAAAACAAAATGGGGGAAGTAAGAGAAAAGTACAGAAATTTAAAAGTCTGGCTACAGTACAAAGTATGCATAGTGTTAAATGTCCTGCTACATATAATGCAACTGTTGGGTCATTTGAAAATAAATATAGCAGAGGAAGGTAGTCAGGATAGGGACCATGGCAGATGGGGAAGTGTCATTTAATACTTCCCCTCTCAGCAGTAGTCTCAATGAAATCCCCCCGCCCCTCGCCAGCTGCTATTTGTATGTGCCTGGGGACACCAGCAGGCGGGGAAAGGCAAACTCCCTCCTTCCCACCCACCACAATCCCCATCCTGACTGGGTCCTCATCTAGTTGAACAACAGTAGTGTTAAATACAAAAAGTTGTTTAATATAATGGATGGTTTGCTCCTGACAAACCATTCCAAAATAAAGTTTTACAATCACACCGTGATTCCGGAAAGTGAAATCAACATCTGCAAACATCTCACAATGCTTCACATCAGTGGGAGATCACAGCTGTTCAGAAATCCAGGAGTCTTTCTCTAAACAAACTGCATAGAGGATGCATGTGCCTCAGTATTTTCACACACATAAAGTCCCTCATGCAAATGCACCATATGTGCATCATGGAAATGATTATCAGTATACTGAAGAATAATCATTCTAGAGAACATCTCTGAGCTCTTAGATCAGAGAACCATAGAATATAAGGGACCAGAAGATCATGTAGTCCAACTTCCTTTGCACAAGTAAGAACCCTACACTGACTCTGGCTTGCAGATGAACTCACTCAGCTTTCTAGGTATCAAGCACAGAGCAGCTACCTTGTAGAAAGTGATAACCAAGTTATGTATTTCAGTATTTCCAGTAGATCGGCATATTCATCTTATTCAAGGTTGTCTTTCTTTCAAGTAGGGTTTTATATTCAACCCTGACATTATCAAGTTGCAGTTGTACAGCACCAAGTGGCAGGCAGTTGGACTAGGTGACCCTCATGATCCCTTCCACAATTCTATGATTGCAATAACCAAGCTTCCTGTGCTCCTAACTGACGTGTCAGAAGATGAGAACCCAAAAGAAAAATGACCCAGCCCTTGGGAAACTGCTGCTAGGCAGGGCCAAGCCAGCAGTCCTCATGCCCTGTGCTCCTTTCGTAGCCTTTCAGTGTTGTACCATCTGTTATCATTAAGCCACTTACAGTGTCCAGCCCTAAAGTGTAAGCCTCGAGTGCATTCTGTTCACGGACACATTCTTCACTGTCTGCCACGTAGTACCATCTATGCCGCCCTTCCACAGAGCTGAATCGCCAGCGAGTCAGATCAGTTTTGGGTTCTATTTCATGTGCACCTTTTCTTCTGCGCAGGCGTCTGCCAAAGAACACAGAGGGGGTGGGGAGTTTGAAACATGCAGGCAGATTTTCAGTTTGTTATCCTACCACAGGAAATTATTCTGAAACCAATTTTGTGGTCCTTCCAGCCAGAAGTGAGGGACAGACTTGTCTATTGATTTCAGTGGGTCTATTCATGACTAATTTGTCCACTGATTTCAGTGAGTCTACTCTGAGTATGGCATATTCATATACCACCAATAGATCCTTTGCTTTTTCTAACTAGCTCATTATGGAAACACTTCCTATTCTCTACAACCATATTTTTGTCCCAGTTGTTCAGAGCAGAAAGCGGTTGCTTATGAGTTTCTTTTATATCCTGCTTCATTCCAATGACAGAGATCATTTTAGGGTTCTTAAGTATGGAAGTCCCAGATTGATCAACATGACTTACTTTCAGATAATTGGGCATAGGACCACACCTTTAATTTCCAGTCTGTCCACCTATGTTCATTTCCCCAAGTCTGCTCCTAAAACTGCCCCCCCCAACTTCTCTTAGTTATTTTACAATATCTCTTCTAACTTGGTAATGATGAATTTTCAAGTGCCTGTCTTTCACATTATCTCTTTGGTGGAATCTCTTGTATACCTTTCCTGGAGAAAAGCCCCAGTGAAACAGTGGTACTTACTTCTGAGTAAGCATGCATAGGATTGTCCTAGTAGACTATTCCATGTTTAAAATTTAGGGGTGATTTTCTCATAATTGGCCTATTATAGGCCTCCACTAATTGAACTGTTTTAGACATCAATAATTGACAAATAATAAGGACCACTGATTCAGTTCCAAAGAGAGTTAATATGTATGTACTGTGCTGCACTCTGCTTTAGTAATTAATTTATATGCAGCCAGATATTTTGCCCATCTTCTAGTTATTCCCATCATTTATCAAATTGGGTTTGCTAAGTTTAACATCATCAACACATCTAGTTTCATGTCATTTCTCAACTGCAAATCTTTTTCTTCAAAGTTATTATAACTTATGAAACTTCTTTACACCAATTTTCATTTCTGTTCCTAATCACAATACAAAACTTCTGTTCTATTTTCCACAGTATTTCTGAATGAAGAAAAGCCAAAATGTTGCCTTTTTATTACTTAATACATCAAGTTAATTGCCCTTCCCATCTTATTTCTGTGAACTTCTCCTGTAATAAAGCTTGCTTAATCAATATGAATTAAGTCAAGCAACTGGCACACTTTGTTATTTTATTTAACCATCATCCTAATTCAAAGCATATAGATTGCACACAATGTACTTACGTCCCATCAGACATCTTCTTGGGTTGATGAAACTGCCTCAGATTGTTCTGGTTATATTTTAGATGGTGCAAGGCTTCAGGTACACAGGACACTGAATAGGACACTGAACTCTTGGACTCTGGGCTAGAGTTCCTGCCTCAGAGGTTCCACAGTTTCTAAAATATTCATGCTCCCAATAAAATACTTGAAGGCTATATAAAGACTGACCTAACCAATCACAGCAAGAATAATTTTACAGGGTGGGATCAGGAGTGTTAATGTAATCAGTGAAAGGCACGCCCACAATAACAAAGGTCAGTGTATGGCAGGGCTATCCTTGATGCATTGCACAGACTTTTTCTGGAGATAAAAATCTATCATGAGTAAAGTAACTTCCCCAAAGGATGTGTGCTGAAATTTCTTCAAAGCCAGACTCTTAGCTATGCTATCTGATCCTTCTACCCTAATGCCCTATGGATGCTAATACAGCATAACATGAAGATTTCCAAAAAATGAAGACAACATCCACATATGGGAAGGAATCAAATTATATCATATGTAGAAATTGTGAAAGTGCCTCTTTTTCAGTGATGATGCTTTCTGCAAGCTGCCATGCATCTGAGATCTAGGAAAACCTGGTTGAGAGTGCAAGGGTAAAAGAAAAATCTAGAAAATCTGGCCCAGGGGCAAATAAGAAGAACAGATAACTTTATCCTTTGCTCCACTGCCACAGTGCTTTGCTGTTAAGAGCTTTTTTTGATGTCCGCAGTTGCATCAACCACCAAAGCATTTATAAATATCAGATCACTAAAGAATCCACCCAAAGTTTTACAGCCTCAGATTAAGAGATGATTGAAAGATAAATGTATTAGGTTGATAGAACCGGTTTTATCTCCTTCATGCCAGAATGCTTTAATTCAGGGGTAAAGACGAGCTGGTTGGTTTGCAATGTGTTGTATTCCCAGGATCAATCACTCTCAGAAATCCCATTGCCCCTGCGCTGTCAATACAGTCTAAACATTACTCTTTTGAGGAATTAATCTTAGTCAAAGATCTACAGGATTGAGTCCAGCAGCGTAGCGTGGGTTGTCAGCACCCGGGGCAAGGCAAGTAATTTGCGCCCCCTAACCCCTAACCTGCTGCCGCTGCCAGCTTCTTCTTGCTGCTGCCTGGTCTGGTCTGGTCTGGTGTGGTTCTCTCCAGCGCTCAGCGCTGCGCTGGGCGGCCGCTGCACTGTCCCTCCCCCAGATAGTCCCTCGCTCTCTCTCCGCACCGCACACCTGGCACCCACCCCCTCCACAGTGGGTGGCGACCCAGCGGCTTGGATCGGATTCGCACAGCCAGCACTGCAGTGAGAGAGAGTGAGTGAGCCAGGTAGGGGCAGAGAGCTGTGAGTGTGAGCGCCCCCCCCCCAGATGTTGCGCCTGTTAGTTTCTGCTTTCCTTCACTGTGCAGCTCTGCTTGTCATGAGACAGGTGTTTACATTCCACAGTCTGTACTGTTGGAGTTTCTCACGGGAAAGGGAGACTGGATGTGACGTACACTGGTTTCCTGTTTTTCACTGTGTGATTCTCTCCGAGCTGTCGAGGAGAGAGGATGCATTTTTCTGCTCCTGCAGAGGCAAGATGTCTTTCTGTAATATACCAGCTTTGAACTGTAAATAAAGCAATAAAGAGTATGCAGCACGTATTCTCATCCTTCCGCTGGGCACGACAGACTCTGCTTAAATCAACACGTGGTTATGGGCTCCAGAGGTCGAATCGGAGTGCCGGCAAAGGATCGGAATGCAGAGGGACGGATCGGAAAGGAATCTGCTCTGCGCGTAGAAGTGATTGATGAGGTATGTGCTACTGCTCCGGGCAGCCTGCCAGCTTCAAGTTAATGGCTTTATGGCTGGACTTTGAACTTTTAAAGCCGGTTTTGCCGGGAATAGGCAAAAGGCTCCCAGGCACAAGTCACTATGCTGGGGAAATCGAAAGTAACTTTTAAGTGTGCCTTTGTAATAAAGCAGCTGCAGCAGTGACGCAGCAAGATTTAAAGCAGCATATGACGTTGAAGGCGAATGCCAGAGTCATGATGGCCCTTCAGGATGCTTGTGGGATTCCTAAGCTCAACAAGAAAAATTACAGCGACTGGGTTCAGTATGCAGAGGCAATTCTGCGGAAAGAGGGTTTGTTTGAGGTGATTACAGGAACCCCCAGTTCCAGTTACAGATGCATGGGAAGCTAAGGATTCCAAAGCAAGGGGAACTCTTACATTGATAGTATCCCCAGAAGAGCTCTGTCTATTGCGTGATAAGACCTCAGCCAGAGAAATTTGGGACGCTCTGAGAGAGGCTCACTTAAGGACAGAAGCTGGATCCACCATGTTTTACTTTAACAAGCTGCATAATATGGCTCTTGCTGAAGGTGGAGATGTGCGTTTACATCTAATGGAGATGCAAAATCTGAGACATGAGCTGCAACAGAGAGGACTCAACTTTCCAGAGGCTGTGTATTCTTTCATGATACTACAATCTTTGGGTTCAGGTTGGGAGTCTGTTGCAACCCAGATTGCTGTGCAACCAACTGCTCAGCTGACAGTGGACTTTGTTACTGCCGTGATTTTAAATGAAGCAGATCGCCGGGGTGCTAGCTGCATGGGCAAGGGGAGTCTTCACAGACGTCATCCCATAGTGCAGTGGAACCACCAGATGGCGCCAAAGCTTTGAAGGCAGTGAAATGCTACTCGTGTGGACGTCTAGGCCATATGAAGAGGGAATGCAGACATCCCAGGGCCAAGACAGAGCAGCGCGGCGAAAGCTCATCGCGCGGAAAAGGCCGAGGCAAAGGCAAAGGTCCGGTGTCTAGGACAACGCAGCACAAGGCTATGGTTTCACGCTTCACTCCAAAGGTTGCAGAGGTCCAGAAGACGTCTAGATCTTTCTTCGTTGTTGATTCAGCGGCCACCCACCACATGTGCAACGATAAGAAACTGTTTGTGTCTTTTACACCGCAGGAAGGTGCGATTCACCAGGCGGATGACCACACTATTCCCAGTAAAGGCTACGGAACTGTTGTTCTTCACAGTTTGGACTTATCGATACAGAATGTGCTTTACGTGCCAGACGCCAAACATAATCTGCTCAGCGTTGGACAGCTGAATGAGCGGAACATTGACGTTTCCTTCAAGAACAAGAAGTGCATCATCACAAAGAAAAATGATTATGTATTGCATGCAGAATATGTTGATCATTTGTTTGTTTTGTATTATGATGATGTGGTGCAGGATGACACTTGTTGCATTGCAGGTTCTAACAAAAGTTTGCATGCAGAATGTATTCACGATTTTCATCGAAAATTTGGTCATTTGCATTTTGAGGCAGTATCTAAAATGCCTGCCTTGGTTGAAGGTATGACTATTAAACCCTGCAGGTACCACATGAAGTGCAAAGCATGCGCAGCAAACAAGGTGAAAATGGCTGCGAAAGGTAAGGTGTCTAGTAGGAAAGCTACAGAACCATACCAGGTTGTTCATGCTGATTTGGTTGGACCACTAGCGCCCTCTTTGGGTGGAAATAGATACTTCATGGTTCTCATTGATGCATTTTCTAGATATATTTTTGTGTACAATCTCAAGCAGAAATCGGAGGCTTTTCCTAGGTTCAAGGAATTCTGTGCTTGGTTGGAAAATGTGCATGGTAAGAAGATAAAGACTCTTTTCAGTGATCGCTGGGGGAATTCACTTCTCAGCAGTTTGAAGCTTTTCTGACTGAGAAAGGAATTCAACACGATTTGTCTAGTCCTCGCTCGCCATGGCAGAATGGACTTGCGGAACGGGCAAATCAGACATTGCTTCAAGGGTTAAAAACCTTGCTGCATGATGCCAATCTTCCAGAGAGTTATTGGGCCGAATCTCTCTCGTGTTTTGTTTACAGTTACAATCGCAGATTATCTTCAGCGATTGGTTGTAAACCCTATGAGAAGATGTTTGGCAAGAAGCCATACATCAAACACATGAAGATTTTTGGTTCTGACATGTGGGTTCGCTCACCACAAAACTCCAAGTTAGACAAGCGTGGATTGCATGGTATCTTTCTAGGTTATCAGAAAGGGTCTTACAGAATAATGATGACTGACTCTAAGACAATTAAGCTCACGAGAAGTGTTGAGTACAATGCAAAGTGGGGGAGAATGTGGGAATTTTCCAATGTTATCCTGATGACGGTGATGAGACTGAGGATAGTCAAAGCAACCACAACAGCCCACACCCACTGATGAAGGTTCTGAGTCTGAATCTGAAACTGAATCGGGTGATTCAGAGGATTTCGAGAGTGCGAAAGCCTCTATGCGACCCTCTGAAAGCTCTGATCAAGAATTGGAGGAACCATTGTTCACAATAGGTCGTTTTTCTCCTAAGAAGGAAGAGGAGAGTGTTGAAGACTTAAGGCTAATTCGTAGGTCACAGAGAGCCACAAAAGCAAACCTCCAAAGAGATTTGCTGATGAGTTTGCTACGATAGCAGTAACAGCTGTTAAAAGCTCCAAGAAGGTATTTGAACCTTCAAGTTTCCAAGAAATCCAGGGTTTGGATTCAAAGGAAGCTGAGCCATGGTTAAATGCCATGAAGGCTGAGCTTGATTCCTTAGAAAGGAACAAAACATGGGAGCTAGTTCCAGTAGTTCCAGGAATGAAACTGCTTTGAAGCAAATGGGTCTTCAAAGCGAAGACAGATCAAAATGGCAAGATAGTCAGACACAAAGCCAGATTGGTAGCCAGAGGTTTTGCACAGGTACCAGGTGAAGACTATCACGAGACCTATTCACCCACAGTGAGATATGAAAGCATTAGGCTTATGCTCAAGCTAGCTGCAGAGGAAAATCTACACATTAGTCACCATGATATTAATACAGCTTTTCTGTACGGATCTCTAGATGAATCACTTTATATGCTTCCACCTGATGGCGTACAGGTAAAACAGGGATTTGTTTGTGCTCTGAAGAAATCCCTTTATGGTCTCAAACAAAGTGCACGGTGTTGGCACACAAACTCACTGAAGTATTGTTTTCTCTAGGTTTTCAGCAAGGGAAAGCTGATCCATGTGTATTTGTCAAAGAGGAGGGGCAAAAGAAACTGTACTGTTTGTTTTATGTTGATGATTTATTATTCTTTTGGAAAGATGTTGCAATGTACAATAGCGCCCTAGCTCAACTGAAAGAGCACTTTGACATGAAAGATCTTGGTGAGGTAAATAACTACCTATCTCTGGAAATAGAGAGAGATCAAGATGGTAACATTCTAGTACACCAGTCACAGAAAATTGCTGATGTGTTAAGCAAACTAAATCTGATGGATGCTAACCCTGTAGACACACCGATGACAACAGGTTATCAGGTAGATGACACTGAAGAAGCATTTTCTGACACTACACTGTACAGGAGTGTGCTAGGCAAACTAAACTTCATTGCCAGATGTTCAAGACCAGACATTGCTGTTAGCTGTAATTTGCTAAGCAGACAAGTCAACAATCCTAGTGTCAAGGATTGAAAGCTCTGAAACGCATAGCGCGGTATTTGAAAGGCACTATGCATTACAGACTGAGATTTAACAATCAGAAGTCTGGTGGTCTTGAGATATTTGCAGATGCAAGTTTTGGAAGTGACGCTACAGACAGGAAAAGTACGTCTGGAGTTTGCTACATGTACAATCAGGGTCTTTTTGATTGGTCATGCAAGAAGCAAACAACAGTTAGCTTAAGTACTTGTGAAGCTGAACTGAATGCACTGTCTTATTCACTTAAGGATTGTGAATGGTTAGTACAATTGTGCGAAGATATGAAAATTCCTGTCAAATGTCCAATCCAGGTTTACCAGGACAACAAAGCATGTTTGGCTTTGCTGAAGTCTGAAGGTTGTAAGCAAAGCACAAAGCACTTGCAATTAAAATTGCAGCATGCTAGGGAATGTATTCAGAAGGGACTCGTAACGGTGTCCTATATGCCAGGTAATGAAATTCCTGCTGATGTATTGTCCAAGATTGTATCGAGGGATCAACACTGTACCTATGTGCAGAAGTTGGGTTTGTACTGATATTGTGCAAACACGCTGCCCAGTGATGTTCACAGAAAGGGGAGGATGTTAGTTTCTGCTTTCCTTCACTGTGCAGCTCTGCTTGTCATGAGACAGGTGTTTACATTCCACAGTCTGTACTGTTGGAGTTTCTCACGGGAAAGGGAGACTGGATGTGACGTACACTGGTTTCCTGTTTTTCACTGTGTGATTCTCTCCGAGCTGTCGAGGAGAGAGGATGCATTTTTCTGCTCCTGCAGAGGCAAGATGTCTTTCTGTAATATACCAGCTTTGAACTGTAAATAAAGCAATAAAGAGTATGCAGCACGTATTCTCATCCTTCCGCTGGGCACGACAGACTCTGCTTAAATCAACAGCGCCCGGTGCGGCCGGCCCCCCTGCACCCCCCACGCTACGCCACTGGTTGAGTCACCATTTGAACATCACCGTCTCATGGTTAACCAGCAGCAAATTAACCTGAGCCTTGTCTTTGGGAAGTGGAATGACTGGTGAAGGGAGAAGCAATCAGGGAGAGTGGTACCCATGACAAGCTTTCAAAATTCAAAAGTGATTACAAGCCCCAAAATGTTGTCAACCCTTGATGTAAAATGAAGCACATTGGAACAAAAACAATAGCCCTAATGACTGCACATAACTGAATTTGCCACACTTACCCTAGGATAGCCTGAGAATGCCCACTCAGTGAAGGAAGGTCAATTTTGCTACCATCCACGACCTTCCCGCACCCCCATGTTGTTGCCCTGAGGAAACCACCCAGTGCTTAAGGAAGAAAGAAACAGAAGGAACTAGTAAAACTTCCCCATATTACCAAAACTAACTCTATCCTACAGCTACCAGGCTTCCTCAATTTGAAGAAAAAAATCTCAGTGCTATTATGCTTGATCAGATAACAAAAAAACAAACCTGAAATATATGGCTGATCAGGTTTTGAAAAATGTATACTGTATTGTGCAAGTAATAGTGAAGCAAGCTTTGGAGAAGAATCGCCAGCATGGAGAACAACAGTGTGACAGACTTCAGTGGGAAAAGGTTTAGAACCAGAAAGTTGTTGACAACAGAGAGACAAGCAGCAAGCCAACTGAAAGTATCAAATGGAGCTACTGAAAGAGCAAGATTTTTTACTTTGGTACACAGCCATATAAAAGGACTGCCAGTCCTTTAGTTATATGGATCCCAGATCATGTAAAGCTTTAAAGATCACAGATAGCACCTAAATGGGCCCCAAAGCATAGTGATAGTCAGTGCAACAGATGTAAACAAGCTATATGTGAATGCATAATAAAATAAATATCATCCTCTCTTCTTACCTTCCTTTCCTTGTGTGTGATGTCTTTTCTCCAGACAGGGACTGTCCTAACTGCTGATCTTTGAAAGTCATTCCAAGAGCTTCCCCTGTGCTGGGCTTCATTCAGGGTGGGGAGTATCCTGTCCTCCCAAATTATTGCCTAGCATGTGCAGCCTTCGCCACTGAATCCACATCTCTTGAATGTTGCATACCCTCTGTCATTCCTCCTCAAGCACACAAATTTAAGCTATATTTTGTGTTGCGCTGGGGGAGGGTCATGGTCAAGAACCACTCAGCGAACAAAGCCTTTCTTAGATTTCTGCCAAATTTCCATTTTCCAAGAAAGGATTTGAAGTGGTGTGAATACCTGCCAGGAAATTAAGTAAATGTGCCTCTTCGTCCTGTTCCTTTTGGGGCGTGTTTGCACATATCAAAGAGGTATCATTAGTATATCAATAGCCCTCACATTTCTCCAGTCACTTCTTCATATAAGTAGTTAACCACCAGCCATAAAATATAATAAAACTTAATGTGGCCATATATTGATACTTATATCCTTATAACCTGATTTTGGATATCATTCAACTTAATTGTAGCAACCTGAGGATGTGCTCTTCCATTTAGAAGAAAATCACCACCATCACCCCATATTTTTCACTTAATGAAAAAGAGATATACCGTATTTTTCGCTCCACAAGACGGACCTGACCATAAGACACACCTAGTTTTTAGAGGAGGAAAACAAGAAAAAAAATATTCTGAACGAAACAGTGGATGTATGATTTTTGTGGTTCATGCTGTGGCCACAGACATGTGATTTGATGGTGAGTTTGGGGTGACCCAATGCAAAAATCCTGAGGATCCATGTGGATCCGTGCTTTGTAACCACATTTTTACAGCCCTGCCCTGTCACACCCTCGTTGCCTGGCCACACCCCACACATTGGAGGGCAAATCTAGTAGCAGTTGCACAGCCTTCAACTATGCTCAGTGTATTGTTTCTATGGAGATTTCAAAAAGGGCCCACAAAGGAAGGAAAGAAGGAAGAATAGAGAGGTGTTCCCGAATAACTGTACAACATCAGAACCCCCCAGCTTTTTCTGGGCCTGCTCTCCAGCGTATGGATTGACCAAGCCCTGCTGGAGATTTCTGCCTTACCATTCTTATGGAGATTTATCTGAGCCCGCACTACATCTGGATGGTCAGGCCCAAGTCCAAGGATTTGCATAGCTATATAGCTGAAGGTTGTGCCCAATACTGTTGACTGTTCTGTAAGATGGCTACCATAAAGAGAGATCAAAGAGCCATTAGAAAATAGACCAGTGACTCCAGATGTCGAGAAATCTCTTTGAATTGTTTAGTTTCCATTCTTCTGATATATTACCTTAATGCAAACTGCGAACTATTTTGTGGTTTGCTATTGGTTTGACAGGATACATTTGGATGATGCCAGCCTGGCTTCACCAGACGATTTATCAATTTTAGTACTTCCTACAGATGGTGGTTTTCAAAGGCAATAGTGAAGTCCGATATCATGTCTTCATTATTGCTGCCTATCTCCACCCCTCATGCCACAATTTTATTTTTCTCTGCCACAGCTGTACAGGCTGAGCCCAGCTTGCATTCTGGTCATCTACCCTGCTGCCCAGTCCACATGGTGAGTATTGCAAATGAAAGGCTCACAGTCAAAAGAGAACAGAATGCAGAAGTGATTTAAAGAAGCCTTCCCGTGGAATTGCATCATGGACCAGCCCAAGACAAAGATATGCAGAATTAGAGCATCTCTCCCCAGGCCAGTCTAGAGAAGCTCCTTGGACTACTTACAGGCCCCAGCCACCATCTGGAAGCTGTTTTGAGAGGATATAGCACAGGAATTAATTAGACTAAATTAAAAGATGCCTGCTTCTTGGGAGAAAAGCAAAGACAAACCTAGATAGCATCTTAAAAAGCAGAGACATCACCTTGCCGACATAGGTCCGTATAGTTAAAGCTATGGTTTTCCCAGTAGTGAGGTATGGAAGTGAGAGCTGGACCATAAAGAAGGCTGATGCTGAAGAATTGATGCTTTTGAATTATGGTGCTGGAGGAGACTCTTGAGAGTCCCATGGACTGCAAGAAGATCAAACCTATCCATTCTGAAGGAAATCAGCCCTGAGTGCTCACTGGAAGGACAGATTGTGAAGCTGAGGCTCCAATACTTTGGCCACCTCATGAGAAGAGAAGACTCCCTGGAAAAGACCCTGATGTTGGGAAAGATGGAGGGCACAAGGAGAAGGGGACAACAGAGGACAAGATGGTTGGATAGTGTTCTTGGAGCTACCAGCATGAGTTTGACCAAACTGCGGGAGGTAGTGGAAGACAGAAGTGCTTGGCATGCTCTGGTCCATGGGGTCACGAAGAGTCGGACACGACTAAACGACTAAACAACAAAGTGCAGGAACTCTCTCTTGACCTCTTGTGGCAATGATATCCTGGCAATATAGCATGCCATCAAAAGACCTGTTTGATTAAAAAAAGAAAAAGAACAATTTATAATACTTGACTATCTCAGCTTTGGTTTGATTTGCCACTAAATCACCTGTTTGGATATGAAAAATTATATTGTGCTTTTGTATCACTATTGGGTTTTCTTATCACCTTGAAACAGAAGAAAAAGGTCAAGGATAACAATATTTCATCATCCAGCAAGTTTAGGCAAAAGATCATCGCTTCTGTCACTTTACTTGAAGGTGCATAATTTGTACCTGCAATTTTCAATGTGAGATGCTGCTTACAGAGATTGCCTGGAGGTATATGCACTTCCCCTGTGTGGTGAACCACTGAACTGCAGGTGCCAGGCTTCTCTGTGAAGCACCTTCAAACTGCTGGTCCATCTGGGGATTCAGAGAGGTCTTACCCAGTCCTATCAGGAGATGCCACAGGACAAACCTGACCCTGAATTCAGCTCCTCTCACTTCCTCATTTCAAAGTTCAGTTCACCTTTTCACATCAGTTTGTGATTTTTAAGAAAACTCCTCATGAAAATTCACCATCCTAATATACACATTTTTGCAAAGCAATTGTCCTGATACTATGCATTTTTGATGTTATTTTCATGAATAAATGCATTTATATGCACACCTTAGTCTAGAATATGCAGCTGGACACATTACTTGGCATGAGAACTACACTACAAAATTCAGCGAAGAGTGAATTTCAAAACATGCCTGTGTTTCAATTCTTGAGTTGCTTCCAATCGTGCTAATAAGGCCTCTCTCTCATCTCAATCTTCATGCCAATCACATTTATATATTTATATATTTGTTTATTTGTTTGTTTACCAATTCGATGTAGTAAAACTTCTAAGTGGTTTACAAGAAATATTAAAATTATCCATAAAAACAATAGATAATTCAGATTGAGAGTAAAAATTAAAAAAACACATCCCCTATGTGATGCCAACAATGGACAATATCCTGCCCAATGAATTCAATGGATTATCCCCCTATTCGGAATGTACTGAAAATATATTCTGCTTTGTGAGAAAGGCTTAGTTTTCCTAAACAGGGGTGAATTGTTTTGTTTAAAGGATAAAACATTAACTAGTGGCAATTCTGAGACTCGAGAATATTCCAAAAATGTGACCAAAGGCAGTCTGAACTGGCTTGAATAAGATAAACATCTCTGCTTACCCAAGAAGAGGAAAACCTATTTAGCTGTAAGGTCACAGGTAAGATCTCTTTTTTCCTTTCATAGCTAAAGACTCACAGGTCTATTCTTCTAGATTATTCTGCCTTCATTGGAAAGAGTGATAGCTTTTGCTTTGTTGCAGAAAATCCCAAGTTCGTTCCTGGGCATCTCCACATAGAGCTGTGGAAACCACAGAGGGTTGCTACCAGTTGAATGGACCAGTGAGATAAGGTAGTTATTTTGATGAACAGCTTGCTACAGTCAAAACTAGTTTTAAGCAGTTTCAGGGGTTTCTCCAAATGTCCAACTATTTGTGCCTAGTCTATCCGGTAAAAAAAAAGATAAATAGCTTTATAGAAAATATACAAGGTGTTCCTTCTTAGCCAGTTAATATATAAGTAGTAAATCTGCTGGTGTTCCTGTACCTGGCACAAGGGAGAGGACACCAGAGCACTCCATGGCCCAGTGGCCATCTTCTGCTTGCAGGCCAGAGAAGAATGTCATTGCTTTCTGGAGTGCTTCCTGAACCGTGTTGGCTTTGGGCAAGTCTGGAAAGAACTTGCTCTGTAAAACAAAATAGGGAAAATAAGAGAAATGTACAAACACTAAAAACACTATCTACAACACAAGGTATGGAAATGTAACATTTGTCTTGTTACATTTAATGCAGCTGATCGGTCATTTAAAAATAAATATAACAGGGAAGGGTAGTCAGGATTGGGACCATGGTAGATGGGGAGGTGTCATTTAACACTTCTTCTCACAGAAGTACTCGCAATGAAATGCTGCCCCTTACCAGCTGCTACTTATATTTGCCTGGAGATACCAGCAGGCTGGGAAAGAAGCAACTTCCTCTTCTCCAGCCACCACAATGCTCATCCTGATTGCACTTGTTGTTTTGGTTTAAAAGAACAGTCATGCTAAATACAATAAGTTGTTTGATGTAATGGATGGTTTAGCTGTGAGAGACCGTTCCAAAATAATGTTTTACAACCACACCATGATTCCTCAAGTGAAATCTACAGCTGCAAACATCTCACAATGCTTCACATCAATGGGAGATCACAGCAGTTCAGTCCAGCAATCCAGCAATCAGTCAGAGGCCTTTCTCTGTATTTTCACACACATCAAAATGCCTCGTGCAAATGTATCATCTGTGCATCGTGGAAATGAGTATCAGGCACAGTATATTGAAGACTGATCATCGAGAGCAAGACAGTGGCTGTTTTCTAGGAGAACATGACTAAGCTCTCAGATCAGAAAACCGTAGAATAGGAGGGACCAGAAGACCATGAAGCCCAACTCCCTTTCCAAAGGTAAGAATTGCAGGCTTAGGTACTTCAGTATTTCCAGTAGATTGGCCTGTTCACCTTGCACGCTTGTCTTTCTTTCTACAGTGGTACCTTGGGTTACCGGTACATTTCTAGAGATCAAAAGAAAGTGGTTTTGTGCCATAGAACACATGGGCATCTCTTGCCAGCGGATTGATCTCTGCTGCCACTCAGGCAAAATGGAGTGGTGGGGAGGGCGAGGGAGCAGAAGAGGAACATTCAACTGGTCTTCTGCTTGCTGGAGACCAAGTACACGCTGGCAATGGAAGTTGATGTGTCAGGTTGAATGGGACAGTGCTCCACCAACATCAGCCAGCACCCACCTGCCTGCCTTCTTACAAATATCCAGTGCAGGGGGTGGCCTTGGTTGTGCCAGCTTCCTCTCGTTGTGTTGTTGTTGTTTAGTCGTTTAGTCGTGTCCGACTCTTCATGACCCCATGGACCAGAGCATGCCAGGCACTCCTGTCTTTCACGGTCTCCCGCAGTTTGGTCAAACTCATGCTGGTAGCTTCGAGAACACTGTCCAACCATCTCGTCCTCTGTCGTCCCCTTCTCCTTGTGCCCTCCATCTTTCCCAACATCAGGGTCTTTTCCAGGGAGTCTTCTCTTCTCATGAGGTGGCCAAAGTACTGGAGCCTCAGCTTCACAATCTGTCCTTCCAGTGAGCACTCAGGGCTGATTTCCTTCAGAATGGATAGGTTTGATCTTCTTGCAGTCCATGGGACTCTCAAGAGTCTCCTCCAGCACCACAATTCAAAAGCATCAATTCTTCGGCGATCAGCCTTCTTTATGGTCCAGCTCTCACTTCTATACATCACTACTGGGAAAACCATAGCTTTTACTATGCGGACCTTTGTTGGCAAGGTGATGTCTCTACTTTTTAAGATACTGTCTAGGTTTGTCATTGCTAAAACTCAGCAGGGAAGGAGGATGAAGGCAGAACTAGAATTAGTTGGCTCTGCCGGTCATTTGCTCTGGTGCCGCGCGCTGCTGGGCTCCCTCCCTTCCACCCTATCAGTCCCAACAGGTGCCAGCCACTACTGGAACACACAGACTTACCTGCTGTGGTGGTAAATCTTGTTCCTCATGTGCTCACAATAAAAATATAAAAAAACTGCGGGAATACTTATGGTCATGCTTTGGCGTCTTGCTCTGAATCTTCTTTAGTATGCATGCATGTAAGCCTTATACCCTATGAAAGGCCTACCTCCTCCTCACCTAGTTTTTCACCTCCTCCCCCTAGTTTTTCACCTCCCACCCCCCACCCCACGGTGTGTCCTGCTGGTGCTTTTCCAAAATTTATTTTAAAGTTGGTATCTTATGCACACTTGGGACTAAGTCAAGAAGTGATTTTGTTCTGTGAACCGCCCTGAGACATCAGAATATAGGGCGGTATATAAATTCAATAAATAAATAAATAAGCCACGTTATCTAAGTGAAATTTATTTTCAAGTTGACATGCATAAAAGTGGACTACAAGACATGTAAAATCTGCTCATGTGACCCCTTTCTATGCTGCTATGAAATTTGTATGTGCATGTACAAGTGCATGATACAAAATCAGAGAAAAGAAAAGTGCTTGATAAAACACTTCCACAAGGAATTGTAAAAACTGATAAACGTTTTGCAAAACTGAGAGGGTGGAGGGAAAGTTGAAAATAGGTATCAGTATCTGCAGCAAATAAATAATAATCAGGTAACTGATGGTGGAGGTTGGAAGTAGTTCTTTGGGGGGGGTGACAAAAAAATTTCAGCACCGGGTACCACCTGACCTTGCTGTGCCTAGCATATCCATTATAGCATATAGATTGCACACAATGTGCTTACATCCCATCAGACATCTTCTTGGGTTGAAGAAGACTGTCTCGGATTGTTCTGGTTATATTTTAGATGCTGCCAGACAGGCACACAGGACACTGAATAGGACACTGAACTCTTGGACTCTGGGCTAGAGTTCCTGCCTCAGACATTCCACAATTTCTAAAATATTCGTGCTCCCAATACAGTGGTGCCCCGCAAGACGAATGCCTCGCAAGAGGGAAAACCCGCTAGACGAAAGGGTTTTCCGTTTTCAATGCGCTTCGCAGGACGAATTTCCCTATGGGCTTGCTTCACAAGACGAAAATGTCTTGCGAGTCTTGAGATTTTTTTTCCGCTTCCCCCCCCCTTTTTCTAAGCCGCTAAGCCTTTAATAGCCTTTTAGCAGCTAATCCGCTAAGCCGCTAAGCCTTTAATAGCCGCTAAACCGCTAATAGCGCTAATCCGCTAATCCGCTAATAGGGTTGCTTCGCAAGACGAAGAAACCGCAAGACGAAGATACTCACGGAACGGATTAATTTCGTCTTGCGAGGCACCACTGTAAAATACTTTAAGGTTATATAAACACTGACCTAACCAATCACAGCAAGAATAATTTTATAGGGATCAGGAGTGTTAATGTAATAAATTAAAAGCATGCCTATGGACTGATTCTGAAGATAAAAATCTATCATGAGTAAAATAGCTTCCCCCAAAGATGTGTGTATAGATTTGTTCAAGGTCGAACTCTTAGCTATGCTATCTGAACCATCTACCCTAGTGCACTATGAATGCTTATACAACCTAACATGAAGATTCCCCAAAATGGAGACTATATCCACATAGGGAAGGAAGAGAATTGTATCATATGCAGAAATTGTGAGAGTGCCTTTCTGAAGTGATGGCACTTTCTGCAAGCTGCCAAGCACTTGAGAGCCATAAAAATGTATTTATCGGTATCTTAAAACTTGGCTAGGAGAGTGCAAGGGTAAAAGAAAAATCTGAGAAATCTGGCCCCGCAGCAAACCAGAAGAACAAGTAACTTTATCCCTTGCTCCACTGCCACAGTGCTCTGCTGTTAAGAGCTTTTTTGGATGTTCATAGTTGCATCAAGCACAAAGCATTTCTAGAGATCAGCTCACTATTAAGTATTGGGAGAATCCATCCTACACTCATACAGCTTCAGATTAAGAGGTGATTGCAAGACAAATGCATTATGTTGATAGAACCAGTATTATATGCTTCATGCCAGAATGTTTTAATCTGGGGGTAAAGCCAAACTGGTTAGTTTGCAATGCGTTGTATTCCCACTATTAATCACTGTCAGGGATCCCGTTTGCTCAGTGCTGTCAATGCAGTCTAAACATTACTTTTTTGAGGAATTAATCTTATTCAAAGATCTACAGGGCTGTCTCCCCGTTTGAACATCACTGTCTCATGCTGAGATCCTGCGCTGTGCATCCATGAACCTACTAAGAAAACCTACTAGGAATTGATTATCTCTTGCTTTGAAATACTTGATTTCAGATTTCTGAATCACTATTCTCCCTGTGCACATGTATACTTTTTTGGGATTTTGATGCAAACAATCAATCTCCTTTATTGGCATAGAAAAAGTGCATTGTATACATGGATCAGAACACAACACAGAGAGCAAAACATAGTAGGAGATACTTTAGCATAAAACTGTCCAGACATCATGAGGTACAAAAATGGCTCTTAGGACCTATGGTAACGTCATTTCATGGCATCACTCAAAAATCTTGCCACATTCTCCACTACAATTATTCAGCAGAAAAGACCCCCTGGAAGAGTCAGTGCGATAAATCCCTTCCTTCAATAAGGGGGCCAAATAGTTAGCACAGGGGTCAGCAACCTTTTTCAGCTGTGGGCCAGTCCACCATCCCTCAGACCATGTGGTGGGCTGGACAATATTTTTTTGGGGGGGGAATGAACGAACACCAGGCAGGCCCCACAAATAACCCAGAGATGCTGGGCTTCATTCACAGTGGAGGGTGGGGAATATCCTGTACCTTCAAAATGTTGCCTAACGGTATCCCCACTGAATCCACCAATTAAAGGACTTCTGGGGTGGCGCCACCGGCAATGGCGGACTCCCTCTGAACTGGAGGGACTGGCTCCGTGGTAAACAGGGTGTACTCTGCTACGGCGAACCGGGGACCCCTTCAAAATCACAGGCGGATGAAGCCTGTGACCATGGGACTCGGCGGGCACCTTTAGGGATTTGAAGTGGTGCAAATCGCTACCAGGAAATTAAGCTAACGTGCCTCTTTGTCCACTTTCTTTTGGGCATGTTTGTACATTTCAAAGTGCAATCGTGCTACAAGGGGAATATCAGCCAAGAGAGAAAAGCACTGGGTGATGTTGAGAAGGATGAAACCCAAGCTCTCAGGAATGACAGTGCACCTCTGCTCAGCACCCTCCATTCTGACTCTGCACTGCATGCACAGATCCATTCTTCAGGAGTTCTTTAGCGACAGGGCTGCTGGGATATAGCCGGGTAAAGCGGGCAAGTGCAAAGATAGGGAAGATGATTCGGTAGGCATTGTAATGCAGAGTACCAGCTTTGTAGAATGCTGTAGCGATGTCACCCTGAGGAGAGGTAAGAGAGAAATTCCTGAACAACCTACATGCAGTCTTCTGTCCTGACTTCATGGTGACTAAATTCCATCTGAGAACCCAGTTGTATGATCATTGTAACCTCTTTTAAGAGCAACTGTCACATACAGTATCACTGAGCTTTTGGCTGGCAAACAAGACTCTGGAAGCAGGAATCAGAGACCAGAGCCAATTAAAATGTAGGAAAGGAGACTAAAGACATTGTAGCATCTCAGGCAGAATATCCAAATGGTTCCATGATTAAAAAATAAAATAATTAATTGGCAGTCTATGGCTTTTTAAAAGCACCCCTCTGACCTGCCACATCTAACAGTAGGGCCAGCTGTGTCCTGTGCTCTGATACCACACAAACTCAATCCTGAGGGCACATTTTGATGCCACAGCAGTAACAAGACAGGTGCATGAATCACTTGGGTGCCTAAGGCAACAGAATACTTCCCACAGGAACATCAGAGTGTTCAATAGAGGGAGAACATGGGAAGCACTTGTAAGATCTCAGCTGCCAATGCCACACAAGTGTCCATGTGTGTCCACAATACATTGCAGCCATCTATGAGAAGCATCTTTATGACAGCAACAATGCCAATGAGAGTACATTCTGATCTGCCTCATTCAGTAAGTGAGGGGTGGAAAACCTTTGGTCCTCCAAATATTGCTGAATTGCAACTCCCATCATCCCTGTCTATTGCCTGTGTAGGCTGGAAGGCAACAACTTAGCCACTCCCACTCTCAGTACTTGGTGGGAAATGCTCTGCGTTCATTCATTCATTTTATGTATATTTGGAGGACATGATCCATTTCATAGCTGGCTGAAATATACTGTTTCTGTGAACCTTGAAATTATATTGCTATGAGGATACTTGATTAAGAAAAAAATTAAAAGTTGTAACACACCTGAGGCCACTCGCCAATCAATGTCTGTCTGTCAATCAAAACTTGTATTCCTCTTTCCAGAACCCGAACATCAGGATATCTGCAAAGCCACAAAAATACTGGTCATTAGTTCTGTTATCAGCAGGGAAAGCCTAACATTTTCTTCTGGGGAGCTTATATGACTACATTTTCTTTTTAAAAGAAAGAAACCCTCATGGGCTCACAGAAACTCAATGGGTCCCCCTAGTGGAAAGACCTGTAAGTGCATGAGTCCTTCACACAAGTTCAAAAAGGTGAAGAAGCTAAAGAAATTAAATTGTGAGGCCTCCATCCCAGTCTTTAAGACGGCCTTAACTGCCTCTTTGTTTGGCATTATTTCAATTGTTTGGACTAAGAAGCACCTGGGAACATCTACATATGAAGCTGCAGGAAAATTCTGTCCTCTGCAAGTTCACAAAAGTTAGCATGTTTCTTTAGCATGCCTTAATTGGTTTGTCTAACTGCTGCAGAAACCACTTGGGCAAAAGCAGACAGAAGCCTTTGATAAGGTAGGTAACTGCCATCTTCTGTGCTTACCTAACAGCCATCAGCCCCAACAGAGCCCAGGAGGTTTGGTGGATCTGGGATACGGTGTGCTGAATATATTTGCGAAACCTGTAGGATTCAAATTCCTCTCCCCAGCCACCGTCTTTCATTTGCTTGGAGACTAAGAATTCACAGGCTTTGGTCACTTCCTTGCATGCCTCCCTAGAAAATATGAGAGGGGAGAGAGAAATAGCCCATGAGATGCCTCATTGGGTTTTGTTCCACTGTTGGCCTTGACTGCATCCAAAGCATCAATATTATATGCACATGACTCCCTGCATTTGATATTTTGGGTGGAGGAGCCTGACGGTCTCTCCGCTTCACACCCCTGAAGCTCAGCTCCATCAAGGGCTCCCAGCAGAGCAACATTCATACTAATCTTCTGCCCGAAAGGCTGCTTACTCACCCACCACGGTAGATGTATCCCATACATGCAAATGCCTCTAGTCCAAACCAGGTGCCATATGTGAAGCATACGCCCCATCGCCTGTCAGGGAAGAAAAACCCATCAGCCGCTGAATGAAAGATACTGAGACAAGTGAGAGACTACACCCTTTGAGTATACCCTTCCATTCACTGTTTGTTTCATAGAACCATAGAGTTGGAAGGGACCATGAGGGTCATCTAGTCCAACCCCTGCAATGCAAGAATCCTTCTAGTCCCATGTTCTATCATCTGAGCTATCTCAGCTATGCTTTTTTTCTGCATTTCTTCCAAAACTTTCATATCCCTCCATTAGCTGCACCAAACAGTGAACAACTAGATGAGAAGGTTTCTTCTTGGTGGCAGTTTTTCAAAGTTTTATCGTCTACAGACAGGACTCTCTTCAAAGTAGTGAAAGGAGGGATGGAGCCAAGTTCATTCATCATAAACCTGCAGTGAAATTCCTGGTCAAAGCCAGAATCTCTTGTTGCTGTAACTAGTTGTGCATTTTTCCTTGCTTGCTATTGTTCTAACTAGATCTAATTTATATAACCAGTTATTTTACTTAGTGGCTGTAGATCTCATGGTGTGAATATTACTGATGAATCATGTAGGGATCAGTATGGGATCAGTACATGGTGTTACCAACAGTACAGTATGTTTTCTCTCTAAGCCTAATGACAATGTGAAGGTTTGTGCAACTACCTTATGCAACTACATTGTTAAAAGACTGCTCAGTTGAACGGTCACAAAATCCTGCCTCAGAACAGACATAGATTTACTGACGGTGGAGCAAGCTGCTGACACCTGGTTATTGGTACTACATTTTAGGCTGCAGGTCTCTAATCACTCCTTAGACATGCTAGCAATCAGTTGTTTGTGGTGAACAAGATTCACAACTGCCCTCTTAGGTGTCATATTCTGAAATTGCCCATTTTACACATCAGTTTAGGATCCCATTACCTCTAAAAAGAGGCTGGATGCTCCTGTGTTTTCTTTTCCATGCACAGAGTTAGGCTGCAGCACAACCCTCTACAGTGGGAAGTGAGAAATCCCATTCTGTGCATGTGTTTTACCCTTCATCGCAGAAATGTTTCATATTTGCAGAATACTGAAAGCACAAACTGCAGACTGCAAATGCAGATGAATCAGACGAAGCTCTGGAGATCTCCTTCTTGGAGGTAACAGGCAGCCTAGGGATGCTACTAAAGGCAAGAGTTCCACTAGGTGTGTCACATTCCACACAAGGCAGCAGTCTGCCAAACTGTTGTGCAGGAAAGTCATTTGAAAGGTGAAGGTTTCCACAGCCCATCAACAACCTCTTCAAGTCCTACTTTCAGAATGCTATGTATGCATTCAGAAACTACACCAACCAGTACCACAGTCAAGTTTAGTGTGGAATATTTGTAAGCCACTCACCCTAACCAGGAGCCATCAGCTTTCTGCATATTACGACAGTACTGCAAAGCCTTATTTAGAGTATCACTGAGAAGAAAAACAAAGGAGTCTTCTTACATTTCAAGCTAAACAGACAATAATTAACCCAAGTCCCTTGTAACAATGGCATTCAGCCGCCTGAAGTAGCCTTCGACTTTTTCGTAACTTGGACCCACCCCAAACATGCATTTAGTGGCCCACTTCTTAATGTTTTAACAATGTTAGTGTTGCTATTGTGACCCACCTTAGAGCAGGCTGTGACCCAGTAGTAGGTCCTCCCAGCCTACCAGGTGATTGCTGAATAAGATCAAGAGTGTTCCTCATCTGTCTTTAAGGATATCTAAACCACCAGCAGCAGCTGTACATGAGATGAACATCTCACAAAAGTATCACTTCCATGTTGGAAACAACATGCATGCTATGTAACATATACATTTTCCCAGTGCTTTTTTCTGGGGAGGACGCAGGGGTACACATACCCCTAAACATTTTGTGAATCGAAGTTTGGCCTCACTGAGGGGCAGTATTTCAATATGAGTAAGGAAATGAGAGTACCCTTAAACAGTTTTTTAGAATATAGAATATGTGTATTATAACGTAACAATAACATCATTCCCAGCTTCTAGGGATTTCCCCTCACACATTTACCTGATTTCATCTTCCCGATGATTTGGGAATCTTTTCCTAAAATGTTTCAATCCCTGCATAACTGATGAAGTACATTCTATATAGGTGTGGTCAACCATACAGTCAGCTGAAAAACAGAAAGTCAATAATGTTACCTTTCAAGATGGCTTACAGATTTATATCCTTTAAAAGGGAGCAAAAACCTAGCAGTTTAAACAGCGGGGGGGGGGGGAGTTTATAAAAGCAACAGGTCAAATGCCAGCTCTTCACCCGCCAAAAGCCAATCAGCAAAACGGGCATGCAAAGGGTGTGGCAAAAGGAGGAAGAGTTGGCTCTGGCCACACCCACTGCTGGCATGCAGTCCATAACAGAATACCCTCAAAGTAATGTGTCCCCTCCCTGAAGGCTGTGAGGTGGTAGGGTCATCCTGGGAGAGGTGGCTTCTAAAATAAGCAAGACCCATGTGGTGTAGTTGAAAACCAATTATGTTGAACTGGGTCCATAGACTCATTGGCAGCCACTGTCAATGGCACTGCATGAGCCCTCATGCCTCCTTCCCAAAGCCCAGTAAGTGCTTCCCCCACCTTTGGGAAACGTGGCGCAAAGGCTCTGGGATGCTGCCAGAACCCTTGCACCGCCTTCCCAAAGCTCCCACACATACAAAGCTGTGATTGCATGACTTGGCATCTATCCCCAAAACTATGAAACAGACTTTTCTTGTGAAGATGACCAGAAATTCACATAAGATTCCCATTTAAGTTGTTCTGATACCAAGGCTGTGTTCTTACCATATATCTCTGAGGAGTTCATTATCTCCAGTAGCCAACTCCCACGCCTGGTTTCATAAGATGAAAAACCACCATCAGAATTTCTCATGTTCAGCATCTGCAAAAAAAAGTACAAGTGCGATTGGGGAAGGAGCAAGGCAAAGGGTTTAAGAATGGGCATGGTGTGCTTTGTCCTACCTGCAGAGGCACATGGCTGGTAGCTCCTGCCCAGCCCCACCAGCCACTCCTGTATCCTTACTTCACTTGATTTTTTCCTAAACTAAAAAGTCCCAAATATTATAGGGGTGTGTAAAATCACACCTTGAAAAACCAATCTTTTTACTTCAAGTGGAGTTAAACAAATGGAGAGTGGTTCTCTGTACATATGTAGTTGTGCCAGTTGGCCCTCTCTCACCATATTAGGCAAATGGAGAACTCAGTGGATGGGAAGATTCTGTTCTCCTAACAAACACTAGAAAGTGTCATTGCTCCTTGCGACTATGATGAGGATTCCAGGACAAAATTTGCTAACTTGCGTATTTCTATCAATGTGATTTAACTCCAAATTACCACTGTATGGAAGGAGATTAACTCATTACATATTTGACTTCAGATTGATTAAGTAAAGCGTAAGCATGTAATAGCTACTTTCCAATGAACAAAATCAGTAGTCCGTCTGTTGTCAATCCTAATACCCAGTGAGCTTTCAATCCAGCTTACTGGGGGAGATTGCTCTCAGTCCTGCTACCTTACAACCCTTTACCTGTGCTTAAGGAACTCAAACTTCAAGACTGATCATCCTTCACAGAGGATACAATGCTGCCATAGGGACACTTCCACCAATTCTCTTAGCCTACGGTCCTACAAAACCAATATTCTCCTCAGCACTATTACTGAATGCTAGATGACTTCAGTCTTCCCACAATAGCTTCCTCCTGCCTGCTTCCCATTTTCTCTTCTGGGCTTTCCCCCTTCTCACCACATTGACAGCATCAAAGAGGCGCTGAGGTGCCACATGATCTTCTATGAAGGGGCATTTTTCCTCCAGCAGCATCAATGTCCTCATTGCCTCAGCAGTGCAGTCACTGACTATCCAGTCATTCTCTCGATTGCTGAAGGGGAATCCACCCTGGATATTGAAGAAAATACATTAGGACTCCTTGGGCAGCAGTCAGTGTAGAGGCATCTCCTCCCAAAAAGATCCCAATAAAGCAACCAGGGATTTGACGGGTGATCCATATTTCTTTTTCAGGATCCTAGACTAGATGGGCCCTGGCCTAAACCAGCAGGCTCCTTGGGTTCTCAGAATTGACACTTAACTTAAAGACTCTTTTTTTTTGCTGGCTATGTATCACACAGACAGGACACAATTCTGGATTTACCTTGTTCATCTGGCGATAATATCTCTGGTAGTTAGGTGGGTTATCTACAATCTGAAAAACAGATTAGCAGCATATTAATAAAAGACAATCAGAATATATTTATAACCCGAGAAAGCCAGTGTGGCATAACAGTTTGAGTGTTGGACCTGAGAGACCAGGATGCCAATCCCTACTTCCTCTCAGCCTAAAATTCCTCACAGCGTTGTTGTGCGGATTCAGTAAGGAGGAAGAAAAGTTCAGTAAGCTCCTCGGAGAAAAAGATGGGTATGCAATAATTAATAAACAATAGAAAATAAATTAACTCAGTCAGAAATATGGTCTGCAATTTAGAAGACAGAATATGGCTACAGCCTGATGCAATGGCAGCACATAGGGTTGTGTTCAGTGCCAGCGCTACTCAAAGCAGACTCACTGAAATTTATGAACTCAAATTGGGCATGTTTATTAACCTGAATGGGTTTGCTCTGAATAGGATTCATACTGCGTACAACCCACAGTGTCGGTTGAGGTAAATTGCAGTGGATAGACAAGGTTTTACACAGGACTGAAGCCACACTATAGAACCAAATTGACATTACAGTCAAGGATCACATGGGCTTCAGATTAAAAACGTATTATTCTATAGTCCCACCATGACACATTATTCAGCTGAATGAATCTCATGTGATCAAGAGGCAGCTGGACCACACTCTGGCTCTGCCTCCAAGGTTGCACAACATTTCATGACCACAACACCCACACATTAAGCTATGCCTATGCAGACATCCATGTCTAAATGCAAGAATATCAGAGGCAGGGCTGGGGAAAACCATACAACCTTGGAAGCTGCCCTTCAACATCTAGGTCAAATAGGCCCGTTGCCTTTGATAACCTAATAGCTCCTTCTCATGATGAGTAACACATGAAAGAGGCTCATGTTACTTTGCAAAAAGAGACAAGCGTTTCACTCCTAAATCTTTTGCTGAGACAGCTGAAAGCAGTATTGATTCCCTGTGTATGTTATTCCAAGATCAGTGCTTTACCTGAGAGGCTTTCAAGAATTCATGGGCTTTTTTCAGACAGGATGCATAGTCAGGATTGTTCTGAACCCCAGCCTAGAAAAAGACAGAAGTTATGCTTAAGGATTCTGACCAGGAAAGTCACAGAGAAAATCTCAGACACTTACACAAAATCATCACTTTGGACAGCCACAAAAATAAATGCAAGTTCTTCAGGGATAACTTCAGTGTTACAAAAGGAATACTCAGTGTGTGGATTTCTGGACCTCATGTCCTAAGAATCACCTGGAGAACATGCCTTTCTTGGTTAACCATGACAGGCATACGAGGTGTTCGGATCTCCTGGTGTGTGTGCTTTGGTTAAATAATGAACACACACTCTCTACATGCCAGTTCATTCATCTAATATATATATATGTAAATGGAAATTATTGTGGAAAGAACAAAAGCAGAAGAGTTGACAATATAAAATGATACCTCCAAGAAGCCTTGAATGGCAAATGATGTATCCCAGGTCTGTGATCCCATGACCTGATATAAAAAAAGGAAGAAGAGTTTTGTCCATTAGATCAGGGGTGGAGAACCAATGCCCTGGGATCTAAAGGCAGTCCTCTCTAACCAGCCCTTTGGATGCTTCCCCAGTCATGTCCACTTCCCAGCCTACACCCTCCTCCACTGGCCTTGCTCTGCACCCTCCTTAAGGGCTGGAATGTCTCATGGAACGGTGATAAGGCCTCTTGCTTAACTGAGTGGAAGATGGGAAAATGGGGGGGGGGGGTTCCTGAATTTCATGTGGTCAGATCTTAAACAACTGTTTTTTTCACATTTTTATTTTCTGTTTTAAAATGTATGTTCCAGTGCACTATTTAAAAAGAAAGCAAGAACACTAAGAATAAATCAGTAATTAAAGGGCTCCTCCACATGTTTACTTGCCTGTTTTTTATTGTACTGCTCAATTTCCCTGGGTTCAAGAACTTTTCCCTTTGTTCTGCAGCTATGACTTGCAAAAATCTGAACTTCTCTGCTGAACTGAACTCAGTTAAGCAACACAAGTCTTTGGATTTTCAGCATATTAGATAATATCTGGTTCAGCATTTTTAAAAGGTGCTACATGACCTTGTGTTATGTTACATCTTGCCTCCTAGCCTAATCCTGGGGTGAAGCTACACTATATGCAGGAGATCCAAGACTGCATCTCCTGATATTTTGATATCAGGCAGGCAGAAGACAACTCAGCTTCAGAGTCACCAAAGCAATGCAAATTGCAGGCCACAGCAATTCCCAACATCTGGGTCCACACTACTGTACCTTTATTAGCATGCCATCTTGTCCAATCCTGCAGAGATATAAGAAGCAGAGATTATAGCAGACGCAAGTCCATGTAGTTCTCTAACTTCATTGCATAACAGGAGACCAAGGCTTGACAAGTCTAGAATAGGCTTTAAGAATAGCCAAAAAGCAAAATCTCCCTGAAATCTCTTCCAGACAACACAATGAGAGGGACGCAGGTGTGCATGACACCTTTCTGAGTTCCACCTATGCTGCAAATAAGGATATGTTCACATATGCAGCTTAAAACACAACAAGGTGATTTTTTCTTACTGCACTGCAAGCTGCATTTGCACAGTGTTGTTCACATCAGAGGCAGAGATCTTTACAGAGTGTGCATGCCATTGCTGGTCCCCCGCACCCTCCCAGAACTCCTAGTAATGAAGCTGCCATCTGAGCATCTGTGCTCATGTGTGCCCATACTACGGCTTTCACAGGTGTACACACCATTTACGTTTCCTAGTCCGATTGACCTTGGTTTGAGGAAAGATCCAGGTCTGCAAAAGCACACTTATGCAAGACCATGTTCAGGATTCTACAAAGATGGGTTTGAATACATATGCCAGGCTTACCAAAGGTAGTCATAGATCCTGGAGATATGTTCTTGAAAAGCTGGAGAATCGGCTCCATCAGCATACCTGCTTATTAGCACATGAAACGCTTTACAAGTCTGCAGGACAAAAGAGAATATCATTCCAGTTAGGAATTCCCCTCTGCTATACCTGCATGCTTAACACTCTCATCTGTCTATCTCACCAGCCAAACACAGAAACTCAAGCGGGCAGAACAAGATTGCCACAAATATAGCTCTCTGTTTGGTTTTTGAAGCAAAGCTTCCTCAGGAGAATGAGTATATGCTGTCATCAAAAGGAATTTGTTCCCAGTACAATTTTTTTCTTCACAAAGGACCTACCGGGCTAGAATTGGTGGCGTTTGAGAATATGTCGTCAGCCTTGATTTGCTCATACATTTCTGCAATGGCTTGCTTTCTGAAACTGGTGAAATGGTATCTCTCATACAAATTGAAAGTAGCTGCAGAAGGAATAAGAGAGTCACTATGAACATCGCAATCATGTTAACGCAGTTCTATCTTCCTCATGTGTTTGGGGCTGCAATCCTCCATGCAATTACCCGGAAGAGGGTGCCATTGAATTCAATGGCACTTGCTTCTGAAATATATTTTGGCTCAAAACAGAGGCAGGATTTCAGCCCCTAATTTCAAATATGATTTTTTTTTGGGGGGGGGGAATCTGCAAAAGAACATGGGTGTGAGTGAAGGGGTTTATCACGGGTGGGCACCAGTTGTTTGGGGTCATTTGGTTTTTTTCTTCTTTTCATTTACCCCCAACTTCCATGAACCTTTTGCAGATCCCCTCCCAAAATCTTTCCCAACAAACCTCCACCCTGGACCCACCCCCACCCCCAAAATTGAAGAGCCAAAATCACAATCCCTGCCAGATTTTCTCCTTTGGCTTGGGCAAGGTTACATCTAGAGAAATGGAATGAAACAGTTTGATCATTTTAAGGTTCACTGGGAAGCAAATGGGGGGGGGTCATTAAGCACCATAAAACTGCTGCTGGGACCCTCCCACTAGCTCTCATTGGGATCAGTAGGGCCCCCAAACTATGAGAATGTAAAGAAGCAAAACATGCCCTTCTTCATTTGTGGGCCTTCCACCTTACCTGCAAAAGAGGACACAAATTTGCATGTTACACAACACACACACATTTTATGCAGATCTGCGTTCTCTTTGGCAAGTGAGTCAGAGAGCCCAATCAAGGTACAATGCATTGGACCCAGATAATCCTGTTGGCACCCCTGCATCAAGTAGTTACATATCTTGTTCTTCCTTAACTGATCAACAATGGATCCCAATTCACACTGTAAAAGCAATGGGCGGGGTAGAAATCACAATTCAGATCGTGTGAGAGATCCCACACGCTGTCTTCACAGTGTGATTCAATATCCCTTGTCCTTGTAATTGGCTAAGTATTTGCTTGCTACATATGATAATATGAAACTTGGAAAATGTTGTGTGTTTCCATGGATATCCTCTGATGAAAAGTGTTTGCCTATACCAACAGAAATCTCTTTCTCTGTGTCAACTAAACCCTAGGAAACCTACGTTGGAGGCCTGAACTCCTGGAAAAAGACTTGCCAGTTCCAAAATCACTCACCAAAAGCAGCATCCAGCATCCAGCTGTGTGCAGCATGCAAATCGGCTTCGTAAATATTGTTCCTCTGGGCTGGCCAATCAATGGTGGAGAAGTCCTCCACATAAATCTCCTAGAAGGAAACCATGAAGTGAAATGACTTTCATAGTAAAGAAGAAGCAGGATATTAGTGTACTTGACAACTGTCATTTCAGAGCTTTAAAAAACCCCCAGCAAATTCATTTTAGCATTTTCCCCTCCCTGTGTTATGGCATCAGCTTTCATGAGCAATAGTCTACGTCATCACCATTTTGATACTTAAATGGAAAAAAGTATGTTATAATAAATAATAAATAAATAAAACATTAGAGGAGAAAGAGGAGGGTACTCCACAGGAGATTAATGGTTCAACAGTTCTTCATTGATTTGTTTTTCTGGTAGTACAGAAGAGGGGAGAAGAATGCTCCTTTTACCACACCAAAAGAAAGGGGAGGAAAAAGAAAGAAAGAAAGAAAGAAAGAAAGAAAGAAAGAAAGAAAGAAAGAAAAAGAAGCATAAAAAAGGGAGATTGTGGTATTGCTGTGATGTAGGAGGCAATATTGATGTTGTTCACCAGTTTTTACGAGAAGAGGCAAAGAGTTAATGAATACTCTGTGGCACAGGAAGCACAGAGCCATTTAAATAAATTAAAATAAGAGCATGAATGGAGAGAGACTTATGTGACTTGGCAGGGTGATGCCATGTGCACCATCTCCACTCCAAATTCTACCCTCCCAAAGTTGCCCTCCCCTATGGAATAGGGATGGCCAAGTGGCATGTTTACATGCCCCCACCTCTCTCCAAAATAAATATTCCCATGGCATTTTGAAACACCGATGCTCTGAGCTTGACTTCTGCCTTAAATGGAAAATAAGACATCCAGTTCAGCCTTCTCCCTGTCAGATACAAGCAAGCAATTCCCCAAGTGCAGATCCAAGGAAGTATGAGGGTCCCACTTTGACCGAGGATGGTGGGATGTTTGGAGAATGTTGTCTTGCCTGTCTTAGACTCTGGATCAATTCATCTTCTTCTACAGTCAGGCGAGTGGCATAGCAGTAGCTCATCGCGAGGGTGATATGGCGAGCGTGACACCAGTATGTCGAGGGATGTCCCGGCAGCCATGTAGGAAACAGCCTATTTCATAAAGAAGGAAGAAACAGGGTCATGGAAGACAATGTCAGGAATCCTGGATGTAGTGGTAACACTAAAAGCAGGTTATATTGCCCTTCATCTGAGGATCAGGGCAATTTAAAGTATAAAAACACAAAACCTGGTAACATAATAACAAACAAAGCAATAATCTCCCACTATATTGCTGGTGCCTTATTTTGTTTTCCAGAGTTGTCATTCTTATCTTTATTTTTTTATGGCTAGGGGCCTCAAAAACTGGAACTAGCCCAGGCCTCTTTGGACCTCTGAGAGTGGTGAAGGTTAATATGGATTAATTTCAATTTCCAAGTCACTGTTATTTAATAAAGAATTTGTCTACTGTGCAACACTGTAGACATTGGGGGGGGGTTCATGATTGGTGGCGTGGGGTGGGGATCAGTAAACTTTCAGACACATACCACAACTCGGGAAATGGTGAATTCATTCCCTCCCAGCTGTACAAATTCATAATGGCCAGCCAAACTTTGCCCAAGTTAGGGATTCCAAGAGCGCCACCTAGAAAGAGAATTATCAACATCTTTGCTTCTGTAGACTGAAGGGGACAAAGCCAAATAAATTTACAATGCGAACCTAGATATGATTATTGCCTTGCTGTGAAGATACCGTACTTTGCAAAACTATAAAAAGGGAAATGGGTGCTTAGAAAGACTCTCTATTGTACAGGAACACGACAAAAACATTTAATCCTAGCTTTCTTTTTTCTAGGATTGTTCTTATTATTTAGAGAGAGCCATATGGCATGTGGTTTTTCAGATTTCTTCTTACCCATATCAGGAGGAGACATGAGTATAAGAACTGCTGTGGTGTCCAGATTTAATACCACCCAACACTACCTCTATGCAGGTTTTATGTCCTCATCACACGAGGGGGGGAAAGAGAACTGGGCTTACTGGCCCAGTCCCCCCACCCCTGCCCCATCACACCCTCATTGCCTGGCCCGGCCACACTCCACACATTGAAGGGGAAGTCTAGTAGCAGTTGCACAACTTTAAGCTATGCTCACTGCAGTGTTTCTGAACTGGCTGAACCCAAAGAGTTCCCTCCTCATTTTTCCTATAACTGCACAAGCTACCCAGAGACAGGGCGAATGCCCTGATCATCCTGAAAACATATGCTATGTATTTCTCAGACTGTATCCATGCAGAAGGAACCGCCTCACCTCCTTGTTCCATTAAACCTTATGTGAATGTGTGACAGAAAGCTCAGCTAGACCAGAGTTTAGTGATGAAGTGCCTTGGAATTCCACCAGAGCTGAGCTGTAGCCTCCTTCTGAGTGGCTGTGGATACAACTAGCTGGGCAGGGGTATGTGTGTGTATGGAGTCTGCACTTTGGGAGGAAAAAGAGAAAGCCATAGAGACAGTTGGGGAGAGAAGAGTTGAAAGTTGGCGTTCTTGGAGTTCAGCTAGATAGGTGTATAGCTCCACTCTGAGGAAAATATCTGTAGCCAGAGATGGAAGTCTGCTGAGTTTAGTTTGAAAGACATTAATTAGTGTCTTTTTAGGAGTGTACAGACAAGAGAAAAACTGGGAAGCTGAATTGGGGACAGGATAAGTAGAGTTATGAGGGGACACTCTACTTGGGGTCCCAGTTCAGAAAGAAGGTGACAGAACTTCTAGAGAAAAAGCAGATTCCCAAACCAGTTGGAGGGTGATCACCTGTAATCCTATTAGAGCCTCAGGAGTGTGATTTACAGAAAGTTGGGAAACTGACAGCAAGCACCACCTTATTTAAGACCCCAGGTATTAAGGCCAAAGCTGTAACATCTACTCATTTAAGTTTTAGGAACTGAAATGAAATAACTGAAAAGAAGCTGTGCATTTATCACCTTGTTTCTGTAAAATAAAAACCTTTCCCTGTTTAACTTTCCTAAGTCTCCAAGAACCAGAGAGTTTTCTTTATAAAACCAAAAAGATTAAGCAGTAGTTAAGAGGGGGGTTCACCGCAAAATGCTGCTGCAAAAGGGAGGTTATAATTCACCTCATTCTTTGTATTTCTAAGAATACAGTAAAATAAAATTTTATCGCTGTATATTGTGCATTACAGAGTGGCATAAAAGGGCAGTTCCATGTCCCCCATCCCAAGAGTTCCCAATATAAATTTTAGAGAAGGGAAAATGGGAGGGAAGATATGACCAGCATCTTCTATTTGGGACATACACACAACTTCTATGATCAGTCTATGGTGATTTCTAACAGGACCCACAAAAGAAGGGAGGAAGGGGGGGGAAGGCAGAATAGGAAGATGCTCCCAAATAACTACATCAGGGCCCCCAGCTTTACCTGGGCACTACACTCCAGTAAAATGGATTGATCCAGCCCTGGCGGAGATTTCTGCCTTACCTTTCTTGTGGAGATTTATCCGAGCCCGCACTACATCTGGATGGTCAGGCCCAAGTCCAAGGATTCGCATAGCTATGTAGCTAAAGGTTGTGCCAAATACTGTTGACTGTTCTTTAAGGTGGCTACAATAAAGAGAGATCAAAGAGCCATTAGAAAGTGGACCAGTGAGTCCAGAGGTCTGGAAATCTCTTTGAATTGTTTAGTTTCCATTCTTCTGGTGTATTACCTTAAATTCAAAAGCTTTTCTGAGAATTTACCTCACCCATACCCAGCTATCCATTAGCTGGGACACCACAGAATACCTTCTTTTGTTTTCTATTACCTTTTTAAAAAAGTAATGCCTTAATGAAGGGCATTTGGTGCTTTGAAATCTTTCCTTCCATGAGGCAGCATGGGCTTGAAAGCAGCTCATACAACCTGAGTACCAGTTGAAATTCCATTCCAGCTAAATAAAGTTGATACCATGCTACTAAGAATTCAGATTCAAAGCTCAGTCAAACTCCAATCCATTTTGTGGTTTGACAGGATACATTTGGATGGAGGCAACCTGGCCTCACCACACCATTTATCAATAGTAATACTTCCTAGAGATGGTGCTTTTCAAAGGCAATAGCTATGTCAGATATCATATCTTCATTATTGTTGCCTCTCTCCACTCCTCATGCCAGAATTCTATCTTTCTCCGCCACAGCTGGGCAACTTCAGTACATGCTGAGCCCAGCTTGCATTCTGGTCATCTACCCTGGTGCCCAGTTCACATGGTGAGTATTGCAAATAAAAGGCTCACAATCAAAAGACAGCAGAATGCAGAAGTGATTTAAAGAAGCCTTCATGGGGGAATTGCATCATGGGCCAGCCCAAGACAAAGATATGCAGCATTAGAACATCTCTCCCTAGGCCACTCTAGAGAAGCTCACACCCTCCTTGGACTACTTACAGGCCCCAGCCACCATCTGGAAGCTGTTTTGAGAGGATGTAGCGCAGGAGCTCTCTCTCAACCTCTTCTGGTAGTGAGATCTTGGCAGCATAACATGACATCAAAATAGCTGTTTGGTTAAAAAAGAAGAAGAAGAAGATGTGTAGTACTTGACAATCTTAACTTTGGTATGATCTGCCAATAAACCGCCTGTTTGGATATCGAAACGTAACTTATGCTTTTGTACCCCATTGTTTGTTTTTACCATCTTGAAACAGAAGAAAAAGGTCAAACATAACAAGATTTATGTTTTTACTCTAGTATATGCCATTGTACACACTACTTGGCTGGGGATATGCACTACAAAAATCAGTGAAGAGCGAACTTCAAAGAATGCCTGTGTTTCAGTTCTCAAACTGTTTCTGAAAGTGCTAATAAGACCTTTAACTGCAAACTGAATCAAATTTCTCTCTCATCTTGATCTGCACACAAATCAAATTTTATTATTTATTTATATACCACTTCAGTGACGTAATCCCACTAAGTGGTTTACAGGAAATATTAAACTTTTCAGTAAAGACAGTTAAAAATAATAATTAAGATTAACTGTAAGGGGAAGAAAAAATTTAAATCATCTGGTCTACCACATCTCCATACAGCTGTATGATGCCACCGATGGACAGTATCCTGCACAATGGATTCAATGGATTATCCCCCTGTTCAGGATATACTGAATAAGTACAGTGGTACCTCGCAAGACAAATGCCTCGCAAGAAGAAAAACTCACAAGACGAAAGAGTTTTTCGTTTTTTGAGTTGCTTCACAAGACGAATTTCCCTATGGGCTTGCTTCGCAAGACGAAAAACGAAAAAAACAAAAACGTCTTGCAAGTTTGTTTCCTTTTTCTTAAAACCGTTAATACCCAGGGTGACTTCGAGGAGCAACTCATAGCACGCGGTGTGGTAGCCTTTTTTGAGGTTTTTGAAGACTTTGGTGATTTTGAAGACTTTGGGAAACCGTGCTTCGCAAGACGAAAAAACTCGCAAGACGAAAAAACTCGCAGAACGAATTAATTTCGTCTTGTGAGGCACCACTGTATTCTGCTTTGTGAGAGAGGCTAGACTTCGTTTTCCTAAATAGAGGGATTTAAATATATATATAAATTTAACTATAGGAAATTCTGAGAATGAAGAATTTCCCAGGCAGGTGACCCAAGGCAATCTGGCTTGAAGAACATACACATCTTCCAGGGATCAGACTTCCAGGGAAGGTAATGGAAGACTAAGTGTCGACCCCTGACACTCCTGTCAGCAGAAATAATTATGCAGTGATGGAAGATAACAGGGATATATATCTTAGTTACAAAAACTCCCTTCTGAATTAAGAGGGTTCAAGGTTTAGCCTCTCATGCATGGAAAAAGACATTCATGACACTGAGATCAAAGAAGTTTTCAGAGAGTGGAGAAGTGTCTCGAGCGAGGAACATTCACACACTGCATAATAGCTCTTAAAAGAAGGCCTCAGTTTAAGAGGTTTCTCCAAATATCAACCTATTTCTGTCTGCCTGGTAAAAGAAGATCAACAAATTTATAGAAAATATACAGGGAGGTCCTCCTTAGCCAGTTAATGCATATGTGGTAAACCCGCTAGTGTCCATGTACCTGGTGCAAGAGAGAGAACACCAGAGCACTCCATGGCCCAATGGCCATCTTCTGCTTGCAGGCCAGAGAAGAATTTAATCGCTTTCTGGACTGCTTCCTGGGCAGTGCTAGCTTTGGGCAAATCTGGAAAGAACTTGCTCTGTAAAACAAAATAGGAAAAGTAAGAGAAATGCACAAAAACTAAACAGACTATCTACAAGACAAAGTATGCATTGTGTTAAATGTCCTGCTACATTTCATGCAACTATTTGGTCACTTAGAAATAAATATAGCAGGGAAGGGTAGTCAGGAATGGGACCATGGCAGATGGGGAGGTGTCATTTAACACTTCCCCTCCTAGCAGCAGTCTCAATGAAACGCCCATCGCCAGCTGTTATTTGTATTTGCCTGTAGACATGGGCAGGCTGGGAAAGGGATAACTCTCTCTTCCTCACCCACCCCAATCCCTATCCTGATTGGGCCCTCATGAACTTGTTTCAGTTTAAAACAACAGTCATGTTAAATACAAAAAGTCATTCAATGTACTGGATGGTTTAGCCCTGAGAGACGGTTCCAAAACTATGTTTTACAAGCACATCTCAAGTGAAATCTACACCTGCCAACATCTCACAATATGGGATATCACAACTGTTTAGAAATCCAGCCATCAGTCAGAGGCCTTTATCCAAACAAACTGCATATTGGATTGATGTGCCTCAGTATTTTCATGCACATCAAAATGCCTCATGCAGATGCATCATCCGTGCATCATGGAAATGAGTATCAGGCACAGTATACTGGAGACTGATCATTGAGAGCAAGAGAGTGGCTGTTCTCTAGGAGAATACCACAGAGCTCTCACATCAGAGAACTATAGAATATGACGGACCAGAAGATCATGTAGTCCAACTCCCTTTCCAAGGCTAAGAACCAAACACTGAGGCCGCAAACTGCTTGCAGATGAATTCAGTCATCATTATAGGCAACAAGCATGAAGAAACTGCCTTGTAGAAAGTGATAACCAAGTTATGTATTTCAGTATTTCCTGCAGATTGTCATATTCATCTTGCAGGCTTGTCTTTTTTCAAGTAGGGTTTCATATTCAACCCTGACATTATCAAGTTGCAGTTGTACAGCACCAAGTGGCAGGCGGTTTGAGGAGATGACCCTCATGATCCCTTCCACAGTTCCATGAAAGCAATCACCAAGCTTCCTGTGTTCCTAACTGACGTGTCAGAAGATGAGAAGCCAAAAGAAAAATGACCCAGCCCTTGAGAAACTGCCGCTAGGCAGGGCCAAGCCAGCAGTCCTCATGCCCTGGGCTCCTTTTGTAGCCTTTCAGTGTTGTACCATCTGTTATCATTAAGCCACTTACAGTGTCCAGCCCTAAAGTGTAAGCCTCGAGTGCATTCTGTTCACGGGCACATTCTTCACTGCTTGCCACGTAGTACCATTTCTGCCGCCCTTCCACAGAGCTGAATCGCCAGCGAGTAAGATCAGTTTTGGGTTCTATTTCATGTGCACCTTTTCTTCTGCGCAGACATCTACCAAAGAACACAGAGGAGGTGGGGAGTTTGAAACATGCAGGCAGACTATCGGTTTGTTATCCTATCACAGGAAGTTATTCTGAACCCCATTCTGTGGTCCTTCCAGCCAGAAGTGAGGAACTGACATGTCTATTGATTTCAGTGGGTCTATTCATGACTAATTTGCCCACTGATTTCAGCGAGTCTACTCTGAGTATGGCATAGTCATGTAACACCCATAGATCCTTTGCTTTTTCTAACTAGCTCATTATGGAAACACTCCCTATTCTCTACAACCATATTTTTGTCCCAGTTGTTAAAGCCATTTGTTCAGAACATAAAGAGGTTAACAGGGATGCTTTATGAATTTCTTTTATATCCGATTCCCTTAGTGTAGTATTTTTAGGAATGCAATCCTATACAAAAGTCCCAGATTGATCAACAGGACTTATTTTCAGATAATTTGGCATAGAATCACAGCTTTAATTTCCAATCTCCCCACTTCTGCTCATTTACCCAAGTCTTCTCCTCAACATAACATCTCCCCCCTTCTTCTCTTAGCTACTTCACAATATCTTTTCAAACTTGAAAATGATGAATTTTAACGTGTCTGTCTTTCACATTACCTCTTTGGAGGTTTCCTTGCTGCAATCTCTTGTACACCTTTCCTGGAGAAAAGCCCCAGTGAAACAGTGGTCCTTACTTCTGAGTAAGCATGCACAGGACTGTCCTAGTAGACTACTTCATGTTAGAAAATTTAGGTGCAATTTTCTAATAAGTCTTTCATTGGCCTCCACTAATTAATCTGTTTTTGAAATCAATAATTGACAAATAATAAGGACTACTAATTCAATTCCAAAAAGATTTACTATTTATGTACTGTAGACTCTGCTTTACTTAAATTAATTTTTAACCCATCTTCTGCTTATCCCCTTCTGTTATCAAATAGTGTTTGCTAAGCTTCACGTAACATCATAGTTATTTTCATCTCATTCCTCTTTTATTGCAAATTTATTATAACTAAACCGTCAGTACGTTGGGGGGTTGAGAATCAGAGGCCACACCTCTCTTGTTTCTCTTTCCAATGAAAGACCATTACCTAAGGCTTACAAGTTAGTTTTTGCAGGTTGTTTTGCCAGAAATCCAACAAAAGCTTTTTACACCAATTTTCATTTCTGTTCCTAATCACAATCAAAAAGTTCCATTCTATTTTTCACACTTTTTTGTATCAAGAAATTGCGGACTAAAGTACAGGTGCATGCTAGAAGAAATGAGATCATAAACTGTGGAACAGAACCAGCAAAAAGGTCGTTAAGGTTTGAACTTGAGAGAAAATTTCATTTGGTGCAAAAGACGGGGGGGGGGAGCCTACGGCTTCTTGATATAAAGTTTTCTTCTCTATGTTTATGATTCGACAACCCTCCCTTGAATGTTAGTTCAAATTATATATGTACAAGTTAGGAGGGGTGAAACTGGATTATAAATATGGAATATAAACTGTGTTTGTAAAAAAAGGAAAAGGGGAGGGAAGCTCAATTTTGCAAAAGATTTACAATGGAAACTTAGAACTGATTCTTCCCCATCCTTTATTATCTACGGAGTGAACTGAATAACGCTAAAAGGACTTGGAATTTAATTTAATTGGAAGTATAATTGCTCATTTATCTTCAGTTGGATGGAAGGATGAAAGGAGTCTGTGAACTTGCCAAGTAACTGATAAGGTTCATTAATGAGTCATCTGCAGTTCGACAGACCACTCTTCTTCCCAGGCTGAGAGGAAAAATGGTGAAAACAGGTTATTTATTGGGACAGAGTGATTTTTACAGCTGTTGTTAAAGCTGCAAAACGACGAAGCACGGGACAGAGCAATGGAGACTTTTCTGGGGGAAAATGGGATACAGTGGTACCTCTAGATACGAATGGGATCCGTTCCGGAACCCCCGTTCGCATCTAGAAGCAAACGTAACTAGCAATGGCACATCTGCGCACACACGTGTTGCTTTTCGCTGCTTCTGCGCATGCACGTGACATCATTTTGAGCATCTGCGCATGCGCAAGCGGCGAAACCTGGAAGTAACGCGCTCCGTTACTTCCGGGTTGCCGCAGAATGCAACTCAAACACGCTCAACCTGAAGCGCATTCAACCCGAGGTATGACTGTATCAGCTCCACGCATGGCATGATGGAGAACAGCAACAATGGGGGAAAGATAGACATAACATTTTACAAGGACAGGAAGAAACACCACGAACAGAATAATTGCCACACACAGGAAAAACAAGGATATAGTTTGAGTGCCTCACTTGTAGTTCTATAAATCATTTAATGTGTCAACACAAATAGACGTTGTTAATACTGCAGTTGTTGTATAAGGGATTATTTTAACTGGAATTTAATTGAAATTAGGAAGATTTTGGAACACAGAAATAAAGAAAACCATCAAACCATCAAATCTAGCATGTGGGGGGCCACCTAAATTATATAATTCAGTATTTGAATGATTGGTATTAGTAACTGTATTATAATTTGGTATTGTTGCAAATGAGGCTATTTTGGATTGTAATTGAAAATTAATAAAAATTATCATCAGGAAAAAAGAAAACCCAAATTGCTGCCTTTTTATTCCTTAATACATCAGGTTAATTACCCTTCCCATCTTATTTCTGTGAACTTCTCCTGTAATAAAGCTTGCTTAATCAACATGAATTAAGTCAAGCAACTGGCACACTTTGTTATTTTATTTAACCATCATCCTAATCAAAGCATATAGATTGCACACAATGTACTTACGTCCCATCAGACATCTTCTTGGGTTGATGAAGACTGCCTCAGATTGTTCTGGTTATATTTTAGATGGTGCAAGGCTTCAGGTACACAGGACACAGAATAAGACACTGAACTCTTGGACTCTGGGCTGGAGTTCCTGCCTCAGAAGTTCCACAGTTTCTAAAATATTCATGCTCCCAATAAAATACTTGAAGGTTATATAAAGACTGACCTAACCAATCATAGCAAGAATAATTTTACAGGGTGGGATCAGGAGTGTTAATGTAATCAATGAAAGGCACACCCACAATAACAAAGGTCAATGTATGACAGGGCTATCCTTGATGCATTGCACTGACGTTTTCTGGAGATAAAAATCTACCATGAGTATAGTAACTTCCCAAAAGGATGTGTGTTTAGATTTCTTGAAAGTCAGACTCTTAGCTATGCTATGTGAACTATCTACCCTAATGCCCTATGAATGCTAATCCAACCTGACATGGCGATTTTCCCAAATGAAGACAACATCCACCTATGGGAAGGAAGCAAATTGTATCATATGCATAAATTGTGAAAGTGCCTCTTTTGCAGCGATGATGTTTTCTGCAAGCTGCCATGCAACTGAGAACCGGAAACATGTGTTTCAAAACCTGGTTGAACTTTAAGTGAGCACAAGGGTAAAAGTAAATTCTGGGAAATGTGATCAAGCAGCAAACAAAAAGAACAGATCACATCATCCCTTGCTTCATTGCCTTGTCATATTGCAGTGGTGTAGCGTGGGTTGCCAGGGCCAACGGCAAGACTAGCATTGTGCCCCCTAAGACAAATATTGCGCCCCCTAACTGGAGCCTCCATACTGCACACTGCTGCTCGCAGAAGGAGCTGTGCAGCAGTGGTGGGACATGCATGCACGCTTCTTTGTGCTGGAGATGGGTTGCTGCTGCCGCAAGACTCCTGTCTACATACCTCCTCCGCTGGTGGGTATACCACACAGCTGAGGGATGCAAGGGCCCATTCTCACTACAGCTCCTGCTCAGCATGCTGCTTAGGTAAGGTGGGCGGGGGGGATAGGGAGGGCCTCCAGTCGGGGTGGCAGCTGCAGAGATGCACCCCAAAAATGTTTGCAACCTGGTCAATCTCCCCAGTAGACCCCCTTACACTATGCCACTGACAAATAATAATAATAATAATTAATAATAATAATATAGCACCCTTTATCTGATGAGCAAACGTTAGTTTACAACATAAAAAAACAAAAAAACTTAGTAACAAATAAAAACAAAACCCCACCAGTTTAAAAGCCATAGATTGGTACCCATGACACTCATTCAAAATTCCAAATGTGACCACAGCCCCAAAATGTTGGCACCCATTGATGTAAAATGATACACACTGGAACAAAAACAACAAAAACCCTAATGACCGCACATAACTGTGTTTGAAACAATTGCCCTAGGATAGTCTGAAAATGTCCATTCAGTGAAAGCCAATTTTTCTACCCACCACTCCCTTCTCCTACCCCCATGTTGTTGCCCCGAGGAAACGATTTAGTGCGTAAGGAAGGAAGAAAACAGGAAATATTAAGTCAAACTTTCCCATATTACGAAAACTAACTCTATCCTACAGCTACCAGGCTTCTTCAACTTCCGGGGGGGGGGGGGGCAAATCTCACTGCTCTTATGCCTGATCAGATAACAAAAAAACCACCCACCCAAAATATATGGCCAATCTGGTTTTGTAAACTGTATACTCTACAGTATTGCGCAGTTAACAGTGAAGCAAGCTTTATAGAAGAATCATTAGCATGGAGAAAGTGACAGACTTTCACAGGAAAAGGTTTAGGACCAGAGAGTTGTTGACAACAAAGAGACAGGCATCAAACCAACTGAAAGTACAGTATCACATGGAGAAAGAAAGATATTAATTAACCAAGTAAATTTTAGTGAAAATAGTTTTGGAAAACTGCTACAATGGTTTATATGGAAACACAGCCAGGGGGATTCGAGGAAGTCACCCAACAATGTTAACAAAAGTGGAACTGTTACAATTAGGATAAATGTTTGTTTGTTTGTTTGTTTGTTTGTTTTTTGATGTTCTTTTTTCTATTTGTTTGTTATAAATTTGGAAAACCAATAAAAAATTGGGGGGGGGAATAAAAAATGAAAGTATCACATGGCGCTACTGAAAGAGCGATATTTTTACTTTGGTACAGATAGCATCTAGACTGGGCCTCAAGCCATAGCGATAGTCAGTGCAACAAATGCAAACAGGCTATATGGGAATGCATTTTTCCCACCCTTAAAAAGCTGCCTTCTAGACCAAATGATGCTTCAGAGCTGTCCTTAAGGGCAGCTCTACATACAGCACCCTACAATAGCCAAGCCTAGAAGTTACAAAAGCGCGAGTAAATGTGGCACAGCCAAGTGCAATCAAAAAGGTAAATATCTCTTCTCACCCCCTTTTCCTTGTGTGCAATGTATTTTAGAACAGGTGTGGGGGAACCTTTGGCCCTCCAGATAGTACTCAACTTCCACCATCCCTGGCCATCGGACCAGCTTGCTGTGGCTGGTGAAGGTTGTAATTCAGCAACACAGGGAAGGCCAAAGGTTGCCCATACCTGTTTTTGATCGTAATTTTCCAAGCAGGGACTATTTTAGGCACTCATTCCGAGAACTTCCCCAGAACACAGTATTTCAACACTACAGATACAGTGCTGGGCTCCATTTAGGGTGGAGGATGGGGAATATCCTGTTCTCTCAAATGGCTGCCTAAGGGGAGCAGCCTTCCCCAATGAATCCACCTAAGAAAGGGAGAGCAGGATCTCTCGAAATTTTCCGTGTCGCCTGTCATCCTTCCTCAAGCACACAAATTTAAGCTATATTTTGCTTTGTGTGGGGGGTTTGTGTGACTCGGTGGGCGAAGCCTTTCTTAAATTTCTGCCAAATTTCCGTTTACCAATAAGGGATCTGAAGTGGTGATTTGAAGGAAATTAACGTGAGTGTTCCTCCAGTTATTTCTGGGACTTGTTTGCGCACTGAAAGCGCAGAAACGAAACTTTTCCTGCTTTGGCCTTTTTAGTTAGTAATTTTATTAATTCATATCTATTCCCATTACTCTGGGCCGGCAAACTGAAACTTCTGCAACAAGGAGCCTAAAAAGAGGAACATTTAAAGAGTCGGGATGCTGTTTAGCAAGGCCTCTTCACGTGTCACAAGAGGCTGCCTGAACCTGAATCGCCATGGTTATTGGCGGACTTCATCTGCACGCCCGAGACGGAGGGGGAGAGAAAGAGCGTCGCTCTTTCTTCTTCGTTTCCTTCAACTCTATGGTTCCGCCTCCGTTCCGAAAGGGACGGGGCATAGCTGCTGCGCATGCGCAGCTGCTGCATACTGTGTTGCTCGTCCAGTCCCGCCGCCGCGTGGTTTCTGCCACGGGCGCTGCAAGAGCTGGAAAGTTGCAGCGCAGAGTGGTAACGCCGGCGACCGTTGCAAGGACGAGTCTGGCCCTGCAGGCTTCCCCGGGGATATAAACTGCGTCCTGCACTTCAGCGGCGCCTATGGTCGCTTTTCTTCTCAAGGAGCTGCTCCGTATGAAACTTGACTCGGCTGCGCTTCCAGTTCAGCGAGGTTCGTGCAAGTCCAGTGCTTTTGTGTTTTTTCTCGGAAGGAAGCCCTGCTTGTGCTCGGTGGGACTTCCCCCCGAGGAAGCTCTTGCAACTTTGCGCCCAATCCGCCGGCGTCCCTCTTCGCAGAAATGTCAAAGCAGGCACCATAGAGATAGGTGCCTCGTGATGAAAATGACGGGAATGTTACCATAGCAATGTAATTGGGGGACGCGCAGGGGAATTTCTTATTTCTCTTTTCCTGCTTCCTCAAAAAGTCTCTGGAGGCGTTTGCAGAATAACAGATTTGGACAACTTCTTAATTTGGACCGTGAAGACACTTGGTTGCTTTTCGTGGCTCTTCAAATGTTATCTTTGCAACTGTAGGAAAAGCTAGCTCATTATTGGTATTAAAACATGCAGCTTCTTGCATTGCAGCAGTGATGAGGAAGACTCTGGCCCTGCAGGTGTTGCCGGGTGCAGCCCCATCAGCCCCAGACTGATGGGTCAGGAACGATGGTCAGGGATAATGGAAGGGCCATTACGCCTTTTCTGTACAGATGTGTACCCTTAAGTGGGGCAGGGGAAGCTGTACAGCTGTTGTGTGAGCATTGCAAATGTATATTTTTGTGCCTGTGCATACATTTTGAAGGTGATGAAGCAGGTCTTAAACATCATTTGAGGCAGTTGTGGGAAGCGCATTCTTCTAGAAACTCCTCATTTATTTGCCAGTTAACTGAATCAGCTAGAATCATTCAGCCCCATGTTTAGCCAAACAGGCTGTGTTCAATGCATTCGGCTCTCACAGTAGCTAAAATATGTGGGGAATCTCTTTTGGCTAGATATAAAATGTGCATCTGTTTATGTGAAATGAGTTGCTTTTATTTTCTCTCTCTGCCTGCAGATTTGAAAGAGAAGCTTCATCTGTGAGTCTCGAAATGGATGGGCTTCTCAGAAGAGGGAAAACGATTCTTCCTGCTTTGAAAAATTGGTTTGGTTGGTGCCAAAAGCAGCAACAGTGTTGCAGGTTTTATTGTGATCTTCATGCAAGACAAAAGTGTGTATCCCAGCACTTCCAGTCGATGAATCTGCGGGAGGATAGCATAGCATCACAGCAAACCAGCAAACCAGGTGAACTGACATGTAAAAGTCAGAGATTGATGTTACTAGCAGGACTTATCTACCCAGCCAGTCCCGGCTGCTTCCACTATATGCCCTACACTGTCCGAGCACTGGAGAAGCTCATCAGAGTGATAGACCGAGAAATGCAGGCTATAGGGGGTCAGAAAGTGAACATGCCCGCATTGAGCTCAGCAGAGCTCTGGAGAGCCAGTGGAAGGTGGGAACTCATGGGCAGTGAACTATTACGACTGGCAGACAGGCACAATCAAGAATACTGCCTAGGACCTACTCATGAAGAGGCCATCACAGACCTAATTGCTTCCCAAGGCCATTTGTCTTACAAGCAGCTTCCCCTCTTGCTGTACCAGGTAACAAGAAAGTTTCGAGATGAGCCAAAACCACGCTTTGGGTTGCTGCGTGGCAGAGAATTTTATATGAAGGATATGTACACCTTTGATACCTCCAAGGAAGCTGCCCTCCAGACCTATGCCCTTGTGTGCAACGCTTATGGCAACATATTCAACAACTTAGGCCTTCGGTTTGTGAAAGTCCAAGCAGCTACTGGAAGCATCGGGGGGACGATGTCTCATGAATTCCAGCTGCCCGCTGACGTTGGTGAGGACCGATTGATGATGTGCACAGGCTGCGACTTTGCAGCCAATGAGGAAACGATAAACCCAGATGAGAAGCATTGCCCAGTTTGCAAAGGGAAACTAGCTGAGTACAAAGGGATTGAAGTTGGCCATACCTTCTTCTTGGGCACAAAATACTCCTCTGTTTTTAATGCTACCGTCCGCACTGCAGAAAATAAGCATATTCCGGCTGAAATGGGCTGCTATGGGCTGGGTGTGACTCGGATTCTTGCAGCCTCCATTGAGGTGCTTTCTACTGAGGACGCCATTCGGTGGCCAAGCCTCATTGCACCATATCAAGTCTGCCTTATTCCCCCAAAGAGAGGGAGCAAGGAGGAGAAAGGGGCAATGCTCCTGGAGGATTTATATGACTGTATTGTTGAAGCAGCCCCTTGGCTTAAGGAGGAGATAGTACTGGATGACCGGACACAATTCACCATTGGTAAAAGATTAAAGGATGCAAGTAAACTTGGGTACCCCTATGTTATAATAGGTGGCAAGAAGGTTTTGGATGAGCCTTCTCTATTTGAAGTATGCAATCAAAATACTAATGAGACTTTGTTCCTTACCAAAGAAGCCATTGTTAACTTGCTGAGTAAAGTGCAGACTCGCTAAATACTGGATGTGTAGCTTTTGAATACCGAAATGTCAGTGTTTCCCCTCTGCCATCTTAAGCATATGGCTATGGGAGTCTATGGGAATTATTTTTATTTGTATCTTCCAGCCCAAGGATTACTGTGAAGGCAGATATGGTGCTGCCTATATGCCAAAGCCTCATGTGCAAACTTGGTTGCCCTTTGATTTCAACAGCAGACAGTTCCATCTGTACATTTGGGATCTTCTGCAAAGGTGAGGATCCTGTAGCCCTCCAGATGATGTTGGCTGCACCTTCCATAATCTCCAGCCAACATGACCCAATGGCCAGGAGTGATGGGAATTGTAGGCTAACAATATCTGGAGGGCCACAGTTTTCCCACTGCTTATTTTGCATAACCATAGGCCGGCCTTTCGTTATGCAAAATAATAATAGTGTCCTGCTTGACAATTATTTGGGGGACAGCAGCCTGAAGCTAGATGTGATTAAGCCTTAAGGTAAAAAGAAAGTTTGCAGTAATGTGTTTGCCAGTGCAGCTGTGGTCATGGAAGCAAAAGGTGAATCCCCACCTCTAGTTTTTCTTAGGTGCGCTGTGCCTCTGTGTGAGGGATTCTCATGGTCTGAGCACTTAACTGGATTTGTCCCATCTAATCATCAGCTACATGAATTCAAAGACTGAGTTGCTGCTTACATACTAGTGGGTCTTGATTATACTAGCCAAATACTTCCTGGAAGGATTCGAGATGGACTTTGCTAAAAAAATATATATACCAAGTTGATCTTTGTAAACTTTTTTTTTTTAAAGAAAAGAAAAATCATGCCTTCTTGAGTAGAGTATTCCCCCCCCCCCCCCCAATCTGCATGTTAATTAAAAGTAAATTTTCCTCTTCTGATTGTAAGGTTCAGTTTCTAAGTATGGAAAACAAATTCCAAACAACAAAATTGATGGAACCTGGTTAATGCTGAGCTTCTGAGTTAGCCAATTAAATTGGCTATTATTCTGAAATCCTGACACCTGATTGCCAAATAGGCTGCTGCTGTTCTTCCTCTCTTTAAGATCATGTACTGTAATCTGAATTTTCAGTATTCATAAACATTTCACTTAATTAAAAGATATACAGCTAAGTTTGAATATTGTTTTGCTTTAAATATGACGTACCCACACTCCTGTAACTTTTTCCCATTGATAAAGCAGTTGTGAGCATTGAGCATGGCTAAGAGAGTAAGGCTGCAATCTTAGCCCCACCTAACTGGAAATAAGCTCCATTGAATTAAATAGGATTTGCTACTGAGTAGCTATGTTTAGGATTGCACTGTAAGCTAGGAATGGAAAGCCTGTGACCCTCTAGAACAGCCTTTCTCAACCTGTGGATCCCCAGATGTTGTTGAACTACAACTCCCATCACCCCTAGCTAGCAAGAACAGAGCTCAGGGATGATGGGAGTTGTAGTCCAACAACATTTGGGGACCCACAGGTTGAGAACCGCTGCTCTAGAAGGTGTTGGCTTACACCTCCCATCTTCCCTCACCCTTTGCCATGTTCAGGGCCAATCGGAGAAAGGTAATTTAGTTCAGAACTGCAAATTTAAGCAAATAAGAGATGAGATTTGATAAAAGACATTACCGGTACTTTTTTGTTAAGTGATGCAGATTTTGCCACATGCTAAATGTGAATAAATGCATTTGCACAGAAAGAGACTGGGAAAGTATTCTTTTTAAAAAATCTAATTATGTCTTATTTCCTCCTCCCCCACCCACATGCCTCATTTTGTTTTTGCATGTTGTCATATTTCCATGACTGCATTTATTATTATGGGGCCTCAAAAGCAGGAAGGGGTCTATGAGCCTCCCCAGGCCTCTGAGAAGGCCTGGTCACATTGCCTTGGGCTGATGGAAGTTCAACAATTGGAGAATTACACATTCCCCATCCCTGTACTTGTTCATGTAATGTAAAAACATAGTTTGTTACATACAAACAAGAACTACATAGGTGGAGTGCTTTGAGTACTCTGAAGTAGGGATGTTACCATTATTGGTCATTGTTCTCTCCCCCCCCCCCTACCATCTCTCACACATTTTCTTGGGAATAAAAACATCCTTACAATAAATCCTATTCTGTGGAATTTAGCTTCAGTCTGCTTAGAGCATCGTTGTTGTCAAATTGTACAAATGTCAAACCAGCAGCAAACTGATCAATTAGGACAGTAGTTTTCAACTTTTTGAAATCCAGGGCTTTAACCCCAAAGTGCATTGGGGAACCCATTTCTCTCCCTTTTTGCCAGATATTTGTGTGGTGATAGTGCTGCTTCTGTGACCCACTTTGGACCAGGATGTGACCCAGGCTCTGGCTCCCCCTGGGTGTCCCGGGCATTAGAATTACTGCAAAGGAAGCCCTGTGCCCCTCACTTTGGGTGAAAGCCCCACTGAATTCAGTGGAATTTATCCCCAAATAAATATAGCTTGGATTGGCCTGCTTGAAGTTCAGCATGTAAGCAAAAGCAGCCATTGCATGAAGCCAGCATCTCCTGGGATAATGACTGGTTTCGTCTAGGTTTCGTCTAGGGTTGTACTTACTCCTGCTGGTGTGCTGCGAGATGAGAATTAAGTGTCAGGTTGCTTCCTCCCACTGTGTTCCTGTGACGGAGAATTGGGGGATCCCCGCAACGGGGTGAGCCCCCATTGCTCGGTCCCTGCTCCTGCCAACCTAGCAGTTCAAAAGCATGTCAAAGTGCAAGTAGATAAATAGGTACCGCTCCAGCGGGAAGGTAAACGGCATTTCCGTGCGCTGCTCTGGTTCGCCAGAAGTGGCTTAGTCATGCTGGCCACATGACCCGGAAGCTGTACGCCGGCTCCATCGGCCAATAAAATGAGATGAGCGCCGCAACCCCAGAGTCGGCCACAACTGGACCTAATGGTCAGGGATACCTTTACCTTTACCTTTTACCCTCCCTCTTGGGGGGTCTCTCTGTTTCATATACTTGGGCTCTCTCTCATCCATCCTCCCTGGACAAGTAAAGGTGGAGGGCTCCTTCGGAATCATCCTTCTTGACAGAAGAAATAATTGAGAGGTGGAAGTAAGGATGATTCCCTACCCCGAACAATAGTGTACTGCTAAGGGATACAAGGCAGGGCCAAGGAAAGTACAGTGCTCAAGACAGCAAATATTACAGTATTCCACAACCATGTTCAGCTCCCTTACCCAGGATCTTGGATGCAATGCAACCAGCAGTGTTGGCTTGAATGATGACACAAACCTCTCCATTGTGACATTGACTAGTAAGCCCTTTCTTCCCTCAGAGGAAAAGGAATGTGAACCCAGCAAACAGCTGGGAGCATTCACCAACAAGTAAGCAAGTGTATTTATTTCTTTTTCTGATCTGCTCAACTGAGTCTCTATGGCTGAGTCCATCAGTTCCTCAGTATCTGGTCTAATACTTTTATCCACAAATGTGTCAGAATCATTTAGTACATGACTAGGTCGCCTTGGTAATTCTACTTATTTACAGTCCCATGTTTCTGAGATACTAAATATAAATGTAACAAATCTGTTTGGCATGTTTAATTATGGATTATTTCTATGCAAATCCCAAGAAACCAAGAGATGGAAGTAGGGATGATTCCCTACCCAAAACAATAGCATACTGCTAAGGGATACAAGACAGGGCCAAGGAAAGGGCAGTGCTGAAGACAGCGAGTATTATTCTACAACCATGGTCAGCTACCTTACCCATTGTGTTCAGGATCTTAGATACTATACAACCAGCACTGTTGGCTTGAACGATGACACAAACATCTCCATTGTGACATTGACTAGTAAGACATTTCTTCCCTCAGAGGAAAAGGAATGTGAAACTAGCAAATGGCTGTGAGTGTTCACCAACAAGTAAGCAAGTGTGTGAGCTTTCTGTAGGGATCAGCTGAGCCTCTTATAAAAGAAGTATACTGCCCAGATCAAGAGAAATAATAGTACCACTCTATTCTGCCTTGGTCAGATCCCACCTGGAGTCCTGTGTCCAGTTCTGGGCACCACAGTTCAAGAAGAATATTGACAACCTAGATGGTCTGCAGAGAAGGGTGACCAGTATGATAGTGTCTGGAAACCAAGTCTTGTGAGGAACAGTTGAGGGAATTGGATATGTTTAGCCTGGAGGAGAGGAGAACTGATATGATAGCCACCTTCAAATGTCTTAAGGGCTGTCACATGGAAGATGGAGTGAAATTGTTTTCTGCTGTTCCAGAGCATGGGACCTGAACAAGTGGATTCAAATGATTCTGATGAAGCATTTGGAAGAAATTTCCAATAGTAAGAGCTATTCAGCAGTGGAACAGGCTCCCTCGGGAGGTGGTGGACTGTCCTTCCATAGAGGTATTTCAAGAGAGGTTGGATGGTCATCTGTCAGAGATTCTTTAGCTGTGCTTCCAACCACAAGGCATATTGGTTTTCACATTCCCAGTGCTGACTACTGCTTTCCAAACATTTCGTATCAAAATCTGAATTGGTTGTCAACTTTTCTTTTTACAAAGACACTAGACTGTCTTTTATACTTCCTTCTCTTAAAGGAACTAGAAGAGCTGCCTATGGAACCAAAATGTATAGGTCTGGGTTCTGCAAGGATCTTGGACTGCGTAGGCTTGAGCTATTTACTATCTAAATTCCATGGTTAGGGTGTAAAACAAGCATAAAGTCAGCATAAAGTTTAAAAGGTGAAGGGTTTTTGACCACCAATGCTGTTCCCCCCCCCCAGCTAATATCTTGTGATCTCTAATTAATCAAGTTGTAATAACATCACCATCTCTATAAAACCTGATAACTTCTGTATGTACACAGAACTCTCTACCGATCAGCTCAGAAGAGAGTCTGGCAGTTAGGGTCCTCTCCAATACAGTTGCTTTGTTTTTAATAGGGTATTGGACAGACTTCAACCCTAATCACAATGTGAAGGCTTGATTCCACCACAACTCTATATGCCCTAGTTTACACGTAAGTCAACCCATGGTTTGATGTGAATGCATGAGTGTGGAAGCTGCCAGATTGAGGCCACTTTGTTCATCCACAAGTCCTGCTGTGAGTAAGCCATGCTTTGGCTTAGCATGTTGCCTGAGCTTGAGCTCGTGAGTTGTTTCCTCCAGAAAAACCTTGAGCTATAAACTGGAGACAAACCTTATTTGTGGCATGTAGTTTGTCTGGAGCAGGAGAAACTATGAGCCCAGTTTCCAGTGACACTAAACTGAAGCATGGCTTAAGCCATCTCACAGCAATGCAACAGCAGGAGGACCAAAGCCAGCCGAAAATCTGCAAGGCAAAATATTTGAAGTTCACCAGTAAGGCATCACTGACATTCTAAATTCCTGACCCTCATACAGGAACACTGCTCATGTCGTGAACATCGGTCTTCAAGACTGGAATGCCTAAGTCTGGAGAAGTCAAGCTATGAGTCAGGATTTTCAAAATGGATCTTACTATAGATCTTTGTGAATGAGTAAGGGAAGGACAATACCATCAATCTTTTTCTAGCTGGTGAAGAATCAGTTGCTCTTCTGGTAATTAACAAACAAACAAACAAAAACTCCCTGTGATCCCAAAGATGGAAGAAGAAATAAAAAAAACTGAGAATGAAGAGTCAGCTGAAGTCCAAACAATTCAACAGTGCCCCCTGACAACAAAGAGAGAATTATCCAAGAATCCCCTACTGTTGGAAAACTGCCTGCCAGATACAATTTCTGAAGGTGAAGACAAATAACCTCTAGGGTTTGGAGAGTAAATATGTAGAGTGAAGAACTAAGTACAATATATAAGGCATAAATACTAAAACCTGAATCTTTTAGCTCATTCCCCAATGTGCATCTGACAATGCACAAGCTTGAACCTTAGTTGCCTTGTTAATGCTTCTAGGTGGTTATCTTTAGGGAACCGTAACATCCAAAAGACCTTGGGAAGCCACTGCAAGTCAGTGGATGATACCCAGCTAAGTGACACTCAGAGTAGACCCACTGGAATCAAGTCCGTGGAATCTACTCTGATGATTACTCGCATTGGATATCACCCAGTTCGGTTTAGTTTATTTAAGTAATTTCTTACCCACTTTTTATTGCCACGGGCAATTCCAAAGTGAGATAACAAGTTTTAAAATGATGTGGTAAAATAGAAAACAGGTGCAACAATGCATCTGTTACTACTTTAAACCACCAGGCAGAACTTACACAATATTGAAACAGCAGGTTCCTCACTGATGCCCACCAGGCACGTGTGAAAAATTGTAATCAAGTACTGAGTTAGATGAACCAATAGCCAGATTCATTATAAGGTAACTTCCTAAGTACTTGACCAAACAGCTTTAAACCAGACAGGGCCTGTGTGAAGTAAAGAAATATTATCTGTCCTTTCCGGCTCTGATTTTGCCGTTGTACCAAAATTAGACTGGCAATTTGATAGTTAGATTTTTACCAGTCTACTAAAGCAACTGCCGAAGAAGGGGCAGAGACTGGAGAAAGAACTGTGAGTGAGATGTTTTTTATATATTAAGTGGAATGGAAATAATGTTGGTAAGTAGATGATAGGTAGATACCAAAACCCCATAGCTCTTGCTATGGTTAGATGAAGTTAGATGAAGATTGCAGTTGGAGGATTTCTACTTGCATAGAACCCTTCCTCAGCTGGAAGTCTTAATTTGCACCGTGAAACTATGTTTTAACTTCTTGATGACCTACCATTGAGTTTCAAAGAAAGAGTCCCAAATAAATGGCTCGAGATTAGAAATGAACAAAAGAGTCGTGTTTGGAGGAAGGAGATTTTTCCACAAGTCTGAGCAAACCTCGGCTTATTGTCACACATCCCAACAGCAGGGGTGGGAACCCTTTGGCCCTCAAGATGTTGCTGAACTACAACTCCCAGCTCTAGCAAGCAGGGCCAATGACCAAGGATGATGGCAGCAACATCTGGGAGGTCAAAGGTTATCCACCCCTGTGTTAGAGTAACAGTACCAGGAGACATTTTTGTTCCAACTGCAACCTCAGTTCCATTTACTTTTTTTTTTTGTAACAGCTTCAGTAACCTCCAGCAATGCCTATGGAATGATGCTGTATGACGCAAAAGGAAAGGAAAAGGAAACACCGCTAGCCTCTGATGACCGTGATAAAATGGTAGGAACCTGTTCCTAATACTCTAACTCTAACATTGCCCTTCCCTGCACTTTCCTTTCAACACATCTGCAATATTCTGCATATACCTGAACCTTAATATTAGATAGCTTCAGAACATATTTCAGTGCAAGAGCTCAACCTTGGAAGGCATAAAGCTTTATTGAATAATAGATAATTTCAATTTGGGGTAAGGTGCTAACGGAGGAGATCAGACTATACCAGTATAATGAGGGTCCCTCTTCTCATGGGCCCATCCCAGTCACGGACTCACCCTCCATGTTAGCTCATAGATCATTTGCTGACTTCAAAGTCTTGCAAAATAAAAATATTCCTCTTTTTTTTTACTATGGTGACATGACCTCTTAGAACTTAGTCTTCCTTTTCCCATTCAGACGACCTGGCCCTTGTATAATCATAGGGATTACTTTCTTGCACATTGTTCAGGGAAGACTAAGGGAAAGTGAACTGATTGTGAGTGAAGGAAATAGAGAAAGCAGAGATGGTACTGATTTCCGATTATTATGTTCAAAGTCTTAGTAAACAGCTTTCCACGAAAAAGGTATTGCTCCCTTCCTGTATCCCAGTACAGTGGTATCTCTGGTTACGTACTTACGATAATTCGTTCTGGAGGTCCGTTCTTAACCTGAAACTGTTCTTAACCTGAAGCACCACTTTAGCTAATGGGGCCTCCCGCTGCTGCCGCACCGCCACCACACGATTTCTGTTCTCATCCTGAAGCAAAGTTCTTAACCTGAGGTATTATTTCTGGGTTAGCGGAGTCTGTAACGTGAAGCATATGTAACCCAAGGTCCCACTGTACTGGCTGGATGGGGACACGGGTGGCGCTGTGGTCTAAACCACTGAGCCTCTTGGGCTGCTGATCGGAAGCTTGGTGGTTTGAATCCCCATGAGGGAGGGAGCTCCTGTTGCTCAGTCCCAGCTCCTGCCAACCTAGCAGTTCAAAAGCATGCCAGTGCAAGTAGATAAATAGGTACCACTGCAGCGTGAAGGTAAACAGCATTTCCATGCACTCTGGCTTCTGTCATGGTGTTCCGTTGCACCAGAAGTGGTTTAGTCATGCTGACCACACGACCCGGAAAACTGTCTGTGGGCAAATGCCAGCTCTCTCAGCCTGAAAGCGAGATGAGCGCCGCAACTTCATAGTCACCTTTGACTGGACTTAACCGTCCAGGGGTCCTTTATCTTTACCTTTACCTTACTGGCTTGACGTTCAATGCGTGTTTTCTGTGTTAAAGCAGAGAATACCGGGCAATCAGCAGAATGTCTAATGCCATTCAGCATTCTATTGCCCTCCTTTCACATGTTATGATGCAACTGGCTCTGGAAACTGGTTCTGAACAAATACGGTCATATGTGAAAATGCTATTAAAATCTTCCACCCTTTTCTTGCTAGTCTCATATGCATTCACAGGAATTCGATTCAAAAATGAGTGGGAACGGTAATCAAAACTATCGGAATGGGAATCAGAAATTGCAGCTGGTGGAGCAAACAATGGTGAGTCAGATGCAATGCACATCCTTTATTTGTGTATTTAATAGCTTGTACAATTGGTGTAAGTGTTTGACCGGTGCAGGGGGGGGGTAATCACACATTAGTGCAGCTGTAGCAGCAACTTTGGTGAACAGAGCAGACACGTGAAGAGTTTTTCCTCACAGAATTTGCTGCTGCTCTTTCACAGGCACAGATTTTAGATCTGCCTCTGGACAGCATCGACTCGTGCTCCACAGCTTTGCGCTGTCAGGGCATGCTTCTCATTCAGGACCTAAGGTATGTCGGATCTACAACCCAACATCCTCCCTGACCCAAATGTTGAAGCAAAGCTCAGAAGAAAAGTGCTAAGAATAGAGTTGAATAATGCCATCAGGAAGAGACTACCTCAGGCTGGGGTAACCCAGCCAGATGGGTGGGGTATAAAGAATATTATTATTATTAGCATCATCATCATCATCATCTGTATCTGTGGAATTATTTGAAACAAACTACACAGAAAAGCCAAACCTGTCTCAGCTCCGTTGATATGGAAGGGATTGTCTTGCTTTATTGCGCTACTGACGAATCACATGACCTACATTGGTGAGCATGGAGTCCTCTGATCTTGACCCTGGTAGTTCTGAATTCCAGTCAGAGCCATGGGCTCAAGGCAGGCATACTCACACCAAATTCTGGTCAGTGGCTACCCCTTTGTAGCCTGCCCATTCCAGTAGGCACTACACAGCTCAGACATGGTTTATTTTCTTTCCTCGGTACTCTGAACTTTTTCTGTGTTAAGCTCCATTTCCGTAAGGAAGAATCGTAACGTACATTGAATGCTCTGTTTCTTCTCCCCCGACCGCCATTCCTCAGCCAAGTGGAGCCTTCTCATTGGCCTAAAGAGAAGCTGCTCAGCACTTGCATTGCCAGCGTCTTTGCCTTGCCCTCAATTGACACTTTACAAAGTCAGAGCAAAGAAGAAGTTGACGTACAGGTATTTTCTCACTTTGTTGCAGGTGGGGGGGGGGGACTGTGTCCCTCCAGATGTCTCTTGCTGGGTTGTAGCTCCTATCATTCCTTGCCTTTGGCTATTCTAGCTGGGGCTGGTGAGATTTTGCGTCCAGTCTGGGGGGACATAAGATTTCTCACGACCAATTTACTGCTTATGGAGAGGGTACGGTATGTGCCCGAATAAGAACATCTATACGGTTTAAAAAGAAAAGAGAAAGAACTGTACTGATTTGGGGAAGGGGGCGGCAAAAACATGACCCTATGTGGAACAAAGATACATCAGTCTGGTTAAAGGAACCCAAATTTGATGTTGATGATAACAAGCCCTAAGTTCCCTTTTGAAGCCATTTTGTACCTCCTATATGTTCACGATGACCATGTGAGCTAGGTGAAGCTGGGTTGGTGACCGGCCCAGGGCAGGAAGTGAGCAAAAACAATGAGTTTTTGTTTATCAAGGTTCACAAAAAAGAAAAAAAATTGCCTGCAGTTTGCTGAGAGTGTGAAAGAGGGTTTTTGCGTGTAGTTCAAGAAAGCTAATGCCATTATAAACATGTTAATCTTTAAGAGATCACAAAACTTATCTGTGGGACCTTACTTCATGCATTCCTTTTTTTAGGAAGAAGGGGACCCTATTTTGGGAACTGCACCAGGGCCCCCAACCATCTTAACCCATCCTTGGGCAAAAGTAGGACGAAATACACTGAGCATGTTGTTCACTGTTAGGCAACCCCTATGCACTGTAATAGGGCTTATGGGGGAGAGTTACACTCACTTTTGAATCACAGCTTTATTAGTTATGTCAGTTCATGGACACTGTTGGCATCCAGCTGTCTCGAGAGACAATGGAGTGCACCTCCAGGGGTGAAGTCAAACTGCTGGAGAATCACAGCTATGGCTACAGAGACCGGTAACTTGTAACTGCTGCCTCCCGTGTTGCTTTTGCAGTGGTCCAAAGGAAAGCAGAGCAATACATTTGGCACCAGCTTGGCTGCAGGAGTTGCTGGAAACAGGCGTACAAGGTGCCACCCAACCATCTTAGGGACTCCAGTCCAGATTTGTGTAGTTTACTCTTTAGCCTAGGTGTTGCACCTGCAATGTTATAGTAATATATTATGCAACATTTTTTTTCCTTCTCAGGCATTGTACAAGCAGACCTTAGAGGCTATAGAATCAATGCTGAAAAGCTTATTGGCAGAAAGACCAAACATAGATGAACTGGCCACACTCTTAGAAGTAAGCTCCTGTTATCTATTTGTGGCTCAAAGAATCACAAGTGATGAGAATATGCCCTATAGCTAGGTTCATGAAGTAGTCTTTCTTTTCTTTTCTTTCTTGGTGTATATGGTTCTCCTCGTGCCAATACAATCCTCACAACAACCATGCGAGTCATCGTGGAATGAGAGATACTCACTGGCCCAAGATCACCCAATAAGGTTCATGGCTGAGTAGAGATTTGAACCAGTTTGTGCCCTGTTATAGTCAAACAGTGTAATTGCCACACCACGCTCTCTCAGACAGATCTTTGGTTGAAATGGCATTTGCTGCTCATGGAGCATAGAAGTGCCTCATTCACCGAAATCTACTTGTGGGTTTTTTGTTTTTCTTAGGGGGTGTTAAAATTAATTTTCAAAGATGTCCACTCAGAATGGCTCCTTTCAGTTTGGTCAGGGAGAGTTACAACAACGGGAATAAGAGGCCAGACAGCAAGCCATAAGATTGTTGACAGTACTTAGCATGACATTATTCAGAACTTTAAAGACCGGAAGGAAAGCACCCAAAGTGGAATTTCAATTTCCTTGACATTGGGAAGTAACACAGGAAGTGCCCTTTCCCCATGTTCTTTAATCTTTGGAAACCAGGAAAAGTGTCAGGGTGGGAGGGGAAATGAGGGAGGAAGTAACCTAGCTTACTTCCTCTCTGTGAGGCTTTGACAGCTTTGAGAGAGCAACCTGAAGGGTCCATGCCCCACCCAGGTTTTCCCAAACTTGGGTCTCCAGCTGTTTTGGACTACAGTTCCCATCATCCCTGACCACTAGTCTTGCTACCTATGGATGATGGGAGTTGTAGTCCAAAAACAGCTGGCGACACAAGTTTGGGAAACCCTAGCGTAGCCAATAGCGAGCTTAATGAAATGATGGCTGGACTTGGAATAAGGCAGCTTCCTGGGTTCTTTTCTGAAAGACAAAAGCATGACTTTGAAGAATTACAATAGTATGCACTTTCTCTTCTTATACAGTTGCTAACAGTTTGCTCCCACTACCCTTACAGCATTTGATGCCCTGGATGATATCAGGACAAGCACATGAGCGGGCAAGAGCAGCGAACACCTATGTATCCCTGTTAAAATTTGCAGCCACCTGCCCCACGTTTCATGTGAGTTCTGCCCTCTGGCTTGAGGCGACTGGGCAATGGGTCTTGTGAGACCTGCAAATGTTTAAGACAGAAAATGGAGGTAGATAGATGTGAATGGCTCTGTAGTGTGAATATTGCATTCCTCTTGTGCTCTGAAGTGAGTGGATAGAGACTGTGAAAAGGTTAGAGGGGCCTAGGATGGGTTCAAGGGATGCACGCACCAAACAAAAGAGGAACCCTATGTCTCTTCTCTTGACTGTGCTAGCAAGTTTAGGGACTGGTACTCACTGGACTCTGGTGCTTTATTTCTGCATCACTATTCTTCTACTGAAAAAGGGGGTGGGGAATTAGTGACTAGAGTCTGGGATGGCCAGAAGCAAATGAACAAGACATTTTCTAGTATCCAAATGGTCTATTAGAGACAAAACTGGCCTATTATAGCTTGAATCCCTTATATCCTGCAAAAACCATGCTACAGCCATGAGCCATAGCCTTTTCACAGTATTGCTGCTACAAACTGATAATGGGTATGAATCTAAACCCTGTGAAGGTATTCTGCCCCACACAATTAGGATCACTGTGAGAGAGCTAGCCAGCACTTCCGTCACATCCCCATTGCCCAGCCTTGCCACCCCTATGCAACATGGAAGGGCAAAAGTAAGACCATAGACAGCTGTACAACTTGGGACCAGATGATCTAAAATATCATCTCGCCCTCTATATATACAGGGAGAGAGCCTTCTGCACATGCCTTCTCACCAGGAAGTCCATTCCACATGATATAGGAATTGGGCCCGCCCTGAGTTTGGTGGCACCCAGCCCCTGGAACTCCCTTCCACTAGATATCACACAGGGACCTGTGGAAGACCTTTCTTCTTTAACAAGCCTTTTAAGTGGAGGTCTGTACCCCAGTTCTATCTGAATCGGATTTGAAATGGTTTTAAAACTGCTTTTATCTATTGTTTTTAAGTGTTTGTGGTTTTTACTGTGAAGCTGCTTGGATATATTTATGTGAATTGATTCATAAATGGAATCAGATAAATAAAATTATTATTACATTTATATCCCACCTTTTCTGTAAGGAACTTCAGTTGGTGTACATAGTTTCTCCCCCCCCCCTCCATTTTGTCCTGTGAGGTAGGTTAGGCTCAGAAGCAAGATCAAGCCTTGTGGTCAAATGGGGTCTAGAACCCAGGTCTCCCAGTTCTTAGTCCAACACTCTAACCACAACAACACACTGGCACTCTGCAGTGTCTGCAGCACAAAGCCTATTGTCTCTGTGGAGGCTTCCCTCATGACTCAGAACCCCCTGATCATGCAAGGCTTGTTCTCATTAAGAGTGCAGCAGACTTCCTGCTGCAGTTGTTTGCCTTCCTATGTGTGGAGGGGTGGCAGAGCTGGCTGTTGGAGGCATGGTGGAGCCAGTAGAGGCAGCTAGCATGGCCCTGTCTCCCTCTCCTTGTGCGAGGAGAATAGCCTGAACAGGGCACAAGGCTCATCAGGAAAAGACAATATAATTCCAAACATCAGTTCATCCAAACTGGGGAACTTTTTTCATTCAAGAACCACAAAGATTCCTTCTCTTCGCCGCAGTGTCAAAAGACAGCACTCTCAATTTCTCCATTCAGGTGTCACCTGATGGATGTCCTAAGCTTGGGCGTCTGATTGGTCAGCTGTGTCTGCGTCTCAGTGACCCCCAAGAGGAAATTGGTGAACAGGCTATGGAAGGCATGTATTTCCTGTACTCCCTTATGCTGCGCCAAAAGGGTAAGATAGGAGCTGTGATAACTCCAGTATCCAAACTGTGCATCTATATAGAAGTAGTAGACTGTACTTTATTTGGCAGCCATTGACTTGTTGCCCTTGACTCTTCTTATGTCCTGTATTTTATTATATCTGGGTAATAATAATAATAATAATAATAATAATAAATTAATTTTATTTATACCCCGCCCTCCCCGGCCAAAGCCAGGCTCAGGGCGGCTAACACACAATAAAATCACAGTAAAAACATAATGGGGGGGGGCAATTTAAAATACAGGTTAAAATGCAATTAAAATGCAGCCTCATTTTAAAGTAGCCGATTATAATGGTATGGGGTTGCTCGTGCGTAAGTTGCCGCCTCTCCTGGCTATGTTGCCTTGTTAAACCTTTCTGTCTGGACAGCCCTTCAATTCGTGGCTGCCTCAGTCGCTAGCAGAATCCGTCAGTGGGCGTTTCTTAAACCTTTTCCAACATAAAAGTTGTTTGACACCCAGTCTCCTCCTACTTTCTCTGCGCGGAAGTCTTCTGCGCAGGAAGGGCGTGGGTAGCGGAGGACCAGTGCTCTCCCCGCTGGTGTCCGGTGAAGAGTCTGGGAGCCCTCTCTCCGATTCCCCCATCTGCCCCTCCTTATTCCTGGTGTTGCACTGAATTGCTTCCCCATCTGCTGAGCTGCCTCTCTCTCTGCTGGGCCCTTCTCCAGCATCATTAGAGAGCCTTTCCTCCACCTCTAGCTCCGATGTCAGTTCCCTGACACCGATAAATCAAGACCATAAGGAGAAGGAAACATAAAGGTCAGACTGAGTCCAAACCAAAGGCCAGGCGGAACAGCTCTGTCTTGCAGGCCTTGCGGAAAGATGTCAAGTCCCGCAGGGCCCTAGTCTCTTGTGACAGAGTGTTCCACCAAGTTGGGGCCAGTACTGAAAAGGCAGTATTGCATTATATCAGGAATCCCCGATTTTCTCTCTTCTTCTTCTTTTTTGGCCCAAGGGCACATTTGGAAATATATATTTTTTGTCAAGACGCCTTGAGTTCCCTGCAGTGAGAGAAGGTGTTTAATAAATTTAATAAAGAAGAAGAATCAACTGTTGTTGGCACCACATAATACCCATTTCACAGAAGAAGAAACAGGGGTGCTTAGAAACTCCAGGCCTCCACATTAGCAAAAGACAAAACACCTGCACACACATGCAGACAAATAACTACAGGAATACTGTTATTATAAGGTGCCTATTTTCTAAGCACTGCACATATATCAAAAGGCAAGATTGTCTCTGACCACAAGTTTGCAATCTATTAGACATAAGGAATGAGGAGGGAGAAGGAACCTTCACTAGCCAATGGGTGGAGCCAGACTGGTCTTCCCATTGCTGCAATGCTCTTGTTGTGAGGCAGGAGGTGCAGCCTCTCAATGGTATCAGAAGCCAGTGTGTGCTTTCCTTCAGCTTTGCAGCTGAATAATCGCACACCAACTTAAAACCAACTTAAAGTTTTCAAAACAACTTTCTATTATTTCATGTGGAAAGAAGTATTCTGGAATTCTGGAAAGATCCACAGCAGAGACTATTAATTTGATGCATTGCATCATTGTTAGGGGATTCCAAAAATCTGGAGAGACATGCCCATTTTGTGCAACAGCAAAGAGTGCTTTTATTTAGTTAGCTGTTCTGCAGACAATGGTATGTTTGCCCTTGATGCTCCTTTTGTCTCTGCCATAGTGCATTGGATTTTGTGCTGACAACCCCTGTAGTCCTCACTGTGCAGAAGCTGGAGAAGATCCTGCCTAACGTAGCTACAAAGTGGGACTTTGAGAGAGGTCCCTGGTGGAGAAGATATTCTTGATCTATAGCTCAGTGCCAAATCATGGGTGGTCACATCTCAGTTGCAGCAGGATACCCGCTCTGCAGTTTCCAGAGCTAATTTGAGAATTAATGAGGATTTTGGAATGGGGCAGGCCAAGCCAGGTTATTGTTATGCATCCCCACATCTCCAGGTTCCAGGGGCAATGCTATCCAGGGTTTGGCTTCCTTTTGGAGAAGAGACGATGAGAGATATATGCCATTTCTGTAATATTTGCTTTATTTGCAAACGTTCAAGTGGAGCATTGGAGGAGGCAAACAGCTTATTTTGTTCTAGTTACTTAACTGTGCTGTGGCTTGTACAATGAGCAGTATGCCTATCATCTAAATAAACAACCTTCACAACTTTAACTAGTTGGCATGCAATTTATTCTCACCTGCAAAATAGTGGCTTCCTGGGAGCAGCCTGTGTCTTTTCTGCCTTCCTTTCCTGTTCCAAAACACACTTCTGTTGTTGCTGTCATACACTGAACCCAAGACCCACCTTAGCTGTGGGTGAGTGCCAAAGTGTTTGTTGGCCATTCTGTGCCATTTTCCTGCAATTTCCCTAACAAAAGATGTGGCTGGAACAGTTTGGCCACTGGCCATTATGTGTCATTAGCCAGCCATTCTGGCTCCTTCTCTCCCTTTTTTCCAAACTCCAGACACCCACACAGCAACCTGAGAGCAAACTCTCCGCTTGGAGAAACTTTAAAGTCACTCTTTTTCTCGTTAGGCTTCGAAAACAAAAGTGACTCCCTGGAAGCAGAAGAGATCCAACTATATGAAGAGATTCTGGGTTCCTATGACCCTACTATGTCTCATCAAAATATCACCCATATTATTCAGGTAATTGTTCAGTGCTGGATATGATGCAATGCAGAGGATATGCAAACTGCAGAGGCCATCGTAACTTAGTCCTGATAGGGTGTAAGGTAGGGGCGGAACCATAATTATTACTACATCTTTGTAGTGTGTTTTGAGGCAAAGATTTCCACTTTCAGATCATAGGTCAACAGTGCTGCAATTCTGCGTGCACTTCCTTGAGAGGAGAAAGACCCATTGAACTCTGTGGCACTTCTGAGCTTGCATGCATGGGATCGCCCCCATTTTCAGTTTTCTGATATAAAACTTGCAGAAGGGCTGTAAGAGCAGTGGGAGAGCACGTGCATTGGGTAAGAAAGGTCTCAGGTTCAATCCATGGGATTTCCAGGCCGGGCTGTGAACGTCCTTTGCCTGGAACCCAGGAGACTTACTACCAGCCAGTGAAGACAGTCCTGAGCTAGAAGAACTAGTCTGGTTTCCTCCGTAAGATGAAAAGCTGAGAACATCAGGTTTTGAATCTGTACACCTTTACTTGGGAGCAAATTCCAGAGTAGCTGGTTGAATTTAACTTCCAAGTGAAGTGGCAGAGGAACGGGCTTCTCCACAGAACCCTTAATTCCTTCCTGCAAAGTTCTCTTAGAACAAGGAAGCCCTGCCAGTTGAGCTTGCCTTGCTGTTGTCCTCTCAGCTGCTTCCCCTACCACAAAGTGCTGCTCTGTGTCTCCTCTCTTAGGAATTTCTGCCGTACCTCACAGCACTACAGATCACAGAGCTTTTGTTGACCGCTATAGACTGCCTAAAGGAAGCCAATAGGAGCACCACTGCGGCATCACGTGACATCACATCTGTCATCCTGCAGCGATACATGCACAGGTTACATGGGCAGGTAGGAGATGTTTGGAGCCGGCAGAGACCCCAGCAGTGACAGAGGCGGCTTCTTGAGAGGCACCAGTACTATTTTATACCCTGAGATAAACCGTAAAACCCATTTACAGTTTATCTGTGGTGAAGGTCTTGGCAAGGCTCTGTCAGTGCTCACAGGATGTTTTCCTGTGTCAGTGCCTAATTATTGATCAGCTGACGCTTGCTCCCTGTACCATAGAATTGCAGACTGGGAAGGGACCCCGAGGGTCATCAAGTCCAACACCCCGCAATGCAGGAATCTCAGCTGAAGCATCCATGACAGATGGCCATCCAACTTCTACCAATCTTTGGGAGAACCCAAATGACCAGAGCAGGGGATCGTTGTGCCTTCTCACCTCCAGGACCAGCCTCAGATGTTTTGCTGACTGAGCAAATAGCCTCCCCAGCCTAAGTCCAGTCACATTATTTTGGCACTTGAGACAGAAAATCCCACAGGCACTTCTCCCCCTCCCTAGCAGTTAAAGTACAACAATAATAAATATCTTAAATACCTTAAATAATCTTAAATAATAAATATCTTAATGATTTGTTGCTTGGCCATGAAAACAGGGGGTCGAATCCATACCACACATTTAAAGCACATGGCTTCCCTCAAATATTCCTGGGAACTGCAGTTTACCCCTGACAAAGCTACAGTTCCCAGGATGCTTTGGGTGACATATTTTAAATGTATGTTTGTTTTCTGCTCTTTGAGGGCTCTGGTTTGTACCTTGTGGTGTGGTCCCTGCCCCAGCGCTGCTTCCTTCTAGCAGGGCATTTAACTGAAGCATGCTTGTTTCCTTCAAGGTGCCGGAAATTGTGGATAAGATCTACCAGCAGCTTGGTTCCATTTACCAGTACCAGGACAGGCAAATAATGATGGGGGTCCTGGCCCAGCTGGCTCATACCTACATGGCAGAAGTATGCAGTGCCCTTCTCCAGTGCCCTTTACCAATCGACAGGTACATAGTTCAATGATGCTTAGTCCTGCTGGGTCAGCCTTCAATCCCTGGACACCTTGGGGTGGGGTGGGGGGACACAGGTTCCCATTCTCTCCCACCTGCACTTAGGCCTCAGTGCTCCAGAAAATACAAATCAGAAAATACCTAAAGCTAGCAGGGAAGATTCTTATGAGTGCCACCTTTTCCCGCAAGGAGAGAGTGGGAACCGGAATGGCCTCCCGCGGTCATCCTTCACAACCAGTTCCCATACAGAAAAAGCAAACAGCTCGTGGATTTAGGAGGGTTGGAGCAGAAGCCTGGTCTGGTTATGGAAATGTAGGAGGGCTCTGGATTGAGGGGAAATAGAACAAGGGATTTCTGATGCTAAAGAGAGAGGCATGGCTGTTATTTGAGGGCAGAGGGGGAAGTAAAGCAACAGAGATGCATTCACACGCCTCAGGGGTCACATCTAGTTTGGCCTCCAAGTCTGCAGAACACCTTCTCCTCTCCATTTTACAAAGTGCAGATTGGGACATTCTCCTCGTATGCCATATCTCTGTGAATGTTTCCTTATGAGGACCAATCAATAATTTCTATTGGTCCGAATAACAGTATTGCACCTCAGTTGCTTAAGCATAACATATCATTCCTGGTGGATTGATTTCCATGGTATACTTTTGATCCCACCACTGCAGCCATTGTTGCTCTCTGGGGACTCTTCGAAGTCTTTATTTATGCCAAGGATGGGGGAGCTGTGGTCCTCCGAACGTTGCTGGACAGCAGCTTCCAGCATCCCTGTCCCTTGGCTACGCTGGATGGGGGGAGATGGGAGCTGAAGTCCCATCAACATCTGGAGGACTACAGCTTCCCCATCTCTGATTTATGCACTCAGAACAGTTGGGGGGGCAACTGACATGGTTGTGGGTATACAACCTGAAATGTTTCTGTTTCCCTCCCCTGAAATTGCAGGTATGCTTCTGAGATGTGGCATGTGTTGACCAAAACATGTTCGAATGATGACCTAACTCTCCTTGTGAATGTACTGCTGAAAAAGCTGCAGCTGAGCCCAAAGGTCACGGGAAACTATATCACACCTCTGGCTGTAAGGAACTGTACCAATTTGTCTGGATGGTTTTTGCAAATGAGCTCCCTAGAGAGAAGGAAGGAGGGGCATAGCTCAGTGGTAGATCATCTGCCTTGCCTGCAAAAGGTTCCAAGTTCAATCCCAGCATCTTCAGGTCGGGTTGGGAGAGAACCCTGTCTGAAGGCCTGGAGAGCTGCTGCCAGTCAGTGTATGCTATACTGAGCTAAATGGACCAATGGTCCACTCAGCAGAAGGCAGCTTCTTCTGTTCCTAAAGCAAGTTCCATTACTTCTTCCAAAACTCCTTTGGCACAGGACCTGCTTTGGATGTGACAAAATCCCTTGTAGGAAGTAGCATGCAGCCTATACATGTCACATCACATAATGATTGCATGCACAGGTATTTTCTAGCATGTACATTCACTGCTGCTTCCTAGCAAATGTAAACTCATGTAACTGTTGGCCATGTGATCTGCTAGCAGTCACATTAAACAAATGTGCCGTGCGGTGTCCGACAGGGAGCATTCTCCATGCAGGGAGATTGTAAAGGAACTGAGTGATGTTACTGCAAAAGTGTTGAATCCAGTGACTGCTACTCGTGAATAAATAGGCTTAGGGTTGCATTTCTTTCAGGTGGTGCCCATTCTTGCCAAAATCACATCCTTGTTAACTAGGCTTTCAAATCAATTGCAGTTAATATACCTAATAATATATACCTAATTATACAGAGGTTGCATAGACCGTTGACCTGACTCGGAAAGAGGTGTTTACATTTAAAATTAATCCAGGAAGGATAAGTGGTTCAGGACTAACAACCCCCAGAAACATAAATGAACTCTGCAGAGAAAAGATCTTACCACAGTCTCTCTCTCCCTCTCCCTTCTCCCTCTCCCTCAGGCTGCCAGCGCTTTCTCGAAGCTGTTATCTATGCCCAAAAGTTCGGAAGTGGCCCTCTACATCTACCCCCGGCTGCTGATGGCGCTGCTTGTTCAGGTGCACTATAGCATCAGGCACAGCGTAATAAAGAACTCAGATTCTCAGGAGGAATTTGAGCCTGTGGGGTAAATATGAGAGAAATTGTTATGGCAGGGGCCAAACCCACTCCCGAGAACATGTGAACGTGCTCCTTTGTAACGGCATGCATCCGTGTGCTATGTTCTCTTGAGTAAATCTCACCCACACAGAGCAGATTGTTGGTGGGCATAATCTAGCCCTGGCATCAGCATCCTCAGGCAGCTGCAAGGACCCACCCCCACAAAAGGGGCCCACCACTTTTGCCTTGCCCTGAGTCCCAGCCCTTCCCTTTGAAAAAAGCAGGTGGTTTTGGAGGCCGCCATTTTAATTTCTGGCAGTGCCCTTGATGGGGCACTGGTGGGTGGACACAGCATCACACACATCAGAGGAGCCAGCATTCTCCAGTGATTGCAATGATAAAAGTGGCAGTTCCCAAACATGGCTCTTTTGCAGGAAGTGGGCAGAGGAAAGGTTGCCAGTCAAGCAGAGATGCTGAAGAGAGGGTAATGGGCTGGTTTAAAAGGCCTGGCATGGTGGGTTTCGCCTGCAGGCCACCAAGTCTCCTGGATGTGGAGGGAGTGGTGTCCTTTCAAAATGTATGTCCTGCAGAAGCAGTTCAGGAGTACGACTAGGCAGCCATTCCTGGATAGGGACAACCTGACCACTGTAACCTTATTAGTAACCTCAATGCTTGATTACTGCAGTGTATGCTATATACGGGGCTGCTCCTGAGTCTGATTCAGAAGCTTCAGCTAGTGCTGAGCAACAGTGTTTAAATTGTGTACAGTCATACCTTGGTTCTCGAACGGAATCAGTTCTGGAAGTATGTTCGACTTCTGAAAACATTCGAAAACCAAGGCGCGGCTTCCAATGGATTGCAGGAGCTTCCTGCACTCAAGCGGAAGCCACAGAAGCCACGTCGGACATTTGGCTTCCAAAAAACATTCACAAACCGTAACACTCACTTCCAGGTTTGCGGCGTTCGGAAGCCAAAACGTTCGAGTCACAAGGCGTTCGAGAACCAAGGTACAACTGTATAGAATTTCTCCAAAGTGCTCTAGTGCTTCATCGATAATCCTACACCAGCCCTGTAAAGCAGACTAGTATTATCCCCATATTGCAGATGGAGGGTTGAGTCTAGCCTTAGCTAAGGCCACCTAGTGAGTGGATTTGTGGCAAAGGTAACATTTGAACTGGGGACTTCCCAACTGGAAGTCGCCACTGTACTACACCTGCTTCTTGATGTGTCTCATATTTTATTTTATTTTTAAATTCAGCTATATTGTAGCAGCACTGAAGACTCTTCTCCTAGCTGTGAGGTGCTATTGTGAGTTTACTCTTATTGAGAAGGAGCGGGGCTGGGAGCTCCTCACCAGCTGCGAAGATCACCATCGGGGAGTAGGCCTTATTGCAAGGTGCGCAGTGGTAAACTGTTGGATTATTTAATTGTTGTTAGCCGCCCTGCTGGGGAAGGCGGGATATAAATAAAATTTATTATTATTATTATTATTATTATTATTATTAATTTGGTTATTTGGTTAGAGCACCCCAAACATTTACAAAAATTCCCAAGTGTAGAGTTAACCACTGGCCATAACGGTATGCATCTGCATTGTCTTTCCTAACCAGAATCATGCTTCAGACCTCCAATTATGACCTTTTGAGGATCTTGTACCTCCTAGTTCCCTTCCTGGAGCGAGGTGATGAAGAGCACCAGATCACAGGACTGGCTTTCTTCAGCGAAGTAAGGAAGATGCAACTTCTGCACTGTGGAACCGGAAGCCTTTCTGGGAATGCAGAGTGGCTTGTTGACCTTGATTCCAAGGATGGTTGTACAAACATAGTGATAATGCCCACCTGTGACTCTGTGGTTATGTTCTCAGATAGTTGTTACTGGTGGTGTAAGTGGAGTTGGATCCAACAGAATATATTTGTAGCAATGCATCTGAATAGCCGCTTCATCCTGTTGCGTTTTGTGTAGGAAGCTGTGGGCAGAATAAATTAGGTAAACAATATTTGGTCTATTAAAACAATGCAGTTTTACTTATTCAAAGCAGAAAGCTGATACCAAGAACAAACTTAGTTGGTCTCTAAGGTGCTACTGGACATTTTTTTTATTTTTTTATATGTATTTCTACTGCGTCAGACCAACACGGCTACCTACCTGAAAGCAGAAGCTGTTCAACTAGTAATACTTGAGAAAGTGCATGATCTCTAATGCTAGGTTGGTCCTTATTTTTCCCTCCACATTTGGCATCAGGTCATGTCAAGTATGACATCAGATGTGCGGCAAGTAGGCATGGCTCAGGGGAAATAGCCTCATGGGACAAACTGGGACCTGTGCTGGCCAAATTTGGTCCACATGCTGGAGATTCCCTACCCCTGCTGTGGTTGATTGCAGCACAAAGAATAAACAATATAAATCCCCCGGAAGGCACAAGAATGGATGGATGCAGGCCATTTCTGCTTAACATGGACAATGTTTTGGGTAGGATTGATAACCAAGTGCCAGAAACAAGTTAGTACATTTTTGGCATCTGAAGCAGGCAGTTGCTTGTGAACCAAATTCTCATGGACCTCTTCTTTGTCTTTTAGCTTCTTTGTATGTCAGAGGCCAGAAGACTTCCCAAACAATATTCTTTGTATCGTCTGAAGCGAGGACTGGCTAATGAAAACCCAGTCATCCGGGCATTGTGTATTAAAGGACTGGTTAACATTGCATACTGGATAGGAAAGGTAAACAACAGGGCCCATCATATGATTTCACTGGATTTAGTTGATAAATTCAGAAATATCTGTTGAGGATTTAATTGCATTCAGCTCAATTTGCACAAAATTTGTGGAGCAGTTAGACAACATGAACTATTTACTGTACTGATCATTCATTCTGACTTGTTTGTGGGGAGGTTCTATGTTGTTGTGTCAATCAATCATTAGCCCATACTTTCCAGCGTGTTTTCCGATAATTTTCCTTATTACAAAAAGTCTGATTTTGGGTGAAGTGTGTTTGTTGTGCAAGAGCACAAAATCAACTTTAATTGAGCAACCTGAATTTTCCAGTATGTTGAATTGAATCCCATCCAAAAAATAGCAGTAATCTCCAAAGCCTATGAGTTATTCTCCAGTACGTGGCATAAGCAAATTGTGCCCTAAACACCTATAGGCACATGGACTGCTCTTCAGCATTTTGCATGCTTAGCATGAAGATTTTTTAAAGTGTTCTCAGTTGAATGCACTTATAAAATATTCCCAAAATTGGAAATATTGATGTGCCAGTGTGGCTTACTTCTGAGCAGGCATGTATAAGATTTTATTTTTAATAGACTTTATCACTTGGAGAAGGTGAGTACCATACATTATATTACAAAAAAAATCTTAATTCTCCATTGCTATTTCACTTTCTTTGCCTTAAAATTATGTTTCTTGTCCACTGCTTCATGTTTAAACATAACATCCAGATAGCTTGTTATCCATAGGTCTGGTACAATGAAACTTCAGTTTTCGAACGTAATCCGTTCCAGAAGACCATTTGACTTCTGAAACATTCGAAAACTGAAAGCAGAAGCCTCAATTTAATAAGGAAACTCAAAACGGAAGCTGCGTCGGATGTTCGGGTTCCGAAAAATGTTAAAAAACCAGAGCATTTGCTTCCGTGTTGTCGGCATTCGGGAGCCAAAATGTTCAAAAACAGAGCCGTTCAAGAACCAAGGTTTGACTGTTTATTAACTTAAATTATGCCTTTCTGTGCAGGAGGAAGTAAAGATTGTATTGCCTGCCATGACAAAAGGTCTTTCTGGGATGGATGGGCAGCTGTTTGTAGAGGCAGTTGCTGAAATTGAGAAGATTCTTAATGGCTCAGAAGGAGCAGACTGTATTTGCGATATCAGCCTTTCTCTTCAGGAACTATTCAGTGATGTAAGAAAGCAGTGTCACACCAGCTGAGTTTTGTTACAAGCCAAGAGGCAGGCCTACCCTCTCACAGAAGTGGTTTTCTCTTGAGGTCACGTTGACAATGAGAACCAATATGGTGCAGTGCCTAGAGTGTGGGACTTAAAGACTCTCAGGTTCAGATCCCTAGTCTGGCAGTGCCATTAAAGAAACTCAGTGTCCTTGTGGCTGTTGCTCTTTTTCTTGGCCTAACCTACCTCACAAGGTTGCTGTAAGAATAAAATAGCAGGGGAGAATCATAGGTGTGACACTGAGCTCAGGGGAGCAAAATAAAAATTTGACAGCTGATAACCCTGCCCAGAGATAGATGCTGCACAGCTTCAGTAAGGTAAAAAAATGGAGATAACCCAAGTCTGAGGCAGAAAATCCTCATGTGGTGCCAAAAATATAGTAATAAGGTAGACAACTTGTCATCCTTTAACAATACCCCAAAATCAGAATCCCCCTATGGGGGGCAACATGAAGCAGCTACTATTCACTCGTATGAACCGTTCCATATAGCCCTATACAGCTTGGGACAAGGATATCTGAAAAATAATCTCATCCCTAACATACCAAACCAATCACGGCACTCAGCAGGAGAAGACATACTGCAGATTCCATCTTATCAGAAGGCTCATTCCACATGAAGGGGAACCTGGCTTTTAGTGTGCTGGTATCTAACCTTTTGAACTCCCATTACATTTCAGACAGGTGGAATCTTTATGGCCTTTTCAGCATCTGTTGGAGACTTTCCACTTTCAACAAGCCTTCTAAGTGGAGATTTTTATCCCAGTAGTATTATATTACATACATATGCAGTATATGTAATTGGTTTTAACTGTTTTTAATATATAATGCTTTTGGATTACTTTTATGTGATTGTTTTAGATACGTTTGTTGTTGTTGCTGGCATCCGTTTGTCTCGAGAGACAATGCAGTGCACCTCCGGGGGTGAAGTCAAACCGCTGCATTAGCAGCACCAAAGTGACCTCCCCGGGACGCAAACCTGGGCAGTGTGTATGGAGGTTCTGGGCTGCCCAGATGACAAAGACCCCACTTCTCAGCCTCCCTGATATGGTCCAAAGGAAACCAGAGCAATACATTTGGCACTAACCTGGCATATGTTTTTATCGTACAGTGGTACCTCAGGTTAAGTACTTAATTCGTTCCGGAGGTCCTTACTTAACCTGAAACTGTTCTTAACCTGAAGCACCACTTTAGCTAATGGGGCCTCCTGCTGCTGCTGTGCCGCCGGAGCCCGATTTCTGTTCTCATCCTGAAGCAAAGTTCTTAACCTGAAGCACTATTTCTGGGTTAGCGGAGTCTGTAACCTGAAGCGTATGTAACCTGAAGCGTATGTAACCTGAGGTACCACTGTATTGTGAAATCGCTTTGAGGTGCTTCATGAAATGAAATAAAATTATCATTTTTAAAAAATAATGGAGAAATGGGATTGCAAATTTTTAATCAGGCTCAGTTTGCATGTCACTCTCTACTGAAACAATCTCACTGCCTTCTTTTGTTTTTGAGACAGGAAAGAGCAAGTGTCCGTGCTTCCGCCATATGTCTTTTTGGGAAAATGGTGAAACGGGCTAAGAAAAATAACAAGCATGCAATGAGGCATCAGGTACTAGAAAACTTGGTTCCATTACTTCTGCGTCTCGAAGAGGAGGACCCTGACATCCACAAGGCAAGCTTCTGCCAACATTTCTCTGTTTTCAGGAGAACCATCATGGTTCTCACCAACCAGATAATTTAAAAAGTTCTCTCTTCTAGCCTTTTCTGCCTCCCATCTGAGTGCTTGTCTTGCCAAAGGCAAGGTGGTTCTTTCAAAATGAGATTCAGAAGCAATACAAACTACACAAGTGAGTGAGAAGATTAAAGGTTTTATTCTAAAACAGCAAGCAATGTGTACATACCAAGCAAGCACTTCAGTTTGCCACTTAGAGGCCCTCAAGAAGCAGTGAAGCGACTCCCCCAGGTAGGCCTCAGTTTGCACGGCTCTGCGGCCAATCAGTCTGTGCATGAGCTTCAGAAAAACTCTGCCTGAACTGTCCAATTTTATAGATAGCCCCCCCCAATACCTCACTTTCTCAAAAGAATGTCCAACATCGAAGAAGGTACCCATCATTATCCTTCACAACTGATGAGGCAGCTGTGGGGGGTGGGCTTCACCTCCTCCCAATGTTCTCAGGACATCTAAGACTGTTCTCACACCATCAAAAAACTTAACAAGAGCGAGGGAGGGGGAAGGAACAGAGGCAGGAAGGGCTCTGTGTCAGGTCACTAACTCCTCAATACATTTTGTCTTCCGGATGCATTTCCCATACAGTGTTTCATGCTTCCTCGAGTGTAAATATACTAAACCTCAACATGCACATTTCCTGTCCGTTGATGAGCAAATACCAGAAGGTGTGTCCTTCCTAAAGACTATTCAGTAGTTGGGCGTTTTGTTTTCTGAATGGTGTAAAAAAAATGATATATCATCTCCATATCTTGCAGGAATGTAGTTATGCCTTAAATGAATCCTTTCAGTTCCTGGGATGGAAACTACCAAAGCAGGTTGTCAGCAGGAAAGCTTGGCCTGAGCATGAAGAAGTTCTGGATGAAACCTGCCAGTACCTTGTATGTTGTCTACAAGTTCTGACTATTGCTTTACATTAAACAGCATCCGTTCTCCAGGTTGTCAGAGTCTTCCCCAGCCCTATCTGCAGATGACAGGGGTTGTCCCCAGGGTGTTTTGCATGGAAGATATGTGCTCTACCACTGAATATAAACCCTTCCCAGTGCTTCACTAAAAGTTCTTTGCTGGTACAAAGGAGTCTAGAGACAAGGACAGGAAGAGAGGCAGAACACAAGCCTGATTGTGGCAAGGGTCATGACCTTGAAGGAATTAAAAAAAACAACCAACAGCCACAATTTTTTGCGTTTGTTTTTTATGTCTAGATTAAGGGCAAAGTGGGGTGATAATCTTTTTGAAAGATTATGAGCTGAGTGACATCCCTAATTGTGACATTTTGGAATTCTGGGGTGGAATTCAACACTGCCATTTAGCTCGCATAATGGCTTTCGAACCAAATGTTGCTTCCGTGTAAGAGGTGATTTTCAAAGATGCTCTCCTCCTCTTCTGTTAGTGCAGCCAGTTGCAGGAACAAAAGCCATGCTGTGAGTTGAGCAGCAGCACTGACATCCCACCTCCTGCTCATCGCTATGAAAGGCTATGCACAGCTTTCTTCATTTGATTCTTCATAGCAAGCTGATATTTGTCCATCTACAGACTTTTTAAAAAATCAGATCTGATGATGGCGATAATGGTTGCATGTTTATGTATGTAGCTCTTTCCTAACTCTCACACCAGCTCTTTATTTTTATTTTTAATGAAGCCAATTATGCATTTCTTGAGTTTCCAGGTGCAGAAGCAAGAGGCAAATCTCCAGAGATTCTTGTACCAGGACCTTTACTACACTCAGAGTGAACTTCTTCCGATAAAAAGGGCTTCCATCGTGTTCCTTGGTAAATGAAAAACACAAGTTCAACTGTTTGCATTAGCTCTTGCCAGGACCTTTTGATCTTCATTTTACTGTGGAGAGGATTCATTAAAATCATGCAAATTCCCTAAAACAAGTTTAGGGAATTTATTTAAACCCAAGGGCCAAATTCACTTATAAGCAGCTTTCTAGTAGTGGGTTCATCGAACAAGGGATAGGACTCTTAACCTTTGTACAGTAGGCTACATTCCTGCAACATCAAACCCAGAGATTTCTATACAAAACACACACACACTTTTATCCAGACAAGCAAGAGGCATTGCCACAGTTCAAACGCACGGCCTCATTCAGCTCAGGAGCAAGGTTTGCCACTGCTATGCTGAAAGGATGCCGATAAAGCTGCTTTGTGGACATCTGTTTGGATGAAAGCTTCTACTCAGCAAATGCTAGCTTCAGAACGCACACCCAGCCCTCCCTTCCCCTGACAACCAGGACAGAGTTGCATCCTTGTCCTTGAGTATATAACAATTTTAAACCCACTTTCTTAAGACATTTCATTAAAACAAAGGGCTTGTTTTCAAGTGGAATTAGTTACATGAGTTGCTACCAGGCATTGACCCAAGTAAATGACGACTAAATCCTTGTGTGTTGCATTTAGGTTTTCTAGTACAACATATGGACAGCAAGGCAGGAACTACAGACTTGGAAATGATCATTCATGGTAGGTTAAATAGAGAAATTGTAAGATTATTGCTGTCATGTCTTTAGGTACTAAATGAAGAGAGAGAACACAAAGGAGAGACAATTAGATGTAGACACTGTTACACTTGTATAGATTGTATATTTCCCCCTTTCTTCCTTCATTTTTATTAAAATGCCAGAATCGTGAAAGATAATATAGACACAAAAAAGACAGAATATAAGCAAAGTTCAAAGACTGATTGGTCGATAATTTATGAATTAACTCACATCAATTATTCTTGCTGTTATAATACGGAAAGCACCTTAAAAATTTTTGAGGCCACCCTCTGAGGCAGCAATGTATTTTTTCTTTAATATTCAACAAGTGGTGCTTAAAGTAGAACACATCCTTTCATATGGGATACATAAAATCACACAATATAATCAGAAAAATCAACTTTGCTTTTTCTCCCAGTTGCATTCAAAATTGCACAAGCTGCTAGATACTTAGGGAGGGGAAGAAATCAAAGTGTGTTTAGGGTAATATATAAACACCTTTAAGTATTTTTCAAATCTCTATTAGACATATGTAAATTTACCGTCTTGGTTTTTGTAGGGTATCAGTTTTAGAAAAAGAGGCTGTAAAAGGGTGATTCTATGATATGGTTTCACATAATGATTTGGACACAATTATGCTGCAATTCAGGAAATTAAGTCTGCCGAAAACTCTGCAGTGTTATGGGACTGTCATATTTCCTTCCTAAAATGTAAACTCTGATCTCCACAGTTGCAGAGAAATAACGGCTAATGTTTCGGTAGCTAATAGTTGTAGGTAAGGCTCTTTCCCTTCAGGACTTGTGCCTTTTCTCTCTACATCCAATCTCTCTATTATATCGGTCCCTAATAATAACTTCCATAATAATAATGTGCAACTCAGGACTCAGGCATATTACTAAAGAAACAGTGATTTGAATGTGCTACAAACACACAACACCAGATGGTGCCAGAGAGCAAGAAATTTTAAAATGCGATTTTCCATAGTTTTTTTTCCCCTTTTGTTATAATGATCTAATTTCTGACTTACTTATAGCGGGGGGTTTTCTCTGTTTTGATCCACCCTAAAATGAAAGACACAAATAAGCAAATTCACTAAATATGTGCAAATCATAAAATTTGTGGAGTTATTTTTAAAGATGTCCACAACAACCACAAGGACACTAAATAGCTGAAGGTTTAATGTGAAAGGTTTAGCATTTATTTGGAACAGAGCCCCCTTATGTGTTAATGTTTCCCTTTCATTTTCAGCTCTTGAAGGCTTGATGCATGACCCAGATGCTTCTGTGTGCATAGCTGCAGCACATGCCCATGAGCGTGTTTCTTCTGTTCTCTCCAATCAGAAGGAGAGGCTTGAAAGCAACTGCAAGACGGAGGCCGGGGACACTGCTGCTGAAAATGCTCTAAGGAGTTCCAGAGCCCTGAATAGTATCCGCCACACCCCTTCCAGACTTCTTGCTGTTATAAACCTCTGGAGATCGGCCAATGGAAATTAATATTGGACTGGAAGAGGAGAAAGGATCTTGGTGCATAGCTCTTCCTAACAGCAACAACAACAAAAAGGCTGTGAATATCACTCTTCCTATACTGAACCTCAGCAAGAACATTATAAAGGACCATAAAAGGAATTGATAATTTACCAGCTACCTGGATAATAAAGAACATCAATTCCCTACAGAATCCAGCCTCCTGGACTTTTGCTTGCTATAGTTACATCATGACAGGCTTTTCTATGAAGATCAAGGCATGCATGCCCTAGTCACTTATTAGCTTGTATACAACACTCCTGCAAGCCCCTTTTAAATACCAATGTTGTTGTTTAGTGGTCTTAGGTAAAGGGACCCCTGACCATTAGGCCCAGTGGCGGACAACTCTGGGGTTGCGACGCTCATCTCGCTTTACTGGCCAAGGGAGCCAGCGTACAGCTTCTGGGTCATGTGGCCAGCATGACTAAGCCGCTTCTGGCGAACCAGAGCAGCGCACGGAAACGCCATTTACCTTCCCGCTGGAGCGGTACCTATTTATCTACTTGCACCTGTCGTGCTTTCGAACTGCTAGGTTGGCAGGAGCAGGGACCGAGCAACCGGCGCTCACGCCGTCGTGGGGATTCGAACTGCCGACCTTCTGATCGGCAAGCGCTAGGCTCTGTGGTTTAACCCACAGCGCCACCCGCTTATATGTAAATCCGGCACTGGTTTTTTCTCAGCTCGCCTTTTCCCGCCTACAACCCCAGACAACTGACGCCCCCACAAGCGAAATAATTTAAAACAAAGGGGGGGGCGGTGATAGAAAGAGCTTGCAAAAGCCCCGCTGCAGCGCCGCGTTCCCCCTTGCAGGCCCGGGGAAGCAGCGTCGGGCTCCTCCCGCTTCGGGCTCAGCAGGAGCGGGAAGCCGCCGCCTCCGGAAGGGCGGAGCGAGCCAGCCTGGCTGCGCCTGGAAGGGGAGCGCAAAATGATGGCGGAGGAGGAGGAAGAGCACGAGGCGGGCTGGGATGCCTTCCTGGACAGGTTCCGCGGCCCCGAGCGCTACGCGGGCGCCCTCAGCCCCGAGAACTGGGAGCAGGTGCGTCTCTCCGGGCGGCGGGACGAGGGAGGACCCGAGGGCCGCGCTCGACTGCACGGGCTCCTGGGGAGATGCCAAGTTGGGGAAGAGTCTCCAGCCTTTTAGTTTGATCCTCTTTTCACCGGCCTCTTGCCCCCCCCCTTCCGTCCTCTCCAACAGCCCTGTCAGGTAGGCAGAGGGTGAGCTTTGGGGGGGAATTGGTCTGCAGTTTTGAATGTCGGGATAGGACCCGGGTTCGAAATCTCCCACTCGCCCGGGAAGTTTGCTGGGGTGGCTCTGAGCCGGTCACTGCCTCTCTCAGCCTAAACGACCTCGCAGGGTGGTGGTGGTGGTGGTTGTTGTTGTTGGGATCACATGTGGAAGGGGGTTGGATCATGCGCGCTGTCTTGAGCTCCTTGGATGAAAGGTAAGATATAAAGTAAACAAACACTGGCTTGCCTTCTGCAAACCACTAGTTCCCAGTCTTCCTCCTAACCACTGCCGGGTGAGGGGTGATGGTACCGATCTTAACAGGGTTATTTGTTGTAAGCATTGCTGGTTAGCTTTACTAAATTATGTTTGAGCCAGAGGTCAGTTCTGGAGCCTACTTTCAACTTCAAGGCATATGAACCAGCAGTAAAGATGAGAGTGCCTCTAGAGCTTGTGCAGAATGCCTTGCTTCCAGTGTTAATAATCAGTCATCTCCCACACCTGGATATAGAGAGCAGTTTTAGAGAACATGTACAGTGGATGTTGGCTTTCTAACCAAGGGGTGGGATGTGTGTTGTGACATTAGAGTAGGTAGCATTTTAAACTTTCGTATTGGGTTGCAAGTTCACAATACATGTCAGTGTATCAAAAAAAAAATTTTTTTTATTGTAACCTGAATTTGGGAACTTGTGACTTTGCTGGACTGTGCTCTCCTCATTGCTGTCCCTTGACCATGCTGACTGGGGCTGATGGGCATTGGAATCCAACAACATTTGGAGGGAGGGCCAGAGTTCTGGAGGGAGGGCTAGATGTTGAATAAGATGATGAATTCTCTAGTCACATTTTTCTATACTGTTTATTAAACTAGTTTATTATTAACTAGTTTATTGATGATACAGTTTAATAAACTGTAGTTTAATAAACAATGGTTTAGCATTATGTGCTAACCTCGCCAATGTGTCTTTCTTGGTAAACAAGAATTGACTTGAAAGAATAGAGAAATTTAATATAATTCAATGACGGATATTACAGGATCTATATCTTACATTCCTGTTGGTTTTGGTTTGGTTTTGTGTTTTTGTAACAGGAAAATGGTGGGTTTGAAGGTTTAGCAAGGGCTGATGCTAAGTCTGAAATTACTTACCTAGAAAGCCAAGAACTATGAATTAAGTGAATTCTTTAGAAATACCCAGGGACAAAATGCAATGTATGGGAGGGAAAAAATGCAAGTTCTTCTGTTAAGTATCTCGAATAAAGGCTCTATTTCCAAAGACATGTGGCTATTTTGAACCCTTTTCTTCTATCCTTGGTAACTTGGGCTGCCTGCATTTGTTGACAGGAATTTGACCAGATCCCAATGTTCATGAGGAAAGCTCCTGCTGAAATAGATCCTAAGCAGAATCCTGACCTTGCTTGTCTTCAGTCTATTATTTTTGATGAGGACCAAACAACTGAAGGTAGTCTCCACTTACATACTGTAAATGTATCAGCTGATGAAATTTACATTGTTCTCGCAACACTTTCTCTAGGAATCAAAGGACATAATTGTTTCGTCTCAATCAGTTCAATGTTTTGAAAAGAGACATCCCAGCTTTGTCTTACCAAGGCGGGTGCTCTGTTGTGTCCCATTTGAAGGAGAAAGGGTGACAGTCAAATACAGCCTCTGTCATAACCTTTGTCCAAATGCTGCAATAGGTGTCCACAGATAAATGAGCTGACGGCCCTACTGTATTCCCATTTTGAAAATAAAGATTTTAAGCCAGAGCTTTAAGGTTAACAACCAAGTGTTTATCTTGAAAGGGCACCGTCCCATTTCAAAAAATACATATTGGGGCTCATAGGACTTGTCGAAATTTAACTTGGCCAGCACGCACAGCTCCATAAAAAAATGAGAGGTTATCATAGCATTAAAAACTTTAATAGCTGCAGAAATATCCTTGACCCCCTTTGGTGTAAAAGAAAAAAACCATAGTATAGCAGGCTGATTAGCCTGAGTTTTCTGGGAAGCATAAGATTTGTGCTTTATGTGTTATAGATAACTTGACTTTTAAAGGAGTGCTTATAATTGCTTTTCTAACGTTGCAATGTTTATCTTTATTGGTGTTTTTCAAGCCCAGGCCTATAAGAATGAGGGCAATGATTATTTCAAGGAAAAGGATTATAAGAAGGCTGTGATATCCTATTCAGAAGGACTGAAAAAGAAGTGCAATGACCTAGAATTGAATACTGTTCTTCATACAAACAGAGCTGCAGCCCAGTTTTATTTGGGTAATGTATTGCATTCAAAATTGTGCCTAGCTCAAATTCTATATAGCAGAAAAATATCAAAGGTAGGACTTTCTCCTGTATGTTCCAGCAGTCATAAAGTTGTTTTTGAATGTTTTTTTAAACAAACAAGTAGTCTTGAGGATGCTAAATTTTAGACCCATATCTGACAAGATCCTTGTTAGATGTTAATTTAACAGTGTATGTGGAGCTCCCAAAGAAAATAGGCACCACTGAGTTCCTTGGGACTTACTCTCAAATATGCATAATATTGTGTCTGGTTTGGCTGTCACTGTTCACACTGCAGTGCTTTAAATTTTGTTAAACAGAATTTGATCCAATGTATTCCAGGTCCCAAGATTCAGTATGTGCAAGCAGAGATGTCTCTTGAGCAGCTAGTCTGGATAAAAAAAAAAGAATTGAGTGCTGTTGGTTTTTAGTAGGGATGAATAGCCTCAAATACAGAGTCTGAAAAGAAAGCCAAGAAGTAATAGGTTGTGTTGAAGTTTTTGCAACAAAATCAAATTATTATTTATCAAATACATTTTTTTAAAAAAAGAGGGGCAGCCTTTGGAATCTGTATCTTACCTGTTATAATGCCTCCTCTTTTCATTATCCTTATAAATTAATGTCATATTTGAAGACCTCACGTGTCTTGCCTCAGTGTAGCCCAGTGTTTCTTAGGGAGCAATTTGCCAGCCTCCCTTAAAAATCCAGTGTAATGACCCAGGTTTTACAGAGGTATGTTTTGTTTAGGTAACTATCGCTCTGCCCTCAATGATGCTATCGCAGCAAGAAAACTGAAACCCAATCACCTCAAGGCAATTACAAGAGGTAAAAGAATGTTCAACAGTTGCATTTTAATAGAGGCCTCCATGTAATTAAGAAAGTGGGGGCACTGTATAACAGCAATAAAAGTTTGTATAGAATACTCTTAAAAAGTAAACTTTCAAAGTGCCATGAAATAATAACATAATGCTACTTAAAAGGGTTGTGTCTACTTGAGATAAAGAGAAGGAAGAAGCATGGGAACCTTGGAACGAAGTTATTTGCAGTATGTTAGGGGCAGCATGTGGTCTGAAGGCACATGAGACCACCACTCCAATGAAGCAAAGCAGGTCTTGGTCTAGTTAGCATCTGGGAACCACAGGAGGATGCTCAATGCTGTAGGGCATAAATGTAAGAAAATAAATAAAAGTCAGCGTAAGTGTACATCCCTGTTTGCCACACTGATGTTTTAAAAATTAGTTGAGTGTATCTGTGTTTGCTGCAGACATATGTGAAACAAACTACAGTGGTACCTCGTGTTAAGAACTTAATTCGTTCTGGAGGTCCATTCTTAACCTGAAACTGTTCTTAACCTGAAGCACCACTTTAGCTAATGTGGCCTGCCGCTGCATGATTTCTGTTCTCATCCTGAAGCAAAGTTCTTAACCCGAGGTACTATTTTTGGGTTAGCGGAGTCTGTAACCTGAAGCGTATGTAACCACTGTATTGCTTTTCTAGGAGCACTGTGCCATTTGGAACTTAAACACTTCTCTGAAGCCATAACATGGTGCGAGGAGGGATTGAGAATAGATCCAAAAGAAAAGAAACTTCTGGAAACAAGAGCTAAAGCTGATAGACTAAAGGTTAGAAGGGGACAAATGGAAACCTGTTTATACAGTAGACTAAGACTGGTGGAACAGCATTCTCCTCCCCACAGTAACGATGTAGCTTTGTCTGTCTTTCAGCGCACTGAAGAGAGGGATTTCAGAAAAGCTAAATTGCAGGAGAAGAGGGAACAGTCTCGGAAGGAGGCCTTACTCAAAGCTATCAAGGTAACTTTTTCTTTTGGTGGGAAGAATTGCCCCTGGAAATTTTAAATGTGTAAAGATGTGGATACTTGCCTCATTTTTTTTTCTTTTCTCTTCCGATATAGGATCGGAACATCAAATTGTCTCTAGCATCCTCTAAGGAAGACACAACGATATCAGCAGACCTGGCTGAGATGTCTTTAGATGGACTTGGCTCAGAAAATGATATCGGTGCCAAAGTCTGTTTAGATGAGAATGGCAGCCTAACCTGGCCTGTGCTGTTCCTGTATCCCGAGCATGGGCAAACTGACTTCATCTCCTCTTTTCATGAAGAATCGAGGTGGTTGTTTTTTAAAGCTGAATTTAAATAAATCCAAATGAACATCATATGGAAGGGAGGAGGCAGTGGGTTCAATTCACACATTTTATTTGCTGTGTTTTCCAGTACTTTGGTAAGACCATTGAGATGTTCTGAATGTGAAGAGTAGGAGTGGGAGCATGCCTGCCAGCCTCATCTGCTAATCTCAGTAATGTCTGAACAAGTCTTCCCCGCCTGATGCCTTCCATCAAATGTTTTGGGCTACAGCTCATTTCAGCCCCAGCCAGCATGGGCAATGGACAGGGATGATGGAAGTTGTGGTCCAAAACTTTTGGAGTCTTAGAGCATGTTTATATGAAGTGGTGGTTGTGAGCTATTTTAGAGACTCTGAGCAGTGCTGTGAGAAAGTAGTTATTTTTGGATTAACCTTAAATAAGAGAATAGATTTATGATCTTCCTGAGCGTGCCTATTTTGAAAAAAGCATTGAAGAATTTAATTTAAAAAAATACTGCGTTGGTTAGCAGCCTTTAATGAAGCTACATTGCTTTGAATGCCAAAGGCGTCAGTGTACAGTATCTACTTGAATTCAACTCTAGTAGTTGCTGAAGCTGAACTTAATGGCTTGGAGAGTAACATGATGCATCTTGTGTTTCAGATTTATTGACCACTTAATGGTCATGTTTGAAGAACTACCTCCCTGGGATGTAGAAAAGAAATATATTCCAAGTGAACTGGAGGTAAGATACAACACCTTTTGGCATTTATCTGTCCTTTCTTAAAATGGATATTCTAATATATATAACCCTGAGCAGTGTAGCCCCATGTGGGATGCCTGGAGTCTAGACCTTTTGTACCCTAAGGAGGGGCGGGAGGGGAGCAATGGGCTCTAGCAGAGGTGGAGAGAGAGGGGACAGAAAGACTGAGGTTAGAGGGAGTAAAAAGGAGCCTTCCAGCAAAGATTGAGAGAGCAACCACACTTTTTGCCTCCACACAACAGTATACTAAGCAACAGCTTCATCATGGAGTTTGACAGAGCCTAAGTCAGCCTCTACCTGCATCCCAGGCGAAGAATGAGAAACTTGTGGCTCTTCAAATGCTGTTGGGTCTAAAATTACCATCTTCATTGATCATTGGCTATGCTGGGGTTAATGGGATTTGCAGTCCAAAAACATCTGGAGGGCCAAACTCCCCAACCCTGATATAGCCACAGATAGGTCAGACAGGCAGAGAATAATCTCAAATCAAAGGGTTGTGTTATCCATAAACAACTGCAAAATTGTTTTAAAACTTCCATTAAGTACTTAGATTTGTAGGCTTGAATAAAAATTCATTTATTTAGCTCTTCCAAAGGCTTGAAGTATATGGCAAGCAATAAATAGAAATAAAATTAAATCCGGTAAAAAACAACCCCTAAACTACCACAAATCTGGACTCCCAGAACTTGCCCTAATAAACTGCAGTCTCAAACGGAAGCAATAAAAAGGGTTTTCCATCACATGAGTAGTTGGTTGTTAGTATTACAGATGCCCTGCTGACCTGCATAAATATTGTACTAAGCCTTACAGGTAATGTTGCTTGTCCTTGTTCACATATTTAGTCGATTTGTCTCTCATATTAAATTGCACAGCTGTATTTTGAGGATGAAGAAAAAGGAGAGATATACCAGATAGACACAGAAACCACATTGCTACAAGCACTGCAGCACCAAAGGTGAGATTCTGAGCTGGGGACTGCATGTTACTCATCTTTATTGTCAAAATGACACGTGTGTAATGTTGAATCAACAGGATCCATCTACTTGCTTCAAAAAATCAAGGTTTGTTTTTTTTTGTCTAACAGTAATCTGACAGAGAAATAATTGTTCGTCAGCAGATTCTGCTGTTAAGGATACAGTAGTCTTAGATATCAACAGCCAACAAAACTGCCCATATGTTGTGACTTCAGATTAGAGGTGTCAGCTTCAGCTGAAGCTTATTCATCCATTTCACTACAGGGCTGCCTCAGTTTTCTCTTGGTGGCACCAGCTAGACGTGACAGTTACTTACGGGAATAACATTGCATAGCCATTGCATTGAAAGGTGGCTGTATTTTTAGACTGCCTTGCAGCAAAAGGTTAGGTGATCAGCTTCTAAAGAAAGGGTAATTTGCTGCAGTTGTGCCTGCCTGAACTTTTAGGATGTCATGGATCTTCGCAGTGGGGACATCTCTTCTTACCAACCCTAGCCTATTAGATTGTTCCAACAGTCAAAGCAGGTGATGGACTTGAGCATCGTGCTGTGGTGAGCATTCCCTCTGTGCAAACATTTCAGCTTGCCAGACAGAATGAAGCCCACCTTTCTCTCCACTGTGCGCTATTCTGCAGGTTCTCCTGACCCCTGCCCAGAGCCAATTTCTGGGCATAAGAGCTTCTGCTGACTGGGCTTGTTAGGTGAATCCCACCCATATTATGTTTCTGTCCTATCTTCTTCCAAATTTGTAGAGCAGGTGAGAATCTAACCTATCAAGTTATTCCAGTATCTTTCAGTGTGGAATTGGGTGGGGAAATGGGACGGTAGTATAAGCAAACATGCATGCAGAAACACAAGCATATAAGGTTATCTTAAAATGTTGTGAGCCAAGACTGGAGGTTGACTTTCTAATTGTTTTTGCAGGTACTTCATAAAAGCTGCGACTCCTACCTTTTTGGTTTTGGTGAAACTTGCACCTTTTTCTAAAAACTACTTCTTTGGGAAGAAGGTCCACTGGCTAAAGTGAATGAACATTTTGAGGGGAGTGGGGGTGGAATACAACACATAATGGAACAAGGCCTCTTTAGATTTATAAACTGAAAGATGGAACATTTCGTACACATGTATCTTCTTCTGCAACCATCGAGATGGCAGATTTCCTAATCCTAGCCACGGAAACTGCATCTGCACTTCTGTTTAATTGGGGTGAATAAGCATCGTTCACATTTCCTTAAAAGTAAAGGAATAGAACAAAACGGGGCATACATCAAGTAGAAAACCTCACTCTCCACTGTCAAAGGCAGTATGTCTCTGAATACCAGTTGCGGAGTATCACAGGTGGGGAGAACGCTGTGGCACTTGGGTCCTGCATGCAGGCACCTCGCACGTATCTGCTTGGGCACTGTGAGTACAACTTGCTGGATTATATGAGCCTCTTTTTCACCTGATCCAGCAGGGCTCCTGTTACGTTATTCACCTAGATATTTAATACACTGAGTTTTGCTTGAGATAAATAGATCCCCACCCCCCGAATATCTGATTATTTCTTGAAGTATCCAATTTGCCATAAACCGTGTTAATCTCAATGGGGCTTCTACTTGCAGCTTGGGGCAACACAGTATAACTTTACAGATTTAAGTGCCATAAAATAAGTGTATCTAGGGGTCAGGGAGCATGCTTGCATCCAATGCTATGCAAGCACAGCTAACAATTCTGTTTTTGGAATATTTAGAATATGGACGGGGACCCCTAAATGCCTGCCACCTGTTGTTACTTTTCCAATAGATTCATTCAGAGCGTTCCCCTGCTCAATAGGCACAGAGATTAAACCACAGCTGCGATTTATTCACTACTGTCTTGTGCACTTCAGCAAAGGAATGTGGAATGCCATTGTTGAGAGCTTTACAATTTTGCTGGCTTTTTGCTGTGACAAGATCGCATTAACCTATCCAAAATAAGTTTTAAAAGGAGCTGGGCACATTTTATAGGTTCTAAATTATGGTTTTAATTTCCGGAGGTACATTTCTTATGCCTACCCAATTGCTAAAGTTGTGGCCACAGTAGCATCCTTCTCCATGCTGCTAATGTACAACAAGTAAAAAAACAACATAAAATGACTTGTTTCTAGAGTACAGTATCTCAAGGATGCGCCTTCACACTGAGTCTATCTATGGCATCCCTCTGTATACAGCTTAATTGTTTTTGAAGTGCTCTCATGCATGTGCTTTCTGAACTTGGAACTCACATCACTTTTCATGGAGGTGGGAAGATCCAGTAAACGCATAAGGCATAAGGCAAGGAATGTGCTGTACAGCAACTTACTCCTGAGTTCAACCTATATAGAAGGGCAAGTTCTACCTGAACAACTCTGGCTAGTGCTTGTCTCCAGGGAAAAGGAGGTACTAAACGGCTGCTTGACTTTTGAAACTAGACCTCTGTTGTATAGCAAATAAAGAACAGGAGCACTTTTGGCCGGGAAACAAATTCATTACTGCAGTTAGATTTCGTTTTATTACCGCATCTGTTGTTGCTCTTTGGAACGTAAGGCTTTAATATAATCCATGGTAGAATTAAAAACCTTTTGGCTGGGAAGAGCATTTTACCTTTTCAGAAGTTGGTATCAAATATATTTGATATCAGAAGAGATTTTCCCTGGACTGGACCAAGCACAGTTAGGAAGTCATAGGTGCCCTTAAGCTGATACCCATAACTAGCAAGGCTGCAGCCACCTTAAAAGGTTAACATCTGGTCCTTTAGAAGACTAAGGGGAGCAGAGGGCACATGAAGTGACAAATCCTTTTTCAGCTGTAGGCATCTACTTACGAATTTTTCATTTTCAAAAAGAAACCTGTTACTTGCATCAAGTATTTTGGTGGCATTTAAATTGTCTCATAATTGTCTGACCAAGCATTACTATTACAATGAGATGTCTCATTGATCAACAAGGAGTCCAGTGTTCTATGAAAGGTTGATTAGTGCATGGGCTGCCAGCCCAATGATGGCTGGAAAACTGATAGCATGCTACACTCAGAACAGGGTGATCCAAGCACCTGTGAATCCTGCTTGGAGGAGCACTCTACAGCAAGCCAGGCCCTGGCTTCTGCCATTTGCAGTCCGTCTTTTCACAATCATGCCCATGCAGGTTATTTACCCATGTGCTTATAATGTTGAAAGGTGAGCAGCCGTATAGTAGAGGCTCAAGCCATTGCATGCGATGCAGCACAGGTTGCAGAGGGAAGAGAAACCATGATAGATGCTCAGTCTGCTTGTCAGCTCCCTGTAATGAGAATCCAGTTGACACAGCCGCATAAAGGACTTATGCGGGAACCACCCAGCATCCTCTCCCAAGCCATAGCTTTGCTCAATCAGGTGCATTTCGGCCATAATATCTGAAGTCACTTGCCCAAACCACTGAGCGTTTAGAGCAGCAACTATGACACAAATGAAGAAGACTGTAATCTGGAAAGGAAAGATAGTTATACTATTCATTGTCTGGTAGCATCAGCTAGTATGTGGGGATTTTCATATCACATGTAGCTGCAATCGCTTTGCAGGAATAATATTTAGATTCATGGCTGGTACCTAGGCAGGTTCCTGTGGCCCCAGCAGTGCATATCATCCTTAAAATAACCCTGTGGGTTGGCCCTGCCATTGCATTTTCAAATTAGGATTAATAGGGTATATTTCGGTGCAAGATGTTCCGTTCCTGTGCCAAGTCACCAAACTGTGCTCCTTTGCTGCTCTGCCCCACCACCTACTGTCTGAATACTACCCCCTACCAGCCGTGGTGGTAGTTACAGGAAACACAAGGAGTGCCCTGCTAGTAAGCGTGGGTGGCTTCTCGGTCCAACCACTTCTTCCTAAGGCAGGCATGCCATCACAAGCGAGGCCATATAACAAAGCAGAATGGCGGACGAACGGATGCACGTGATATTTAAAAGAGGGAGCCCACTACCTGCATGGTTTCTTCCTCATTGAGAAGCTCGCTGGGGTGACACATGGCAAATATGGTCAGGTTGATGAAAGCACAAGCTGAGCCAATGTGGAAGTAATAAGGGAAGAGGCAACTCTGAATGAATCCGAATGTATGTTGTGAGAGATTGTTGCCCATCACAAAACCTGCAAGAACAAGTGGGGCGAACACAAAGGAACAAGGTTATTTAAATGCTAAAAATAATGAATAGCTATTTTTAAAAAAACATTGGATGCAAAATTAACAGACGTATACAGTTTTAGATAATCTCTTCTAGCTTCAGAATGGCTTATTTCCGTAGCTGTCAACCTTCCCTTTTTTTGCGGGAAATTCCCTTATTTCAGCGCTGTTTCCTGCTGCTTTCCGCTGCTATCCCGGATTGTTAGATATCCCGTAGACTGTCCCTGGGACAAGTGAGGCTGCTGATCCCTTATTTTCAAATCCGAAAGTTGACAGCTATGCTTATTTCCATTGTTTATTAGGATTTTCCACACTTGGTGGTTTTACCTTCACATCATCATCATCATTCAGCTGCTTGGTGTCTAGGAATATAGACTCACCAATCCAGAAAGTAAATCTTCTTGCCAGCCAGTGTTATCCCTATTTACCCAGCCTACATCTTACTGCCAAGCTAAAGTAGCCCTTTTCCCCTTTCTGAATTTACTGCATATGCTAGTGCAGAGCACTCCTATTTCTCCAAATGTTGAATCCCTCCCTAAATAAATTAACCATGATTAATTTGGCCTTTAAGCATCTATGTGCAAAGAGGGGGGCTGTGGAACGGTCCCAACCTACTGGCTATAAAAGTCACCCAGATCTGCATTCCCCAGAAAGTTGAAAGGAAAACCAAGTGGAGCACTTTCACTAAGGTCGAGGGATCAGCATCTGTGGACATGGTACTTCAAGAAGAAAGTCGCTTGCAACTCCCTTGGCCAAACTTCAACTTGGGAGACACTCGTTTTACCTGTTCAGACACACTGAGAGGCAAAAGAAAATTACTTTAGCTTCAAAGTAGTCAGAAATGTCCTGTCCCCTCAAAATTAAAGTGTACGTAATTGTCACATGTGTTCTCTCTCACACCACATTTCTTAGGGGTATATGTTTTGTATTGCTGCTGTGAAGGAGTTGAATTTAAATGGACCAGCTAATAGTGCTTAACAAAATTCTCAGCCAGTGCTCCCAAGAGAAAGCTATTCTGAGACATCTGTGAACAGTGGCACTCATAACCTCCCCTTTTGACTAGACTGATAAAAAGATGGCCAGGTCAGCACACCATATGCCACCATAAAGCCAGGTGCAGGTTTTAAAGGCTTTGGGCAACATCTGGGACCATTAATGCCAATGAGCATTTAACCAGTGATTACAGAGGGGTGTGGGTTGCATTCTTAAGGACTTGGAACACAGACTTCTTATTTATTCATTTATTCCATGGCCTTCAAATTACAGTGGAGGGAAGCTTCTCTGTTACTTCAGGTAAATTCTGACCCCAGTCAGTGCTTAGGCTGGGTAAAGTAGGTCTGGATTTAGCTCAAAGCAATTATTCCAGCCTACCAAAAATTAGGGCCACTTCCAATGTCACAAATTTATGTTGTAGTCCAACAACAGCTGGAGACCCAAGTTTGGGAAACCCTGCTAGAGGAAATGTTCCATGTGTGGTGGTTGCCATGTGAGGGGCACATAAATTATTATGGAGAAATTCTTAAAATGTCCAGAGTGCTGTAACAAAGTGGATGCAAAGGGCATAATGTAAATTTTGGTACGGCCCAAAACCATTAGAATGGTGTGGGCTAGCAGAAACTCAAACTCCTACATCATTAGTATCTAGAAACCCACAAGCAGGAATGAAAAAAATTATTCAGTACGGTATTTTTCGCCCTATAGGACGCACCGGCCCATAGGATGCACCTAGTTTGGGGGGGGAATAAAGGGGGGGAATTATTCCCCCCCCCCAGCCGCGGATATCTGCCCGAAGCGCGGGGCGCTCTGCTTCAGTGCGCCCCGCGCTCCGTGCAGCAAGCTGCTATCCGCAGCCTAGGGATCCCTGCGGGAACTCCCGCGGGCTCCCCAGTCTTGCTGATAGCTTCCTTCGCACCGACCCCTCTCGCTCTCCACGCTTCAGCGAAAGCCTGCATTCGCCCCATAGGACGCACACAGATTTCCCCTTCATTTTTGGAGGGGAAAAGGTGCGTCCTGTAGGGCGAAAAATACGGTAATTGTCTGTAGCAGGTCCCGCAGCCATCCCACCCGGTCACCCTCCAATCACCTACCAAAAATACACTTGCTGTTACAGACCCTCAGGTGGAGAATCAGCTACAAATGTAGATCCCAACTAATAGTTGCTCATCAAAGCCACTTGCTATAACAAAAGAGTTCATACCTGAATTTATTTTAAATGGTTTTACATGGTTTTTATTGCATTGTGAAACTGCTTTGAGAGGCTTCATGAGAAGTGACTCTTAAATTGTTATGGATTGCAGCAACATGCTCCTTATTCCAATCAGTAAAATATTTTCAGCAGGGTAACGCACATCCTGATCTGAACAGAATACTGCATATAATATAGGAAAAGCAAACTAGGAGAGTAACAGGTTTTTTCCACTCCTTAAACTTCTAAGTACCTCAAGATGGGCAGTTTACTTTCAGAGAAACACATAAGCTGACACTTGTCTTCCTCATCCCTTCAACCTGCAACACAAAAGCGAAACTTGGAGGCTTGCAAAAGACAAATAACGTATTCCGCAAGGGTTTCTCAGATAAATTGCAATTAGGAGTACATGAGCAAGAACTCTGCATAAAGGAATCCCACGATTATAAATTGCACTCTTGATCCTCTTAGTATAGCGGTACTGTCACGTCCCTTCAGTCTGAAAGAATAGCAGGTGCTGCAGCTGAGTGGGCGGCCAAAGACGTTTCAAACAGGTTTTCAGCGACTAGCAAGTTGAAATATTAACTTCAAAACAAAACTTTCCTTACCACCGATGAATAATGTTGTACTGGTACGTTTTTCAGTGTGTCACTCAGACTCCCCGCCGCCCAATGCTAGAATCTCAGAAACACAAACACTAGCAAAGCTGCCGGATCAGATCCCAAAACAAGAATGGCATCTTTACCATCAAAAAAAGCAGGGTCGGAAAGGATACGATCAAAAACCAAGCACAACACTCAAAAGCAGCGGATCCACTACCACACATCCCACATCAAACGGTCCCCAAGCGCGGCCAGATAATTGCATAGAAAGCATTTTGCTGTGCAAACAGACGGAACTACATCCCGGAACTGGCAAGGAAGGTCCCCCTTGCGGCAGGAATGCAGAGACAAACTGGACTGGGCGATCGGGAAATCCTCGTGCTAGTGCTAAAAAGGAGCCAGAAGGGCAAGCGGAGGGGGGCGTGTCACGATGTGCAAGTTTGCACAGGGGGCCTTTTCTCTTTTGCAAGTGCTCCTTTACCTACGACTGGAGGAAACTTCAGCCCGCACCCCAGCAATCGTGGGAAAACGGGTGCCAATCCGAGAGGGAAGTGGCCCCCTCGTGGCAGGCAGTTGCTCAGGCGGGGTCTTTTGGCCAGGCCACACTACTGGGCTGCTCAGCCAAGGAGGGGCGCAGGACTGGTCGGCGCGGGGCTTGCAAAGATCACCCCAGATCGTCCTGGTCCCCCACCTACCTCCTTAGCTCGGCTGGGTGGAGGCGAACCTCCCTTACCCGACTCCCTTCGGAGTTAGGGGTTGCCCACCTCGTTCTTCCGACGGATCTCCCCAGTTCTCCTTTTCCCACTCCGAGGCGGGGCCAGCGGTGGGTGGGAGTCTCGGCCTCTTGGAGAGACGTCGCCTTTGCCCTAGTTTATTTTTCCTGAGCCCCCATCATCACCGAGGCTTTTACAGCTGCTCCTTTGCTGAGGTGGAAGCTCTCGACACCATAAAACCAGAGGACAGATGACCCCAGATAAGAACAAGGGAGTTGCGCCATATTCAAAGCGCCAGCTTCTCGGTAGCACAGAACGCCTGCCTTTTTGAAGAAGAGTCCTGTGCAGCTCAGCTGCCTTATGTCCAACTTCAGTACCTTGGTCTAGTAAAAGCTAGCATGCATCTCAAACAGGGGGGTCATACTTGGTTTCACTTATGGCACCTCAGCTCTGTCAGAGCTTTGCAGATAGGAGGAAAGTACCCCTGCAGCTGGAGTTAGCAGAGAGTCATGTTTGTTTCTGCAAAAGCAAGTAAATAGAGGCGTCATAACTCTCCAGTGGGTAACGTGGTGCAGAAAGTTCAGGTGTAAAGGATGGTCAAGTGCTATGCTATACAGTGGTACCTTGGGTTAAGTACTTAATTCGTCCTGGAGGTCTGTTCTTAACCTGAAACTGTTCTTAACCTGAAGCACCACTTTAGCTAATGGGATCTCCTGCTGCTGCCGCACCGCTGGAGCACAATTTCTGTTCTCATCCTGAAGCAAAGTTCTTAACCCGAGGTAATGTTTCTGGGTTAGTGGAGTCTGTAACCTGAAGCGTATGTAACCCGAGGTACCACTGTATTTGCCTCCCAGCTCCCGTAGCATGTACATAATATCTCACAACCTCCCCTTTCCTTGTCCATCAGTAATACAGGGTCTATAGTATTGAACAGTTTGTTTTTAGAAACAATTTTAGAAATGCTTTTTCACATATAAGAAGGCCAGTGTTTGGAAAGGCTAGAAATTGTTTCTTTGTGTCTATAGTCTGTCTTTGTTTTGTTTTTTGCAACAAAAAAGTCTTAACTTTAACTTTCTCCATCAGCGACTGTCATGTTAGCACTCTAATGAGGGAGAGAGTTACAGTGTCAAAAATTACCAGCAAATCTGGTCTGCAGACAAAGGAGCTGTCAGCCTGTGCTTCTTCTGCCTGCACTTTCCCCCAGAGAAGTTAATGGCTGCTAAATGGCTTCTACAAAGCAGAAGCATGCCTGGAATTCTCCTAAAGACAGGAAGATGCAACATACTGGAAGCACTGCACAAGTAACAGACAGAAACCAGAATACGTAACAGGTGGTTATTATTATTTTAAATCAACTGTATTTAAGCATTTTCTTGTTTTTCAAAAAGCTAAACTAAAAGGCCAATCACTTCCTTCCCTGTCACACTTGCTGCTTATTTTCCTTCCCCCAAACATAATACACTATGGGAGAAATAAGAGGGGGTGGGCAGAGAAAATAGTTGGAGAATGGCAGGTGTCACCAACCTTTCTGGACCAGGGGCATACAGTAGTACCTCGGGTTAAGTACTTAATTCGTTCCGGAGGTCCGTTCTTAACCTGTAACTGTTCTTAACCTGAAGCACCACTTTAGCTAATGGGGCCTCCTGCTGCCGCCGCACGATTTCTGTTCTCATCCTGAAGCAAAGTTCTTAACCCGAGGTACTATTTCTGGGTTAGTGGAGTCTGTAACCTGAAGTGTATGTAACCTGAAGTGTATGTAACCCAAGATACCACTGTATTTTGAATTTTGAGGGCAGGCTGTGGGTGCCAGTCACAAAATGGCTGCCATGGAGGTGTGGCATAACACAAAATGGCTGCCATGGGAGCATGGCATAGCACAACAGAATAATACAAGGACTGAACCAGGGAGACTTTAAGCCTGTTTCTTCAGATCAGGGGCACCGTGCCAGTCATGATACCCCAAAACAGCCTTTTGTGTCATTGCTTCCAGAGTCATGCTAAAGGTTGAGGAGACTCAACACTCATTCGGTATGGTCCAACTCACTGAGATGAACGTACAGCAGGATCACAAACCACCCAAAACAACATTTAAGGGCACTACCCCAAAATAGCATTTTAATGGGGAATCCTGAAGTGATCCAAAAAGGGGACAGAAACTTACACTGAAAAGAGGGCAATGGCACCTGTCACTTTTAGTCTGTTGGATGGCAGTCCCTCTATTCTCTAATTCTCACAACATATCTGCCATGGGAGACATGCCACAACACAAAATTAGGGAGGGCGCAATCATGGTGAAGCCATGGATGTGTTTCCGGACTAGAAAGATGCTTAAACTGTTGAATTTCTGTCTGCCATACAGCTGTTAAAGGCACAAGAACCCTGTGGCTGCCATCTTTTACCTGTTTACCGGTTAGTAAGCCCCATTATACCCATTGGAACCTCCCATCCCTCTTCTTTCCTCTCCCTGTGGCAGTTAGATAAAGGCGGCCAAAAAGCAGAGGGGGACGCATCAGTATTTCATTTACTATTTTAGAACACACCAAACAGCAGCAATGGAACACAGTTGTTTTTTGAAGAGAAATTCAACAAGTGCAGGAGACAATTGTATTAGAACATGAGCTACCATTTACTGAATTTACTATCTTCACCTGTGTCCAAAAGGGTAATGAGCAACTGATTCTTAAAAGCCTACTGAAGGATTTCATAATAGCAACCTGTGCTTGTTATTCTGGATATATTCCCATAAAGGAATTCAGGGAATAGGAGGAAATAGCTAAGCAGAAACTGGCTTCTTCTTTCCTTTGATTGGGGTTCCTACTTCATGGTCTCAGTTTAAATGGAAACATATCTTTGCAAGATGGCTTGCATTCCTAATAAAATATCTTTGGTTAAAGCTCACTATATTTTACAAATTGACCTGATAAGAAGTAATCATCTGAGTTCAATAGGTAAACTATGCAAAGGATTATGAGCCTAATCAATAGAACATTATGTGGTGTTTGTGTGTGTGTATGTCTATAGATAATGGATTAGCACAGTTGCTTGCATTTTTTTGTGGGATAACCAACCTCATATAACCAGCAGTCTTAAGTCAAATTAATGCATGAAGGGTTTAATACCATAGAGTAAGCTGTCCTGCCAGGCTTAGCTCACCTTGGGAGGGACTAGTAATCAAGCCTTGATTCCCCTTCCAGTCTACTTAAGAAGCTCAGCTTGTGAGGAGGCTAAAATGATTGCTCCAGCTTAGTCACATTGCTCTCACAAGCCATTCTTGAGTTCTTGTAGCAATAATTTAGGAACTTTCTCCATTTTGACTAAGCCAATTTTTGCTGCCTGTACAACTTTTCTGACTGATGTACAGTATGAAAAAATACATGGACTTAACCTTTGAAGAATTTGTAAGTAAACCAATTTTTTATTTACCAAACGTGGTTTTTTCCTATGCCGAGGGAAGTGGGAAGTTTTAGAACTTACAAGGGTATATTTTAAAGGTCTAACAGCCTATTTCTCCATGCTTTACTTTGCTGCATATTTTGTGATTTTAAATCTTCTGGGGTTCTCTCACCAAAGAGTACTTGCTCCAAACTTGGATCTTGGCATCCTTTAATTCCCTCCCCCCCTCTTTTGCACCAACATTTTGGACTCTCCTTTAGGATATTGCTATGGGGACTGTCCTGATGATCTCCTATACTTCATTTTTTTCCAGTACACCACTAGAATCCTGTAAATAATATTGTAAAATGGAACAAGGTCTGATTAACTTGTCCCAGCATGTCAGCCAGAAGGTGGCAGTAGAAGGGAAGCTATGAGAAAAGTGAATCTGACACATAAAAGCTTAGAAATGAATTAAAATAAGGCTTCTGAGGAGCCACCTGTCCAGCCCATAAATCCTGGATCCGACTTTATTTTCATTCTGCTGGTCTGCATGCATACTACACTTGTGTTATGCTTGTGGTGTAGAAATGGAACAATGTTTGGACAGTGGTAGCTTGTGCTCATTGGGGCTGGTGGGGCAGAAGGCAGGAAGACCAACATTAGATGGAATAGAGCCAGTGACAACAGAGCTGCCTTCTGGCTGGTTGTAAGTAAGAAGGCGGGCAGGTGGGGCCTGGCTGATGGCAGACTGAGGTTGGCTGGAGTAGTGCCCCGTATGGCCTAATGGACCAATGTCTGCTGCGTTTGGGTGACAGCTTTGGAAAGGATGTAGTAGTCTTAAGAATGTCATGCTCCCATAGCAAGTGCGTGTTCATAAGTTTATTGATAGCATGATCACTATATTGATTACATGATGATTCTAACAATATAAGTTGCAAATAAAAATAATCAGATCATGCTGTAAACAGGGTGGAATTACTGGATCTGTGATGGGCGCTACTTTTATCCCTAGCAATGAGGTGCTGCTTGAATATTAAGATGCTGATTCTATGCAAACTTCAACAGGGAGTAAAGAAACTGCATAAAAATTGCCAAATAAGTCACGCAGGCTGTTGATTCGTGGTTTAACTGCACATTGTCCCTGAGACGTGGAGCTGGCATTGCACCTCCCCACTGGACAAGGAGATTCCTCAGCCACATGGAAGCCTTTGGGCCTCTCCAAGTGTCCTTTTTATTGTGCGTTCAGGAGAATTTGTGCTTATGGTGGTATCGGGACAGTTGCGTCATTCCAATACCATTCATGCTTGCAAAAGTTTTGGGAGTAAACAAACAGCTAGGTTTCCAATCAGTGCATAGCTTCTTGCTGAAGTCATGTAACTTTTCATCCCCTGCTGTGTGTGTGTGTGTGTGTGTGTGTGTGTGTGTTCCACCTTTGTTGTGCTGTAGCTCAAGTTTGCCCCCCTCCAGATGGCCATAATTAGTAACAAGTCAGTAACGCTGAGGAAGCATTGCAGAATGAAGCAGAATGAAATTTGGACGGTCCAGTATGAATCCACCTCTAATGCACTGTTAACTGCATCAATGACATGTTATATACAAAAAACACAGCACAACACCAGTTTTGTGGTTTCCCTTTGTTTTTAATCCAAGGATGAGCTTGGGCTTGGGTAAACTGCACACTACAGGCAGTCTCAGTCTGGCAGGACAATGGAATAATCGCTTGGCCACTTGGCATTGCACACTGACCTTTCCTGCCTGCCACATATAGAACAGATTGTTTGATCATGTGAACCGTCTCGAAGACGTTCATTCAAGAGTTTAACCTTAACAAAAACTGTTGTGCCCCAAACTAAACTACTGGACAGTTTTCTTTTCTGCTTAGCAAGAGGCCCCCAAGCTGGGGTTCAGTCGCCTCTGC